TACGGCATTGCCTCCTCTCCCTCCCATCCCACCCCCCAATGCGCAACCCGCCTCAACAACACCGTCATCTTCCTCTCCGACCTCCAATCCGCAGGCCTCTTTTCCTCCATTACGTCTCTCCCCGACAACATCTTCTCCAACACCACTCTTAACCCCTTCTCCTCCCTCCCCCGAACTACGCAAACCCAAGTCCGCCATGTCCTGCAATCCATCCTCCAGACCTCCACCTCCTCCCTTCCCGAATCCAGCACCGCAGACATCACCACCGTAACCATGCATCTCCCCGTCTCTATACCTTCTTTTACCGGTACGCCCCTCCCCCAACTTACCCCAATTCCTACTCCTCAACAACCCCCACTAACAAAAACACATAAAATAAACAGACTACAGCGCCAGCCTCCCCCACAACCAGCATGCGGGGCAAATCATCCTCAACCACCCGGCCCCGCCCCCCGCATTCTTCCACTTCCCCATCGGCTACGCCGGCCGCGCCAGCACCATCTCCGTCTCCGGCGCCCCCGTCACTAGACCCTCGGGGCACTTCTACGACCGAACCGATCCCTCATTCCCGCAAACAAAGAAAGTTATCTTCGGCCCATGTCGCGCCCTAGACTACGAGCTCGAATTGGGGATCGTCATTGGGAAGCCCCTCCCTCGCGGACAGGGCCTCAAGGCCCAGGATGCGGAGGAGCATATCTTTGGCTTGGTGGTGTTGAATGATTGGAGTGGTGAGTATTCCCTTCCTACCTCGCCCTAAACAGTTGCCTTTTATACCCAATCAAGCGAGACATCGAACATGAACACAAGCACAATGACTAATGATATAATGGGAAAAGCCCGCGACATCCAAGGCCTCGAAATGATCCCGCTCGGCCCACTAAACGGGAAGAACTTCGCGACCACGATCTCCCCGTGGATCGTCACCCTGGATGCATTGCAGCCGTTCAAGACACCCGGTCCGGAGCCGAGAGTTGCCCTACCGGCTCATTTACAGGATCCGGGTAAGTTTAATTATGATATCAATGTTGTGACTGAGCTTGAAGCTGGTACGGGTGGTAGTAGTACTGTGCTGGGACGTGGTAACGCAAAGGACCTCTTCTGGAGCATCAGGCAGATGTGTGCGCATTTGGCGAGTACGGGGTGTGATTTGCGCACGGGGGATATTTTGGGCACGGGGACGGTGAGTGGGGAGGAAGAAGGGTCGTATGGGTGTCTATTGGAGGTGACGGAGGGGGGAAAGAAGAGGGTGAAGTTGGGAGAGGAAGAGAGAGGTTATCTTGTCGATGGGGATGTGGTGAGGTTGACGGCTTGGGCTGGGGAGGGGGTTGGGTTTGGGGAGTGTGTGGGGCAGATCCTGCCTGCGAGGGATTGAATGGATGTTCCATTGGTTTACTGGATTGAATGTTGAAGTTGGAAAGCAAAGTCTGTGGGTGAATAATTCTGGAATATATGATACTAGGAACTAAAGTCAATACATGTCCCATTTTCATGCGCCGGCCGTGCCATCCCAGCCAACCAACCCCCTTTACCGATGCATATATTAGACGCCTAAATAATCAATCAAAAGTACAACCTATGTTGGCATCGTTCAGCTCCAGAGCGGTGGGTGGATGTACTCTTGTGCTCTGTCAAGAATATTAGGTATCGTCCACTCGCCGCTGGTCGAGCTTTCCGGCGTGGGCGGCGGCAAGGATCCGAGACTCGGCGTCATGCTGGCCGACACAGGCGGAACACCCATGCCCGGGTTGAGGTAATTCGGCGATCCGGCTTGGCTGGCACGAGCCGCCTGCGCATTGAATGCGCCTTCCAACTTCTCCAAAGCACGAAGGGTCTTTGTCAAGGGCTTGGCCCATTGAGTCTGCGTGTCGACGGCCACAGCGGCGGAGGCTGGAGAAGCTGAGTTCATACCCGCAGGGCTGGGTGCTGCGGTACTTGGGGGTGGTGGGGCTGCACCGAGACGCGCGCCGCTGTCAACTGGTGGAACGGCGGCGGCTTCGGTGGCGGCCCCGTAGTCGCCCTCGATGTTGGCTCGTTCGGCGATGATCATTTTGAGTTGTTGCAAGAGAGTCCAGAACCGAGAATGTCCCTTGACCTCCTCTGTGACTGCCAGCAGGAAGATCGAGCTGATGGCGCGTTGCAGGGCAATCCATGACCGTGACGCATGGGAACTGACGGTGTGCATCTCGACATAGGCTTCCACGGTAGTCATCAGGTTGGTCACACAGTCGGTACGCATGCTGGATAAGGCGGGGTCACTAATGTCGGCGTTTGCTTTGAGCGCTGGCCGGCAGAGCTCAGAAGAAAAGTAGGACGAGTGCAGCTTGAGCACGACCCGTTCGAGGTGTTCGGTTGCTGAGAGGCAGTATTTACGGTCCCGAAGATGTGGTTTCGCCTCTATCATAATCTGCTGGATCCGTTCTTTGTAGGTTTGGATCGTTTTGTAACTCAGTTGCGAGTGCGGGCTCAACATCCGGCTGCGGACCACCTCCAATGCTAGAGATATAATACGACACAGTGTCTCGAAGTATGAGAGCTCGCCGGGCTTCCGGTCTTCTTTATAAGCAATTTCTGGCTGACTCACGGCTGTTGTCGACGGCCGATCGTAAGAAAGGGAGAAGTGACTATCCTGCCATGCCATGGACCACCTAGACGTTATTAGCAGCTGCCACTGCAATGCAGTCAAGAAACTTACCACACGTGGCGTCTGCGATATCGCTCGGCTGCAGTGAAATGACCGGACTCCACATGCAAGCCAAGCGCCAGCCCCATTCGAAGGGTCATACCAAGGAGGACATACGATATCCCGGGGTTCATGTTGTACGATAGCACGTTCCCAATCACAAGCAGCGTCTGCATGGCGTCTATTGTGGGTTGGGACAGGAAGTTGGTCATTCGAAGACATTGATAGGAACAGCATACTGCACTGGATGAGTACTTGCAATATGCCACGGAGCAAACAGAACTTACCGTATACTTGAGACGTAAGCTCTCTTTCTTTGCCTGGCAGATCCGACGATTGGCACCCAGAAGCAAGAACTGCAAACAGCAAGCCCATATAGGCGATAGTGACACCAAAGGGTTTCTGGGCTTGATCGGCATCTGCCCGATACATACCACCCATGGCAGCTCTATTCCGCAGCATAAGATCAAGATTCATCTCGAATTGCGGGACGTCTTCCAGCACCGGATATATGGCGCCTGCGATATCCCGGTAATAATAGAAAAATCTGTAGCAACCCTTTGTTAACACCACTACACTACCAAGTCAGCTGTCGATGGAAACTAACTCTTTGCACTGTTGGTCACTCGGCAGTGCACTGCAGACGGCACTTATATCGAATGAAGACATATCTGATGACCACAGGTCAACGAACGGATACGTCGCAGATTCATTATCCAATCCCAGCTTTGGCAGAATCCCGCCCTCTAGGAGCGCTTGGAGCTGATCCGACCCCGACTTATTATTCAAGATGTAGGCCAGAACAGACCTAGATCCCAGGTGTACAGTGCCTTCGCCAAATGTGTTTGGCGCATGGATACCCTCTCGCTCCGGGGAGGCACCCTTGGATCGGGTACTCGCATCCCCGCTCCGCACGCTGCTCGTCTCCAACGTCGAAGCCTGCCCTTCCTCGGCCTTTTCCAGACCAACCCGCAGGTTATTTATTGTTTGCTCCATCTCCTTCAATCTCGTACGAACATTGTCCCATTCCTCGCGCGCAATCGACACACGGCCGCCGGCTGCTGTTATACTTGGCCGACTCACACCCGGTTCTTGTTTCAGACGCACAGGAGGCTCGGGCACGTATCCGAGATTCTCTGCGCTCGTGGGCTGACTACCAGGGATAGATCCGTCGGGATACGTTTGCGGAAGCGAACCGGTCATGACGCGCTTTTTCGACGGACGCTCGTAGGAACAAAGATCGGCATGATCGCGTTTGACACAACCGTCGCATGGTAGGTTTCGATCGCATTTGACTTTGCGGGCGTGACACGGGTAGCAGGCTTTAGGTTCGCGGGCCTTTCGCTTCGTTCGGATGATTGCGTCAACTTGAGATTGGGGCAGGTCGGAAACCGGTCTAGACGAAGCAGTTGAAGGACCTGAAGGTGCTGTCATGTCGGGGCCGGCTACAGACGGCGAGTACGACATGGAGGGCTGGTACGGGGAAGTCATTGCGTAGTTATGTGAAAGAAAAATGATAAAAGAGAGACTCGGTATGAGGTATGATCGTCGATTTCTAGATTAATGAGTGCGTATTGCTGATATACTGATGCTTTCCCACATGAACGTAGCGGAGTCGAGCGGGAGAAAAGAATGCGGCGTGGCACTGGTTGTAGGTTGCGGGCTTCACATCGATAGTGAATACTATATAAATCAGTCCATTGGCAGCAGATTTGAAATGGCAATTCAGATGAGCGAGGTTCGCATCATCTCGCAGCAAGAATATCACCGCGAGAGCTGGGCGCAAAGACGAAATGCTGAAGACGGACTTGGCCGAGCACCGGCCCCGTCCAGCATCCCATGACTAATCACAGATCAGGATCACGTGAACAAGAGGGGAAGCTTGGCGGTGCCCTAAGCCCTATCTAGACTATCAAGGCAGGTGACGTAAGGCAGTGGCTGGTAACTATGAATCCTAACCAACGAGACAGAGTGAACCTCTAGCTATATCCTGCGGTATCTCACAAATGCCATAATAAGCCTAACGACGTGGTCAATGGACAACCAAGCTAATCTATTGATGGACATTGTTCTAACGGGGTCGAATACTCTGAAGGATTGTAAGTAGATCCTTCCGTCACCTGGCCAGTTGCACGCTTAATGACAAACAAAGTAATCTCATGGTAAGCAGCTTGAAGCTGATCACTTGTGATCCATCTCCTTAGCTTTCCTCCCAGGCATATAAATACGTCGCTGAGCTGTTATCTGGTACACCGGGCGTCGACTCCAAAAGTACGTTGCAGCCAAAGGATTACCCACAGCTTCGACAATTCGAGACTGTGTAAAGTTATGCCTTTGGTCATACTCCTCTAACAGCCCATCCATCACATCCTGCGATGGAGCATATTCATGCGGCTGATCAAACAGAAATTTCGTAAAAGTCGTGCACTCTGCTTGTTGCGGGCTGAGCAGGGTGATACGACGCCAAAGCATTGCTTGAATTGACAGATTTCCCAGCTTGCAGTGTGTAATTCCGTCCCCACCGGTGCAGACGAGTCGTTCTATTGACCAAGCGACCGGATACAAGACTTGGGTATTGGTCCAGTGAAGCGAAGGCCGAATCAGCAACGTAATCCACCATCATGGGCATGTATGTTCCTGGGTAGAAGCCCGTCGCGTAGCCGGGATACACGGTCGGGTATCTAACGGGAGCTACATACCGTTAGGAACAATCCAATTCCCTGGAGTTATGATGATATCTCCAAACGATACCCTCTAGGCTGGTCTCAGTCTGTGGCCAGACGCCTGTTGCTGTCTGCACCACGGCAGCACCTGCAGCAATGGATAGCGAGAATAGTGCAGTTGTGTGCATGGCGAGATGTCAATAAGCATAGACGTCGTTGCTGCACGTTTGTTCGAGCATGTCACAGTGTGCCAATAGACCGTGACTATCAAAAAAGTAGTTTGAAAGCAGATTGCAACTACCGAGCAATGCCTTCAAATTGTGCTGGAGCCGCGATGTACCTCACTGGTCTCGAAGTGTCCACATAGTTGCTGCTGTAGTAGTAGTAGACTATGGGTCGCCGGATAGGGTGTTTCGTCAACGGCTCGGAGGCTTGACGGCAATGAGATTCGTGGATGTAACATTCTCGGCCAATCTGAGACACTATTTAGGTACAAGTACCTCAATTTGATATAGACTTGCAAGTTTCATGCTAGAAATCCTGTAACAATCTGACACAATTTATATTCGATACATGAGTCATAGTTAGAGAATCTATTAATAAATACATTATGTGCATATAAATCTTTGGTATCAATAACGCATCAGTCTTTCCAGCATTTGGCAGGGTTCAAGAGCGGAGATTAGGAGTGTTTGATAAGAGATAGCTTGTTGGGGTTAAAAAGTTCCAGATGATCAATATCTTCATACGGTCATCTGTACAAATGCTTAGCTCTTCTCACCATTCTCTTCGTCGTCGCTGAAGGCATAACGCGAAAATCGTCGAATGGATGCCCCCTTGAAGTAGAAGACATACGGGATCGCACAGCAAGCTAGGGCAATGAAAGCGAGCAACGAGCTTGCCCATTGGTACCCAAGGCGATCGTACATCTGCTCAGTAAAGAGTACAGTAGATGCACCCCACATTGAACGAAGGAATGTCTTTGCGGCAAGTGCAGAAGCGGCTTGATGCTGATACGTATCCACTAGAACAATGTCAGCGGAAACGCCCAATGACCTATAAGGATGAACATACCCAGATAATTGTTGGCCGAATTATACAAGAAGATGAAGCCAAATCCAACAGGCCAACCTCCAATTGCAGGTCCAATCCAATGGATAGTGGGATATGAGGTCCAAGCGAAAATGAACAGACCGATGGGTATAAACCAACAAGAAGCCATCATCGGAATCAATCGAGCTTCAGCTGGGGGCTTTCCTCCGTACTTAGCATAAAGAGATAGGTAGTGTTTATTGACAAAAGGCGCACAAGCCGCACTCATAAGTACGCCAATGGCGAGTGGGATGAACATTAGGCCAGTTGAGCCGGCACTCCATCCTTTCCCAGATTGATATACCACAGGATAGCTGACACTGCAGTTAGCAAGATAGTAATAGTATCAGATAGCACACCACTTACGCAACGAAGAACATGTATAGTAAACCGTATAGAACCGACATGTAAAGCGCGATGAACAGAACAATCGGTTCCAGAAACAAAAGCTGGAACGGGCGGAAGAGGAAAACTCGCAACTTCTCCCCCATAGGTCGAGAATCTAGTTCCGTCTCTGTTACGTAGCTAGGGTCGTCTTCTTGCTTTCTCAGTTTCTTCGCTCTCCTCTTAAGGAGAGTTGGCGCATATGTCTCCGGAACCGTGAAAGTGATCAGCACCCAAGCAACAAATGCAAGGATCAACTGCAACCAGTAAAGCCATTTCCAGTTGGTAGCATCTGCAAGAAATCCACCAGCTAGTGGTCCAATAGCAGGCCCAATAAATGGGCTGGCTGAGAATGCTGCCATTGGAACGCCTCGTTCTTCATTCTTCCAAAGATCCGCCAAAGTACCACCCACTAGCGTCATTGGAGCACTGAACGCGATCCCATCAATGGCTCTGCAGACGATGAGGGTTCCAATATTTGGAGCGACGGCGCAGGGAATAATGAATATGACAGCTAAGAAAAGTGTGGATGCGTATATAATCCGCCGGCCCACCATTTCAGACAGGGGAGCAAAAGCCATGGGACCTGAGCGCAGTCAGTGACCATATCGAAGCAAAATTACTAAGATGACTTACCAACACCAAAGCCGATGACAAAACAGTAACAACAACAAGGGCTAACTTCTCGAGAAACGCCGAACTGTTCTGCAGGGCCTTCAATATCGGCTGTGATGACGCTACTAGCAAAAGCGACGACAAAGCATGTGAACGAAACCACCATGGTACAATACCATTTGAAGGCTTTGGACCAATTCTTCGGATTTTCGGGATCGTCGATACTGAAGGTTACCAGCTTCCAGTCTTCTGTTTTCCCTGTAGCAGCGGACCGGACTGGCTTGATGATCTCTCCTGTGGTGGTTTCCGTCGTGTATTCCTCCATGTTGGCGTTCTCGGTCACCTGACGGTAAGGAAGATCCAAAGGATCAACCTGACCTTGAGTAGGATCGGCTGTAAGGACTCGGGAGACATGGTTGCTTGGATAGTTGGAGCGGTATATTTCCTCCATATCTTGAGCGGTCGTCATGCATTGGAAGGCAGACACCCGTGCAATGATTACTATCGTTTAAGTAGCGCATGAAAACCCTTATAGCCACGCGAGGCCTCTGCTTGCTTATATAGACAGTCATGTCTGCTATGATCGCCGGTCAATTGAAGGTTCTAGTTCGGTCGTATACGAGGTAAAAGCGTGACCAAGGATGATAGGAGATTTATTTCCTGAAAGGGCAGTATATCGGGCCGGCCAGCAGATATCTTACTCTATCAGGAAGTTAGAGAGCTAGCCAGATCAGGTAATATGCCACGATAGTATAACTACTACATCACAGCTTCTACTTATTGCCTACAGGAAAAGGTTTATCAGACTCCTTTCAAAGTATGTTGATGCAAGTCCGTGGACAATGGCAGAGCATATATTTTTATAGAGGTAGTGTGTGTTAATACCACTACTTTCTCAAAAAAAAGCTTTCGCTTGTGAGGCACGCCGTCTCAGCAGAAACAGACCTTCATGGAAAGTAGACGGAAAGAAGGCATATTTCTCCCGTGAAAAGGTGAATCATGGCTAAGACGCCACGCAGCATTGCGTGGCTTTCATCCTCTATCCAAAGCGCTGCGGTCAGAGTCGGCCACTTCCATTTGCAAATGGAAAGAAATCTCCGCTGCCAAGCTGCAAAGCCAAGGATTAGAGAGCATTGCTGTTACTTGAAGAATAGAAATTCCGCCAGCACCCCGGAATGGCGCCCTCGGAGCATGTTTCCCAACTAGGAAAATATCCCTTATATGGAGACAATCCGTTTGTAATGGAAAAGGCGAGCCAGAACAGATTTGTGGAGTCCATGACTCTAGACCAGATTGTGCTTGCTTTCTTTATCGGATCGTAAGGTTCAATATTTGCATCTCATTGGGCCAACAGAAATTGATTCCTTTGCACACAGCGGACAGTATCGAGAATGGACCTTTACCACAACACCAGCGGGTACTATCAACCACTCAACAACGCCCACCAGGAGGTAATTCTGAGCTATGACCCAGCTTATCTCCATTTATTTGATTAATCCAATTGTCTGGAGTGATGCATGTTTAAACTTAATGATAGAGTCTTTGTAGCCAGCGTTTTCCGAAAGCTTTGGTGTAGTGTGCACAGTGAACTTCAGAACTCAAGATCTACTCCTCTCCTCATAAAGAAGTCCTACATTGAGCAGCATGTAGCTCATATTGGTGAGCTATCCATTCAATAATACCCACACAAGCTAATTCGTGGCGAATGTTAAGAATGTCATCAACAATTACCTGCCAGCCTGAGGCAGAAGCCTGCAGTTTTCCGGGGAAAAAGGCTGTGCACGTGAGCGATAAGGAGGCGATAAGCCGGAAGCGGATTAGCGCGGGGTGGTTTTTCCCACCCGCAACCGTGGAGGAGAATAATTTTGTGACTCGACGAGCAGCTCAACGCCCGTCGCTGTGCTCCTCAGTCAGTCGAACTCGCACGCGAGAGGTGTGTCTGTGACACCTTCACCCAGGGGACTACATTGTTCCCCTTCTTTACCTAAAAAGCTACATCTCGTTCTATCCTCCCTACCTTTTCCCTAAATTCCGCACCGACCGAATACCCACAACTTTCACAATGGCCTCCGACTCCACCTACTTGGCCATCCCTGGCTCTGTTGCCTTCTCCCGTTCTCGTGGGCGTGCAATTGCTGCCAGCATTGGTGCACAGGATGTCCGTGCCCAATGGGTTCACTACGTTTACCTCTCCCAGCCGCTGGACGCCCCCCAACAAGGTGTCTTGGAACAGCTCCTTCACTATGGCGATATCACCGACGTCCCGCCATCGTTCAGCGCTGAAGATGGTCCTTCCGATGTCTTCCACATCTTCCCTCGCACTGGTACGATCTCCCCTTGGAGCTCTCAGGCTACCGGTATCTCCCACGTTTGTGGCCTGCGCAAATACGTCAACCGCATTGAGCGGGGTATGAAGATCTCCTGTCTGCGCGCAGGCTCTGGCGAGTACAAGTCGGGGTACCAGGATATCTTGCACGATCGGATGACACAGGTCATCAGCGAGGAAGAACCTGACTTGCACCTGATGTTCTCCGAGCACAGTCGTCTGCCTCTCGAGACGATTCCTCTGCACGGAAGTGGCAAATCTCCCAAGGAGGTCCTGCAGGAGGCAAACAAGCGGCTTGGATTGGCTCTTGAAGAATCTGAGATCGATTACCTGGCTGAAGCCTATGGTCCCAACGGCCCTATTGCTCGCGATCCGACCGATGTCGAGCTGTTCATGTTTGCTCAGGTCAACTCCGAGCATTGCCGTCATAAGCAGTTCAACGCATCGTGGGTCATCGATGGAAAGCAAATGCCCAACAGTCTGTTTGCCATGATCCGCAACACCCACAAGAAGCACCCAGAGTATACTGTTAGTGCCTATAGCGACAACGCTGCTGTCCTTGAAGGAGACGAATCCGCTTTCTGGGCTCCCAACTCGGCCACCGGTGAATGGAACCACACTAAGGAACTTGTTCATTTCCTGGCTAAAGTCGAAACACACAACCACCCCACGGCCGTTTCCCCCTACCCCGGTGCTGCCACCGGATCTGGTGGTGAGATTCGTGACGAAGGTGCTGTGGGCCGGGGTTCGAAGCCCAAGGCTGGTCTCGCTGGTTACTGCGTTTCCGATCTCCTCATCCCGGATCTGAAGCAACCTTGGGAGCTCGATGTTGGCAAGCCAAACCACATCGCAAGCAGCTTGGATATCATGCTTGAGGCACCCATTGGCAGTGCCCACTACAACAACGAGTTCGGACGGCCCTGCATCGCCGGTTACTTCCGTACCCTCTTGACTGAGATTGACGTGGGTAACGGCCAGACCGAGCTTCGCGGATACCACAAGCCTATCATGATTGCCGGTGGTGTCGGAACCGTTAGACCCAACCATGCCATCAAGAAGCCCGAGGTTGTCAAGCCTGGAGCCTTCCTTGTGGTGTTGGGTGGACCTGCCATGCTGATTGGTCTCGGTGGTGGTGCTGCCTCTAGTATTACTTCTGGTGAAGGGTCTGCCGATCTTGACTTTGCCAGTGTCCAGAGAGGCAACGCTGAAGTTCAGCGCAGAGCTCAGGAAGTGATCAACGCATGCACGGCCATGGGTGACAACAACCCCATCAAGTTCATTCATGATGTTGGTGCTGGAGGTCTCTCCAATGCTCTTCCTGAACTGATCCACGACTCTGGTCTAGGAGCCACTTTCGAACTTCGTGAGGTGGACAGTGCCGACAAGAGCATGAGCCCTATGCAGATTTGGTGCTGCGAAGCTCAGGAGAGATATGTCCTGGCCGTTGGCGAGGAGAGCATGAACAAGTTCACTGCTATTGCTCACCGCGAACGTTGCGGTTTCTCCGTCGTCGGTCGTGGAGGTGGCACGTCGGAGGAAGAGAAGAGACTTATTCTTCTGGATAGGGACTCCACCGAGTACCCTAAGCCCATTGACCTGCCTCTCTCTGTCCTCTTCGGAAAGCCTCCCAAGATGACTAGGGTTGTGGATTCTCGCAAGTTGAAGCTGCCAGCTGTGGATGCCAGCCTCACCACGTATCTCCCATCGATGGCCTCGAACAACCTCGAACTCATCGGTGAAGCCGCGAACAGGGTCCTCTCTCTCCCCGCCGTTGGCTCTAAGTCTTTCCTCATCACTATTGGTGACAGGACAGTTGGTGGTCTCACTGCCCGCGACCAGATGGTTGGCCGGTGGCAGACTCCTGTTTCCGACGTTGCTGTCACTGCCACGGCGTTGGTTCAAGGTGTTAAGACCGGTGAGGCCATGGCCATGGGTGAGAAGCCCAGTCTTGCTTTGATCTCCCCTGCGGCTTCCGCACGCATGGCGGTCGCAGAATCTCTTATGAACATTGCTGCCGCTGATCTGGTCGACCGCCTGAGCCGTGTGAAGCTTTCCGCCAACTGGATGTCGGCTAGCAACCATCCAGGCGAGGGTGCTGCCATCTATGAGGCTGTTGAGGCCATTGGTATGGACCTCTGCCCCAAGCTTGGCATCAGCATCCCTGTTGGAAAGGACTCTATGTCCATGAAGATGAAGTGGAAGGATGAGGCTTCTCAGGAAGCCAAGGAGGTTACTGCTCCCATGTCTCTGGTTATCTCTGCCTTTGCCCCTGTTGGCAACTTCCGAAAGACCTGGACCCCTGCCCTTCGTCGTCCCGAGGAGGTTGGCGAATCTGTTCTCATGTTCGTCGATCTTTCTTTCGGTCGGAAGACCCTGGGTGGCTCTGCTCTTGCTCAAGTCTTTAAGCAGGTCGGTGACGAATGCCCTGACGTGCGTGATGTTGAGATCTTCAAGGACTTCTTCGATGCTACGCAATCTCTGCAAGACGCTGGTATCGTTCTGGCCTACCACGATCGCTCCGACGGTGGTCTGTTCACCACTCTTGCGGAGATGATGTTCGCTGGACGCTGCGGTGTTGAGATCATGCTCGACAACATCTGCTCCAGCTCCAGCACCAAGGATGTTGTGGAGACCCTCTTCACCGAGGAACTGGGTGCCGTGTTCCAGGTCCGCAAGGAGCACGAAATTCAGTTCCGCTCTTGCTTTGCCACCTGCGGTCCCCCTGCTGGTCTGATCCACAAGATTGGACGTGTCTCCGAGAAGGCGAAGACAAACCTTACTATTTACCACAAGCACACCCTGGTGTACCGCAACAGCCGCGCCAACCTCCAGAAAACCTGGGCCACCACTTCCTACAACATGCAGAAGATCCGTGACAACGCTGCTTGCGCCGACCAGGAGTTTGCCAGCATTGCCGACGATGCCGACCCGGGTCTGTCCTGGAACCTGACCTTCGACCCTAAGGACAAGGCCATGCCTTTCATGACCAGCCTGACTCAAATGTCACCCTTCAGCAACAAGCCCCGTGTTGCCATTCTCCGTGAGCAGGGTGTCAACAGTCAAGCAGAGATGGCGTTTGCTTTCAGCAATGCTGGCTTCTCTGCCGTTGACGTTCACATGACCGACATCATCTCCGGCCGTGTATCCCTCGCTAGCTTCGTTGGTCTCGCCGCCTGTGGTGGTTTCTCGTACGGTGATGTTCTCGGTGCCGGTCAGGGTTGGGCCAAGTCCGTCCTGCTGCATGAGAACACCCGCAACGAATTCCAGTCCTTCTTCCAGCGTCCTGACACTTTTGCTCTTGGTGTCTGCAATGGTTGCCAGTTCCTTTCTCGTCTTAAGGATCTGATCCCTGGCGCTCAGAACTGGCCCAGCTTCGAGCGGAACGCCAGCGAACAGTACGAAGGTCGTGTCTGCATGGTCCGCGTCTCCGACCCCAATCCTTCCCGCCCCAGTGTCTTCCTGCACGGCATGAACGGCTCCTCTCTCCCCATCGCCGTCGCCCACGGTGAGGGTCGCGCCTCGTTCGCTCCCGCTTCCGGCGCCACTCCTCAGTCGTTCGTCAACGATGGCGGTGCTGTCGTCCAGTATGTCGATACTGCTACCCTCAAGCCGACCATGAAGTACCCTGCCAACCCCAACGGCAGTCCCGAGGGTATTGCGGGTATCCGCAACGCTGACGGTCGTGTCTTGGCTATCATGCCTCACCCCGAGCGTACTGTTCTGGGTGGCATTGCCAGCTACCTGCCTACCAAGGCTGAAGAGTGGGGTGACATCGGTCCTTGGGGCCGTGTCTTCTACAGCGCCAGAAGATGGGTTGGTTAAAAGGGTAGCATATAAGTTACTCCTTGCCACTTCTTTTTTTCGTTACTACCTATCTCAAAATTGGGGATCCTTTTGTCCGCTGTCTATTACATGAGTGTCGAGAAAATGTGCGGTGCATGTTATTGGCCTTTACGATATAAATTATACTATGAACATTTTATATTCCATCTTAAGCTCTTGATGCATTTACGATGATATGTTGTGAAATAATCTCTTTTTACCTGCCTCGCGAATACTCTACATAGGAAATAGGAACCAGAATGTGATCTTTTCAATGAATCACATGGGGCTTATATCGTGGGGATTCGGCCCTCTTCAGTCATGCCGTATTTTACTCATGACTTGACTGTCTCAGATTACTATGGTGCAATCTATATGTCTTCGCTGTAAAATTGGATTCATAAACACCGTGTAGTAAGTGAGTCGATATATTGGAGAGATATTAAATTAATTGAAGACATTTCAATTTCCGGGTATCATAAACCTAACCTAGCCGATTGCCAAACTCCTCTTACAAGAAGAGATTACAGTATAAGACTCTGCTGCTGTCCACTTGCCTTCCTCCACTCGAGCTTCTCGGCCAATATCTCCCAACTAAGTTGGCCGTCGACACGCCCTACACCCCTTAGACCAGCCACAATGAACGCTAATAGACGATTGAACTGGTCTTTGATATCTCGTACTCGTTGCATGTAGTGGGTTTCGTGAAACGAGGCAGCGAGGTTATCTTCGTCTAAGTCGGAGTCATCGTCATCGTCCTCATCGCTTGGGTCATCCAGGTCAGGTTCAGAGCGCTGTGTGTTCCTGCGATGCATAGATTTTGCGCTCTTGGTGGCGGTGCGCGCGTGATCGAGGCTATGGTCACCATAGCGTGAGTTTTGAATGTCTGCAAAGCTGACGCAGAGGTCAAGGATTGTGATGATAGCTTGGTGAAGAGCATTCAGGTTGGTGGATAAAAGGCATTGTTCCTCCAAGGAGTGCATGAATGAGCGATGCGCCGCTACCATGGCATCCACGTCGGCAGAAGCAGAAAGGTCACTGCGCAAGGACTTCGTCGCTGCGGAGATGACAAAATCAGTCATATGGCTGTAGATTGCGTTGAGAAACCAGAGCATGTTGTGTCTGAGAGCATAGCTCAGCGTGTTGTTCCTTGAATCTTGAATTTTGTCAGATTGGTTGTTGTGTTGCAAGCGCTGCTTTACTATCGTTTGCTTTGCTCTGCGGAGTTGCATAAGGAAAGTGGAGATGCGTTGGTATCCCATAAGAGTGTCTTTCGTGATTATATTGGCTACAGGCCAGGGCAAGATGTAGTCGAACGATATGGCGTCTAGCACCTTGACTGAGCGGCTGCGGCTTACTGCATTGCTGTGTGCTTCCTTGGGTGTTCGAACGAGAAGCCGGGAAGGGTCGATGAATGGCAAAGCACCGAAGGCGCTTTGAGCCACTTCAGTAAGCAGGAATCGATCACTCCAAGCACCTTTCCCTCTGTCCATGAGGTCGAATATCTTGCTGTCAATCGGTCCGAAAATGCTCATGTCTTTGCCGAGATAGATATACTCCAGTGCTTGAAGGGATGTCCACAAACCACATTGCTGGCCAAGCTCCGTCCTTAACAAAGCCGAAGTGTAGGCATGGTTTTCATCAACTAATTTTCCGAATGAAAACTCGAGTAGAACGGAGAACGGAAGGCAGAACGCAGATGAGTCTGGCGGTAAAACTTCGTCCAGTGTTAAGGAGACCTTCCGCGGAGTCTCATCGTCCTCAGACGTATTCAGATGTCGCAGAAAAACCATGCTTTTGCCAGTTATGAAGATCTTGGACGCAAAAGGTTGGATAAACTTCGGGGAATTCGGGAGTATCGCATCCAGTGAGTACCAATCATGCCATAGCGTTCGCAGATCACTGTCACTTTGACTGTTGCGTATGAAAAATCCAGCTGCAGAATCATCCAACTGGCCTTTCTCCATCCACATACGGACGGGATGTGCATAGGTTTCGAAGCATGAGAAGAATAACTTGGCAAGGGCCTTAAATAAGCCATCATCACCAGCAGCTTGTGTCAGGCACACGAGATCATAAAGTGAGTCGAGACACTGCGTAGCGGTATTTGAAGTATTTGAAGTGTTTGGCATCAAGCTAGACACCAGGTCAGACAACAGCAAAGGCAGTCTGGACTCCCGATAAACATCTTCTGAGAGCTGCAGAAGACTGATGGACACGATTGATGTCTGAGCAAGGTACTGGTGTTGCACGTTAGATAGAAACAAATCGAACTCTCTAAGACAGCTCTCCAAGCCCCGATGAAACGTTTGCATATAAGGGATCTCCTGTGGAGTGTTGCAAAACTGCCTAAGGATATCCAGTTTAGCTCCTGTCGAGCTCAGTGATCGCAGTAATGAGACGAATGCCTCATTCGACAGGTCTGCAATGGTATATCTTCGATGTATTTCAACATTACCATCGAATCGCCAGAACAGAGACGTAGGTAGACCTTGCAACATGAATACAGTCTCCCTTACTACCTGGAGCTCAGTAATAATTTGAGAAGCAGGGCCAGCTTTTTCAGTGGCCGGGCTCTCTTCATTTCTCCAAAATTGTGCATTAGCAATCGATTCAATGAATTCGTCGTTCTCTCCAGATGTGAAGACTTCGTCAGGAATCATGTAGTCTTCCTCTGTTGTGACAGACGTTTCTGGTTGATTGCGCGTATGGTAGCTGTCAGTGGACACCGATGCAAGGTCCTCATCAGAGGAATCAGCACCATAATCTACATCTTCCCAAATATCCTCGCCACAATATGCCGATCCAGCGGCGTCCAATTCATCCCAGACAAGCGATTTCGCTTCCTCTCTGGGCTTTGCTGTCACCACCTGGTCTACCCTGGACCGCTGAGCAGGGCGGTCTGCCAGCTGCAGAAGTAATGATAGTATTTCGGGGAACCATGAGCTTTGGTGCTCTTGCAGCTCCGTTACTCGGATACGCAAAGCATCAGCCAATTCATCCCTACAAAGGACTTGGAATTTCTCCTGCAGTCCTTCAAGTTGGCTGGCGACGGCGAATTGATCCGTGCGCGCATAAGCATGCGACTTGAAAGTGTCTTCAGTCCGACGTTTTAAGGTCCTGAAATGTGGAGTGTCCTGGACAGGAGCGTCAGCATGAGATCTGCTTTACATTAAGGGCTTGAGTGCAATGCCTTTCTATCGGGCTTCGCAACGGCTATAATTAGCTCGTCTGTCAGCGCGCTCACATTGGCTGCAACGGCCATGATAGGCCATGGAGCAAGCGACAATTGCGGAAACTACTGAGAGGGAACTAAATAGATCGAACACACAAAGTCTCCATTATTATTGCTGGTGCCAGGAGGTGGTTACGCGGCGTGGGCGGCAGATCGGAGACAACTAATGGCTGACGACTTGCCATCTTGGGCATGTGGTCACGCTAGGCCCGATGGGGGAAGGCGGCAAAGAATGCAGAGTCGCGGCGGCGGCGATAGCAACTCAACTCGGCCCAGCCAAGTAGACTCCAAGTCTCCCTCATCGGTCTCGCCAGCTCTCCTGTCGCTCCTTTTCCTGCCATCTCGTCCTCCGGGGTTCGCTGACAGGCAAGATGGCTGTCGCAAGGCCCATTCGCATGCTCGGTGCCTCGTGCATCATCCTCATCCTCTTCCTGATCTTCCAGATGAACAAAACGCCCATCTCCATTAGTAAGGGGCCATACGCAACACAGCCGTATGAGGGCATAACTTCAGACCCTCTCAAAGAGCGTACGCTACCCCAACGTCATTCTCTTGCCCTCTTTCGCATTCTTTCTATTACCTCTGCTAAATTACTTTCTCCTTTTCACAGCAACTGGAGAACCGACAGGCCACTTATGGCGTGCGACAGATGGCGATTATTCTCCCGACAGCACCGACTCCCCTCGGGCCAACGCGGCACTGATCTCTCTCGTCCGTAACGAGGAGCTGAACGAGCTGATTCCATCTATGCGTGATCTCGAGCGCACCTGGAACAGCAAGTTCAACTACCCCTGGATCTTCTTCAACGATGTGCCGTTCACTGAGGAATTCAAGAAGCGCACACAGGCGGAAACCAAGGCGAAATGCTACTACGGTAATTAGACACGAACTCAACCCGGACTGACTTTGATCTCTAACATTTTTCTGCAGAGCTGGTTCCCAAGGAGCACTGGGATGTCCCCGAGTGGATTAATTGGGATCTCTTCAAGGAGTCGGCGCAGATCCTGAAGGAGAAGAATATCCAATATAGTGACAAGGTCTCCTACCACCAGATGTGCCGCTGGAATAGTGGCCTGTTCTACAAGCACCCCGCTCTCGCCAAATACCGTTACTACTGGCGAGTCGAGCCCAAGGTCAAGTTCTTCTGTGACGTGGACTACGACATTTTCCGTTACATGGCCGACTACAATATCACATACGGTTTCACCATCAATCTTTTCGACGCTCCGGAGAGTATCCCATCTCTTTGGCCCGAGACCAAGAAGTTCCTTGCCGCAAATCCCTCCTATGTTTCGGACAACAATATGATGAACTGGCTCACCGATGACCAACTTCGCCCGGAGCACACCGAGGGAGGAAATGGTTATTCTACCTGCCATTTCTGGTCCAACTTCGAAATCGGAGATATGGAGTTCTTCAGGGGCGAGCAGTATTCTGCTTACTTCGACCATCTGGATCGGTCTGGTGGTTTCTTCTACGAGAGATGGGGCGATGCTCCTGTACACTCGATTGGTGTTGGTCTCTTCGCGGACGCAGCCAAGGTTCATTGGTACGTTTAACTGCCCTGGCTCCTTCGATGACTATCTCACTTACCACTTCTTTTTTGTCAGGTTCCGCGATATCGGTTACAACCACATCCCCTACTACAACTGCCCCAACTCGCCGAAGTGCTCCGGCTGCACGCCCGGCAAGATGTATGCTGGTGAATCATGGCTGGCTAAGGAGGATTGCCGGCCAAGCTACTTCCACCATGTCGGTACGCACTAAACGTGCTGGCACACAATGCTGCATTTTATTCAAATTATATGTGCATAATAGCGGCGCGGTTATTCTACGCAGCCTTTGAAACCGTTCTGCAACAGGTGCAACGAACAGGTATCGTTCCCCTGGCGCATAGGCGTTATGATCTCGGCCTCGGAACCTGGGGGATCCACCCGGTAATAGAGATCTCGTGTCGTCCAGTGTTGCAGGTTGCCTATGCAGACCTCAATACATGTGTCAACCACGGCCTCATTTCATTCTCCTATTACATACATCTTCATGACACGAGTCATTCAAAAACCAATATCAGAATTTCGGCGGCGTTTGACGGCTTGGTTTCTTCTTCCTATATTCTTCCTTTCTTGCTGTTCCTACTATCTATAGTCTTCGTTGTGTTATGCTACCTTGATGAGGATCGCTGGAGCGGGCCTTGGCTGTATCTATATCTTTCATGATTCTCACACTGCTTCACGCTATTGACGCAATAAAAGATTTCTGAATACACCAGTATAGAGGCTGCCCCAGTTCTCATAATCAAGCGTAACAACCTGCCTTTTCTGTCCTCAATATTAGTCGGAGCGCTATTGTCTTCATACTGCTCCAGACTGTCCCATGCGGTTCAACCCCTCCAGCATCTCGATTGAGCCTATCTCGAGGCGAAATATTGATGGAATGGAAAAGAAAATGACACCCTCTTATTTTCCGCACTATCACCAATAATACAGAGTACAGATAAATGCTCACAAAATTTATAGTAGCACTGGTATAGAAAAGCACGCGTGCACCTCCATTCAACCCCCGGACAGTCAGGAAGTCGGAAGCAGATGGCGTTAATCAGAGACGGCCCACCGAATACATCAGCGACTTCAATCGATTCCAACTGCACTCTAGAGTATGTATACAGCTTTCCTATCACAATTGACGGGGGAAGGAGCAAAGGAAACATGACGAGATATATGTCGGGACGTGACGTTTACGCCTCCTCGGGGTAGAGCTCCTCACGGAGAGCAACACCCAGCTCCTGGCGGAGACCCTCAAGGGCCTCAAGGTATTGCTTGTACTGCTCCTGAGTCTCGACCTTGGCCTTGACACCTATTTGTAGAGAAAGAAAAACATTGTAAGTTCAATTGTCATGGGAAGGAAACGGTGATGGAATGGGGAGGAGGAAGCGCACCCTCGAAGATCCGGACAGCGGTGGGGTAGTCGTTGACGCGACGAGCAGCCTTCAGAGCAGCGGTAAGGACCTCAACGGAGGGAACGAGATCGTAGGCGAAGCAGTTGTTGAGATTACGCTGGATGGGAGAACAGTAACTTGTCAGCAAAGGTGTCTGATATGGCGCCAAGGGGCTGCGGACGGTCCGGTTTTATCTGCCAATGGCAGCTTTGCTGATTATGGGGAAGGGAATTGATAGGGACGAATTGGAATCATGCAATATGGGCAGATTAGCTTACCTGGAGCTCGAAGACATCCTGAACACCGTCGAATTCCTTCTCGAATCTACCGGCAGATGTGGTTAGTTATATGGGCGGAACTCGCGGGTTGGTGTGGTATTATCAAGAAAGATGTGTGAATTGTCTCGGGGAACTGGTAGTGGGAATCCCTGTGATTGGGAATCGTGCACCGCAGGGAGCGTCGGAACCCAATGGCTTCATGGGAGATAGTTGCATACCTGGCAGAGAACTCCTCGTATGTCTCGTCCTCGTGGTGACCGCCGAAGCGCTTAGCGGAGGTGCTGAAGCTGGGACGGGCGATAGCCAGAGCAACGGGGGCCTGCACCCGGGGACGGGGCAATTGAGCCGCTCTGATGAAGCCGGAAGGGCGGACGGCGCGGGTCGCGATGCGGAAGACGGAGATGGGCGACATGGCGAGAGGAGGGTGGGTTGTGGAGGTGGACGAATGGACGTGGGTGAGGGGAGATCAGGACGGGCGAGGTGTTGACGAAGTTCGAAGTCAGAGGTTCTGCCGGCTACGCTAGGATTTTGCGGGTGGTGTGAGGTTGTTGCTGCCTCAGGCCAGCAGTCAGGTCAGCCCGTCATTGATAATCGCCCGCTTCTCTTTTGCGGCTTGCGGCTTTCCCGTTCGCGCCCGAGTTCGCGGATACCTCAGGCAGAAATTGGCATGCTGTCATTCGCTGCCTCAGGTCTCTCCCCCATCCGGATTTTTATATGCCGTTGATGATTGGCGGATGTCGATGTGCCCCGATTGCCGGGTCTGATTGGTTGGTCCGTTCATGCCTCGGAGTGACTTGGACAAGCATGACTAATCACCACCAAACTGATGATCAGTAGTACTTAGTTAGCAATCAAACAAGGTCACAGTATCATATTCAGGGACTCGAGCTTGAAATGAAGGTTCTCCTGGTGGTCCGCGTCCCGGGACTCCAACTGAACTTTTGAGTTTACACCCCAAATGGCGATCCTTATATCTCCTTTCAACCTCAATTTTGAATCAATCCTATTTCTCCAATGTAATTTACCAGCCTTGATGCTGCTACTGCTACTGATGCTCCTGCATGGTACCAATCGAACCCATCTGTCTCCATTATATATATTTGGTCTGAGGACCCGGAGTTCGGAGTAGTACAACGTCGCGGTTTGTTGACAGGGCTTCTCGAAAACCAATGGAATGCGTCAGACCAGTCTACCTTGAATCTAAATATCCTTGTAGCAGAGATCTAAAACCATGCACATTACATACTTACATCGGAAATCTGGATCGATCGGGTTTCAGAAGGTTGTGGCAAGTGCCCTGAAGACCCTGAATTTACTGGTTCAATTTACCATTGAAGCTTGCGCCCGTCAAAGCTCAGAATTGAGACGAAATAATTCACCATCTCCGCAATAGACTATCAGAGCACCAAATACTGCTTTCTACCCAAGTTGTTCGATTATGTCTGTACTGAGGCTGGTAAATGTATGTATCTAAGCGAGAGGCAGACCAAGCATGTGAAGGGGAAGTGAGGTGGTCTGTGATTAGTCCCCATAGTAAGGTCGAACATGTTTGACGGAACCAGTGAACTGCCGACTATTAGTGGCCAAATCGATACATCCCAATCTAATTTGAAACCGCACATCTGGGGCACACCCCCTCTCAACGTGCCTGAGAAACTCCATTGATGTGCAGGAGAGTTTAAGCTTGAGGATAAGATTAACAGACCGTACTCTGGAAGCAATTAACCCAAGGACTGCAGTGGCGGACATAAAATTCGGTGCCTGGGAGACCCGGAGACCGGAAGGCACATGATCGCCGGGCCCTAGAGCAAAATGCCCCTTTTCAACCGCTGGCCGAGGCTGCACTAGTCCGCATTCGGACCCTGCGGGCGCGCCGGGAAGCCCAAAAAAAAGACACGCGGATTTGATCCTCCTTCCATTGCAAGGCAGGCCAGCTCTTATTCCACCCTCTCCACCTTTCCTTCTGCTTCTTTTGCTTCTTCTCTCCTCTTCTCCTTCCTCTGCCCCCTCCTCAATCTCGCTTGTTTCTCTTCTTTCCTTCCTTTTTGTTCTCCTTCTCGTCGGCTTTTCTTCTTCTTTCCCTTTCTTCCCCAGTCTCTTCGGCTGTTTCGGTCCGCATTCTTGCGACCAGTTGAGAAAGCGAAAAAGGGAGCGTTCCGCTGTCATCTTCCGGAGTTGTTACTCTTCGACTGCACTGTCGCATACACTGTTTGGTCTTGATACCTTGATTCCCGTTCACCATGGATGTCCTGCAAAGTCTGCCTTTGCCGTCAATTGACCGGCCGTTTGGTATCCACCTATGGCCTATCTTCGACAAGGCCTTCGAGCTGGTGGTGGGCTATCCTGCCAGCGAGTTTCGCTTTGAAGAAGGCGTGACGCCCATGTCTACTTTCAAGGAAACCGCCATTGCGCTCGTTGCCTACTATGTCATCATCTTTGGTGGCCGTGAGTTCATGAAGAACAGACCTGCCTTCAAGCTCAACACGCTTTTCATGATCCACAACCTTTACCTCACCCTGATCAGCGGCACTCTCTTGGCTCTCTTCATTGAGCAGCTTCTCCCTACTGTCTGGAGACATGGTATCTTCTATGCTATCTGTGACCACGACGGTGGATGGACGCGGCCTCTTATCGTTCTGTACTATGTGAGTACTCACGGCGCGGGACAAGTTTCGCTACGATCGGATCCGGTATGCTAACGATATCGCGAATAGCTCAACTATTTGACCAAGTACCTCGAACTCATTGACACCGTCTTCCTGTTCCTCAAGAAGAAGCCTCTTACCTTCCTTCATACCTACCACCACGGTGCCACCGCGCTTCTCTGCTATACCCAGCTTATTGGCTTGACTGCGGTTCAGTGGGTTGTCATTGATATCAACCTCCTGGTGCACGTCGTCATGTACTGGTACTACTTCCAGAGTGCCCGTGGTATCCGTATCTGGTGGAAGGAGTGGATCACCCGTCTCCAGATTATTCAGTTCGTCATCGATCTCGGTTAGTAACCATTTCCAGCTCCGCATCGCTTCAACTAACCAGGTGACAGGCTTCATCTACTTCGCTTCTTACACCTACTTCTCCTCTACTTACTTCCCCTGGGCTCCCAACATGGGCAAGTGCGCCGGCGAGGAGTTTGCCGCTTTCTCCGGCATGGCTGTCATCAGCTCTTACCTCTTCCTCTTCATCTCCTTCTACGTCGCTACCTACAAGAAGGCTGCCAAGGCCGGCCGTCCCCGCCGCAACACTGGCAAGCAGGCTGTTATTGACATGGCCAAGTTCGAGGTCTCTTCGCCGAACGCTGACGCCAAGGGCAACGCCAAGTCCAACGGAGCTGCTGTGTCGACCGGCCGTGCCAATGGCCCGGTTACCCGCTCCCGCAAGGCTTAAGTCATGCATCTCATCTAATTCATTCAGAGAAGCACGATAGCGCATCTCTCGGTGCTTTGCTCGCTTGGAGCCTGCCCTTGCGAACGATGTTTCAAACCCACTTATTTCTTATTCTCACGCCTCTATGCCTATGTTGGCAAACTCACGGCTTAGCGACGGAGCCCCAATCACACAATGCCCTTGGATTCTACCCTTGATGTTTCACACCCGGCACCCCCAAAACTTTATATTTATTTAATGAATGACCCTGACGACCCTGGTCGCCTTGCTTTGCGACCAGCTTATGCATGTGGCACCGCTGCTTTGCAGGGAAGGCGCCAAGCTATTCCCAGCGAGGGCGTATTGGAGTGGGTGAAGTTATTCCTGGGGATACGTCAGGCAAGAGACCCTGCACTGGCTGTTTTCAGGCTGTATTCTAGATGCTTTTCTACTTCTTCGGGCAGTCGTCTATGCGCCGCTGCTGGATGTTGACCTTTCCGACGCGCAGTATCTTTCCTAGTGCGGCATTATAGATGGTGAGGTCAACGTAAATGTAATCATGGTTATGTGTCTGTTTAATTGATATTTACCTGTACATAATTGATTGCGGATCTTTTATTTCTTCAATGCTAATAATCAAAACGCATGGCTGTCTACCACAACCTTGGGCATGGATGTATAAATGATTCTGACCGTCAAAGACGGAGGAGGGTAACAGGAGAACTTGAAATTGCTGAAGGCCATAGTTCAACGGCAGGCTATGAACGTCTGTTAAACGGCAAACACGAGAAACGTCTTCGCAGGCGGTATTTCAATTAAGTATCTGATAGTCTGCAGAACATTGGGTTGATGTGCCACTTGCCCCTCTAATAATCACATTAGTCAATGATATTTCCGGGGGCAACCGGCGGTCAACGGACTCCCTGTTTTTGAGATTCGGTCGCTGGACGAACAATTGAGGTCGCTTATGGGGATGACAGCATGACAGGCGCAGAGTCGCGATGCTCGCTAGGGGATCGGAGTTGCTGGAGTGGCGGGATCGACCCTCGAGTTACTCCGAGCCGAGATCGTCATGTCAACTATCACAGCTCTCGATGGTCTTTCTCCACCTCCCTCTCAGCTTCCTGCTAACAGTGAGGTGCAATATGCATACGGTTTTCGGTCTTTTAGAGCATTCTGCTAAGCGGAAATATCCAAGCTCAGTTGTAGGTAGTTAACGATCGCTTACCGGTCAATTGCTAATCCGGTCTTGAACTGAAGGGCAAATAATGTTGTAACTGACTATTGCTTCTATGTATAGGCGCTATAATCTAAGCTCTAAATCAGACCCGGGAGTGGCTCCAATGGGCTGAAAGCTTATCACTGCCACCTCAACTTCTCGTGCCGATTGCTCCCGTGAATCCCTCGATCTTGCAGTCGGCTGGAGCCGTGGATCCTGCGCAGATCCAATGGTTCATGCCACTAAGGGGACAGCGTCCTTTCGCATCTGCCTAATACCCCCACTGGTTGATGAGTACGCTGTCTTGCTGCCACGAGCTGGTCTACCTATTTACATGGTCTGTGTGGGATCGCCCAATAGACGATATCAATGGCTTGGACTATGAGATCTAGGCGCATTAGTCTAGGATTTAGCCTGCTCAGTTGCTATTTTCTTTTTCACAATGGCTAAGGAATGCTGAGCTTTTTGGCTCCATTCCTGCATTGATGCCAGAGTCCGATATGGCTTTGGTGATGATTCTGTTGAGGATCAACGTGAGCAGGCCAGAGCACTGACCTCGTTATTGCGCTCCATCGATGATCTTCACGCTCGGCTGAGAGGAGCTCAATGATCCGAAGTATCCTGAAGATGATTTCAAGGGCTCTGGGAATAGCATAAAAGGGCCCTCGATTCCTGCCCTTCTGTCTGTATTCCATCCAGCATCACAATCGCATTATCTCTCCAATCCTCTACAAACAACACTTCTACTTTAGTTTTAATAACTAATCTTTACCACTACAACCGACACCATGCGTTTCTCCATCATCTCTGTTTCCCTCCTCTCCCTCTTCGCCTCCTCGGCTCTGGCTGTCCCCGCCGCTTCCGGCACCCTGAGCTGCAGCGACGTCAACTCGCAGCTCTCCGGCTACGAGCAGCGCCTCGCAAAGGCCACTGACACCAGCTCCGCCAAGTACCAGGCCGCCCAGAACCTGGTTAACTCTGCCAAGAACCTCGAATCTGCCGACTGCGGCAGCTCCAGCAAGAGATCCTACTACCCTCCCGAGAGCACCGGTCTCATTGGAGAGGTCCTGAACGCTCTTGACTCCCTCGTTAGTATCCCTTCTTTAACATAGCTTCGGTTTGTGATACCCCATCTAACTTGTCACTTTAGCTTGAGGCTCTCGGTCTGTAAACAGCCATCCTATCACCGAGAAGCGCGACTCGACGTCGCGCCTGGGATCGTCCCTATCGAGTCCCTTCACAGAGTCGCCGGACGATGGAGGGATGCAATGTGCAGGATGGCCTCGGTATAGGTTTTCTCCATAGGTTTTCTCCTGAAGGTTTCCCTATACCACAATGCAAATGCAGGGGTCGGGGATATCTCTGGAATATCGGCGATGGTTCCTATATTATTAATGGAAATGTACGGGTATAATTAATGATATCAGCCTGTCTATAAATATCTTCGTCGGAGAAAAGCGTAGCAACTTCTAGTTTCCGGTCATCTAGAGTATTTGTTATTGAAATTACCAGCCCCGGTAATATCAATCAGATCTGACTCGTGCTTTTTCTTAGGAAATATCCTAAGTGTAGTCATGAGCCATTTCTGTTGGATGGGACCTTGCGCATTTGCCGAAAGTCAGAGAGAAATATGTATGGTCATAGTAAATTGAAATTGATACTATCTTCCTAATTAACCAATTGAAAGTTGTCATCTAGGAGAATGCCGTGATTTTGCTACCAAACACCAAAGAATACCAGATATTCGAAACAAAGTTGGAAGATGCGCGAATTCAGACATTATCTAATGAGTGTAGCTTGTCTCAAATGTATAAATACTATTCTACCATCCCCCAATCTAGTGGAAGCACACCACGAAGTATACTACGCTATCTTACGCCATCTTCACAGCTCAACTGAAACCATTTCTTTCATCTTCGTCAACAAACTCGTAACAATGCACCCATACAGCTCATTCGTGATCCACCAAAACCAACAAAACCCATCAAGACTGAACTCTCTTTGTGACTTCCTCAACAATCCTCAGTCAGATCAGCATGTTAGTCGACTGGGTGTGTTGGAGTTTACTCAACTGAATTCTCCACCTGTCTATCGCACACTTGACCATCAGAGCTTGCGCGAAGTTGTCTCCGAGGATATAGTGATTACAGAGGAATGTTCGCTATATGGTCGTATCGTTCTTGTTGAGAATATCTCGCGTGGTATCGTGGAAATCTTGGGTTGGGCGTTGAGAATTGATCCCTCGTTCTTTGAAGCTCATATTGGGAATAAAGATTGCTCCGAGGAATCGATGCTTAAAGTTGGGGATACACCGCAGACATTCGTTACATGGCACTACCCTCGGGCCATTACGTTAGAGGGTTTACAGGGGCATGTTGGATCTGAAGAGTATGTGAGGCAATTGAATGTTTATAGAAAAGTCCTGCTCTTACCTTTGGCTCAGGACAACGCATTCGATGCCCTCATTCAGCACCATTGCTCTCTCTCTGTAATTGACCTTAGAGGTGGTGGTTGGCTCGGTATGTCTACTTTGCATTGTCTGTCTACTATCTCGTCTACGCACACCAGCTAACAGCAGCAGTTCTGATTTTAGTAGACCCCCCAGTCCTCAACGGTGGTCTCCGACTAACCCCGAAAAGTGGCCCAGAGGGCCCCATTCTTACAGCTTCAGATTGTCAACTCTTTCAATATGGCTACGAGGACATCAGAGATTCTGACGACCCAGAGGAGCAAAATTGGCCATGCTCCCCTCCTCACGAGAGAGGCGGTTCAACCCGCCCCCCACGAGATGGACTATTTGATGACCTCGTCTACTACTGGAGAAACAGGCTCGCACCAGCATTCGAATTCATCGACCCCCCGGCGACGTCTTTTGTATACTACCCCTTTGAAATTGCCGTAGCCGAGTGGGCCAACAGCTACGAGGCAATGGACCTATTTCTTCAAAATTATCAATCAGTACTGCTGGATAACAAAAATAAACCTGACAACAGCATCAACCAGGCCAGCCACCCCGATCCTAACGTTTCGATTCTCACAGCTTTGCGCCGCTGGATCATGCCCCACATCACGCAGCGTCCAAGGGACCGCGGATATCTGGTGAATCAGATTACAGCCCCTCCGCTTCTTGTCGACGACTATGAAGTCGTTATCAACAGCTTGGAACAACTCTCCTCTGCTCTGGAGACCATCCTTACTCAATAGCAGGAAATTCTCACCTGCCCCTACTAACACATCATACCGTACCGTTGTCAAGTCATACATCGAGCGCACCAAATCATGAACCCGTCTATTTGTTGTTTGTCCCAGTCAGTGTACGCGATGCCCGTGTTGGTAACAATAACATGGCATGCGTGAGAAGTCCGTCCCAGCTGAAAACATTACTACTTATTAAGATCACGAGTAACTCCCACAGAAGCTTGACAACTACCTAGACTGGACGACTACAGGCGTACTGCCACCACTGATGCTGCCGCTATTGACTACACACTAAGTTCCATTGTCTATTTTAGTAACTAACTTGGGACAATATGTGAGTGCTGAGATGGTTATGAGTGGTTTGATCTTGCCTTGATTTATTCTACAATAAGCAATGCCAGTAATTGAATCAATTTGATCCATTGGTAGATTTAACGTGTAGATAAGTAAGTAATCAAGTAGCCAAGTTAATGATGTCTGAAGCAGATTAGCAGCCAGCAGAAATCCCTACAAATCAGCTTCACACCAGAGGAATAGTAGTAGGATTTTCCCCCCTACCCCTCTCCATCTTAGACACTGACATCACCAATCATTTCAACCATCTGTCACATGTGACTATCTAATCACGATCAAACATTCCCTCCATAGACAAGACACAACCTTCTTTTTCTCCCTGCAGAATGCCACACTAAAACAAAGTATACTCACGATCAAAGATCTCAGGTATGCAGGACGACCCCCTTATCCCTCCATACCATCACCACCACCTACATACTCAATCTACCTACCTTGATTCAAACTTAACAATAAGCATAACCGTCACACGATCGATCAACTCCAGGGATGGATAGATAGATAAGCCCAAAGGCAAGAATGTTACGCTGTGGAGGTAATCAGTCATTCAGTCAACCGCGTAGAATGTGCCAAGACCTACACCAGAAACCCCCTCCTTGATACCTATCCGCACTTGACAACTCCATCCCTCCATCCCTCTCTCCCTTGTTAAGTAGATACAGAGATAGATGACTAGGCTACCTACACTTCCAGCTACATGCCGTCATTCTTCACACGTCTCACGTCCCACATCCCACTACACCATCCCCTTAGCTCGGTAAAGCGAAGGAGAAGGAGAAGAGGAGAAGGATTCCCCACCCACTTACCCTTACCCACACACCACCTGTCATGTCATATCATATCATGCCAAGGCAAAACATGGCACGGTATGGTATGTCACCCCCCCCCTTCTTCTCGGACGAAACTCCACCTCCACCTCACTTTAGTTGACATTCACTTACCTAACTCGACTCCGCTAACTTATAGCGGCGTCCACTAAGGTAGTAAGTAACGGCCATGCATCAATCCGGTAATGGTAACCGCACTAAAGAGTGAAGAAAAAACAGGGATTAGAGTCGATAGTTTGCTTAGTTCAGGTGGAACTGGAAGGGGAGGGAGGGGTAATGTAGCACTAAGATGGGACTGGGCGTTCAATAGTTGCTACCCTTTTTTATCTAGGTAATTGTGCTAGGATACTATGTGGGTGTGACGGTGGTGATAGTGGTGGTGGCTGTTTCTAAAAATGTTCGTTTAGTATCATTTAGTATAACATAAGAACCATCTAGCTACCTAGATTGGTGAAGTGCGCCGTTGGAGGTAACTCCACTGGTGGGGTGTGATGTTAGCCATGTTGGTGGGTTTATCCAGAGTCTTCCTCTATCTTTTTCGTTGTTTCTCGGGTTTTTCTGTGGATATTGTACTCTGTGGATAGTAGTGTGCGGAGGACTTTTGTAGGTAGGTGATGTGTGATGACAGCAGCACGGTATGTCCCCCTGTCCCGGCAGGTTCTCCGTGCTAATCTTTCACGCAGTAAACAAGAGATGTAACTCTCCCCTGAGTGATATTCTGTCCCTCTTTTGCCTAAAAGATAAGCAAAAACCCGACTCGTCACATCACACAGGCAGGATAATCCCCAACAGTGCAGCCACCCTTCAATTTACCCCTCCACTTTTACTAGGTACCACCAACTGTCACACAAACCTAGTCTAATAGGAAAATAGTAGTGGACACACCATGCAAGAAGGTTATTGTCCGAAGTTTCATCGTCGAGCGTTGGCGCGCACCCATATATAGCTAACCTGAAACGCCCATTCAAGCGCTAATTGGCCATTGAGACACCCGAGGGTTCAGGAACACCGAATATACCACAACAGGAGAGTTTCTTATCTGCACACAGAAAATCAATATATTGAGAAGCCGGGTTTTATGCGAGAACTGGTAGGGCATCTTTGCCGGTAACCTTGTTTGGGGAACTGTGGGTGTGCGTATGTGTTTTTGTGTGGGTGGGGGTTTCATGACCGGGTCGCGTCGACGTAACTTTATTCGAACGAGTTTGTGCGATACGAAGGTTTCTCACTTGTTTATAGTGGTTCGTCCATGCGATGTGATGAATGTATACGTGAGGACTGGAAACCGGTTTCCTAGAGTTTAAGGCAGCAGGTTGAAGCCAATGGGTACAGCGTATCATTCAGGGGCGTGATATCGCATCCCCAGGATAAGAGTCCAGAGAAAGGAGGGCCGCCATAAACTTCACATCCACGTCAGACTCGAGTCAAATCACCGAGTCTGGGTGGTTGGGGTCATGCAGATGATACGTCTGGTGATGTGCACTGACATGCGGGTTGGGTAAGTCTGGAGATATATCATGGGGTTGGAAAGTCAAATGAGCATTGGCGTAGGTGGCAGTGATGATTATCAACTCAATCTTGCGCTAAGGCCAGCAACAATAGACCCTCTGGTGAGGTTATTTTGTGCTGTGGTCGCTTGGCTGGGACAAAGTAAATCAGCGAAGACCACTTGAGACGAAGTAAGGAGGAACAATAGTATGCTTAAGAATTGCTAAAAATATACTGAATCTCACCTCATGGAGTAGTAGTCGAGTCGATAAGAGGATTTCCGTAGTGTCCTTACTCCGTCTATGCCCGGCAAGTTCTGTATGTGTGTGTATGTATGTCTTGTCTGCAACAGTGCATTGCTCCCAGCCACATGCGCCCGTTGCGATGATGGAGAGAGCGAGCTAGCTCCTATAATCTACACACCACACAGATACACAAACTAGGAAGGACAGATATTCCTTCTGCGATAATCCTTTGGAAAGAACGGAGTCTCCCACCGTGCCGAAATCCGTATCCGCTCATGCAATTAGCTTAACAGTTAGCAGTTGAGCAGCCCATCCCTTGGCCCCCTCTCCCATGCCGCTCGGCTGTTTCACACTGCAACCACCGTTGGTTGCGTTCCTGCATAAGGCCGGAGGAGGTTCGGCCGTTGGCTTTTTTTCCCCCCTCTGCTCCCGTCTCCCACTAAGAGAGCAATTGACTACGCAGAGTGAAAGTACGTGTAGAGACGGAGACTAACTGCGGTGATGATCCGACAATCATGTCTATTTCGGGGTATCGTTAATCTACCGATGACGCCCGATGATTTTCCAACCGCCTCGGCGGGGATCATCGACGGTGCACTGATGAATTGATTGATGGACTTTCCTCAACCTATTGTTGAGTAGTGTAGGTAAATATCATCACTTTTGTTTATTTACTCGGTTGTTGGTGGCTTCCTCTTACTATATTGTAGTTGTGGAGATCTGTCTAATTTGTTGTGTTACCCGGTGATCTCACTTCCTTATTATACTACCATTACTACCACCACCTCGACTCAGTAGGTGGATGCAGAATCTCCCTTGGATGCATCCCGTCTGCAGGGAGGTCCGCGTTTATTGCTGCGGGTATCTAGCAGTCCATGCGAGAAAGAGAGAGTGTGTGTACAAGAGAAAGAGCGAAAATTCTCCCATTCGACGGTCGGGCAATTGGATGACCCCATCACGGCATGAACCGGACCACCCACTGAAAAAGTGGGCATGAGTGGGAAGAGGAAGAAAGGGGGTGGGAACGCATGTAAACAGAAGAAAAAAGAAAAAGTTACGAACACCGGACGGGAAGATAGTTCCCTCTTTTTCTTTCCTCTCCCATTGCTCGAGGGGTCTGGTGTGTTTGAATTAGACATGCTCCACTGGGCTGGAGCAACGGCGTTGCTTGGGAGTTGGGAAACGGTTCCCGGAGTTCATCCAATGCCAGGAACCAGGGGCAGGAAATGTATCAGATTGAGATGATGACGCTTATGTTGATGTTGCTGATAACGGGTGCTGTGTTGGGTGTTGGTGTAGTACCGCAATTGCTGGAAACTTGGGTATGACTGCGATCGAGATCGAGGTTGAGGGATAGATAGTAAGTTAGTGAGTGAATGCTACTTACTTTAGACTCGGTCTATCAAAAAGATGGGATCAATGCGCCGTGTCATTTCTCTGGGGGACTTTCCCAATAATTAGCAACCACCGCTAAAAAGGGGATCCTCCACTGCCTGCGAATTCTGCAGTGGATCCCACAACGCTCGACCACTTTGCTCTCCCCCCAACTAAATCTGTGACTAAGGAAGATGCTAACGCCGAGAAAAGTAACAGCGTGCTATCACAAAGCAACAAAGAAAAGATGACTTAAGATAATAACACGAAGGATCTATCTAATGGTTAGAGAGGACAGGGGCAATACAGGAATGATGAAGAATTGCACCCACATGGCCCCAATTGACTACGGATTGCTGGACTCTTGGCGGGAGTGGAAGCAATCTAGATGTGGCCGCCATCTGCACGCCACGGCCCATCCATTTGGAGATGAAGAGTTTAGTTTAAACTGGCAGAGAAAAGTCAAGCACTGACCTTTGGCCTCCCGACTGCGCCCGTGGACATGTCTAATTCGTTTGCCCTTTTCCCCATCCATTATCGGGTCCCGTGGCGCTTGACTCCTCTCCAGATTTTTTCCACCCCGGCAAACGAGTCCCGAAAATCTTGGATAACTTTTTTTTTGTTGTTTTCTTTTTCTGTTAGTTTAACCTTCTCCGTCTTCTCCGTACACAGTAGTCAGCTACTTATGACCGAGCCCGACTATCATTGCTGCTCCTGGTCAGGGTTTTAGTCAAGAACCGCGCATGCAAGGGTTGACCACGTCCTTGATCCCGAGCATCCTGAGGCAACGGACCACTTTCGCTGCTGCAGGAGAGTCAGGTAAGGATGGAGAGAGGACGTAAGCACGCACTCCCCTCATTCCCGTGAAGCTTCAACGCGGCTCGTCCTGGATTCTTAGGGGGTCACCAACACGTATATTCGGGATGGGCGAGGCACAGGAGAAGGGTACATGTACTACTACTAAGTGTAAAGCGCCTAAGTTTGGTGGTGGCGCACGTGTCATGCACATTTGCTTCTTCCCATTCCCTGCAAATTCCCCAACTATTTTTCCTCCCATTTTAGTTTTAGTATCGAGTTAGTAAGTACGTAGGTACTGTAGTAGTCTGCCTCCTCTCTGTCGCGGTGGATCTGCTCATGGTCCGTCCACTCCGGAGGTTGTGTGATCGAATGGCATTTCGGTGGCTTCGTTCAAGACAAACCTCCAGGGTCGGATCCACTCCGTTTCGAGCATGCCATCCCGTGTGGTCAATATACCCTGTCTGGTCCCTGTCCGGTATATTTGATATCCGTTCGCCTCCTTGTCGGCTCTTGCTGGCTTCCCCTGGCGGCTTTTTTTCTTCTTCATCTATTTCTGTTACGCTTCATCTCTCTCCATCTCTCGTCATCTCACGTTCTTTCCACTCCTCCTTTCCTCGTTGCTGGTGTTGCATGGGTGACCCTTGACAACACTAACTGCATTGCATTGCTACCATCCCTCTCACCTCACCTCATCCATATCCCCGACCATATAATCTTTCATTATCGGCCTCTGGGGCGTACAGACGGTCCCCCTTTTTCTAAATTAATTCCTTTTTTTCATCTTTCTTTTTTCCTTTCCTTTTCTTTTTTAAATCATCCTTTTTCCTTCCTTCCAAATTCACTCCATCTCTTGTCAATTATCCAACATGTATTCTACAACAGCACCTCTTGATTTGGATTATCTCAACGAACAGTTGCTTCCTCGACGCTACGAATCCGAAGAAGAGGAGACGTCAGAATCAGAATATGGGGCCCATGACCATGCCTTTTCGCCTATCAAGACTGCTGGTCCCTTCGACTCGGATACCAGTGCAGATGAGCTTTCCAATGTGAATTCCCCAGAGTCGCCAGTGGACAAGTCGTCATTTGCCCGCCTCCTGTCAGCCTATCCATCCGGCAAACAAAGTCGACCCGTATCCATGGATACGGTGAAACGAAGCAGTGGAACGACGTTTGTACCAGATTCGTACATCTTTGACGACGAAGACGACGTGATAATTGAGCTGCCCTCCCCTAGTGCTACCTCTCCTTTGCAATCTCCCATCTTCCTTCAGCCAACAGTCTACCAACCTCCCGCGTCTCCCCCGTCGCAACAGTCACGATCTCCGTCTCCGGCTCTAAGCGAGTCGGATGAAGAGACAGACGTGCTCGTAGCAGAGCAGGTCAAATTCGTGGAACCCTGCGCCAAACCTAATCTAATCCTAATTAGTCCCGTCACCGACGGATCAGTGGTCGAAGAACCTGAACCCATGTCGGCAGTTTCTGCGGTTTCTGCAGATGTACCCGATCGCTTTCCATCCGGCCAAGGAATCTACTCCTTGAACCAGGGAACCAAATCCCAGCCCTTGTTGAGCGACAAGCGGCCCGATTACCTGGCGCACATGAAGCGCGGCAGCTTGCAGCTGCACGGCAAATATGCGAAACAAGCGCCCAAACGGGCCGATACGGACCCCTTCACAATGCCGCGAGCTCTTGCGGACGTTCCTGAAACAGCCCAGGCGATGGCCATGCGCTCGCGTGCTATGACATGGAATCGACCACAGACGTCCGCCGACAGTGCATCGAACCGCGGTCCCAAAGCGGGTCTCCTCCGCCGTCCGCCATCTATGCAAAGTGTTGGTGGTGCTGGTGGTGGTTACTCTCTGTTCCCGAGCACCAGACGAACCCCTGCATATCCTGGCGATGAGTTCCACGCTCGGTCCACCTCTGTGTCCCACCCGATCGCCAGTTCGGACATGAGCCAGCCACCATCACGCACATCCAGTCCAGCACCATACTACTCCTCCCCTACATTCAACCGACACCGCTCGGGTTCATCGTACAGTGTATCCAGCGTCCCCGGCAACATCGCACAGCGGCCGCCATTGCGCAACTCAATCATGAAGAGCTCAACCGCATCGAGTGTGTACTCGGCCAGCAGTCTGCGATCGGAAGTGGAGAGCGTGCACAGCCTGGAACCACGGGAGACCGCCGAGCCCGAAGTTGCCAAGACGGCGCGGCGGAAGAAGAGTTTTCGGCGCAGCAAACAGCCCAAGCTCGAGAGCACAACAACTGAGCCGCTCCCAACAACCCCCAAGAGTTTCATGGGGTTCATGTTACGAGGGCGGAGAAAGTCCACCATTCAAAAGTCTTAATGCTTAATTTTGTTTGTCATTTTGTTGGAACTAGTGTTTCATATTCATCTGTTTAACTACCGGTTTGGGGCAAATCGGCTATGATGGCGTTCGGTTAGCGGGATTAAGGGTTTAGGAATCTGGATCAGGCGGCTACTTGATTTGAATTGGTTCTTGTTTATTCGCACTGGATGCTACATTCCTGCTACTATATTACTCTAGTGTTTGAATTTTTCCTGTACTATAGCAAGGAACAAACAGTGGTCTTCCCGGAGCGGGCCCATTCAGAAAATGTTGAACATACTACCATCCATCTCTATCCATCTTTCCTCCCTCGTACGTAGGCATAGACCAGTAAACCGACTCGAAATCATCACGATGAAACAGTGCTTAAGCACCCGTCCTGTCAATTACCGAATCTTCCATGACCCTTCCATCACCAATCCATCTACGGCACCTACCGCCCTCATCCACAGGAACCAACCCAGCTAGCTGGCCGGCGCAAAGTTTGGGTCCGATCTGGACACGGGAAAAATATACGATGAGATCTGACTCGTTCCCCGATCCACTTCATCTCGGTTGCGATCTACGTACCAAACATCGCCAATGGGATTGCAGTTGCCTAGTGCTGCTGCTCGTATACCTACTATTCACCTACACTACCAAGGTCTACCACGCCTCTCTTGCATGATTTCAAGGTATCAATACTATGACCTTGGACAGACAAATTGATATTAAGTATTCCTGTCCCTGAACCCCTATTCACTGACCCCAATATAATTCTAATATATTTGATAGCAATCCATACATTACGATCGACCATACAATACAGTAGTATATTAAACATAATCTACCGATATATGAGCCCTATATTGGCACGGGAATCATGTAGATAGTTCTTCGGCATTTCATTTTAGACTACGTACCCGTGCATCCCGATCCAAGTTTCAGGGTGAGTACGTATACGATAAAATCAAATGAAGTTCTATAGGTGGATCCTCTGGCACGGGCACGGGCACATCGCTTAAAACCTGATGAGTACGTACCAACTATCTGACTAACTATCTATCCATTAGTCTAGTTAGCTACCGTGATAGATAGTTTGTTGGGTATGGCAAGATATCAATGGTACGCTAACCGGCTCGCTCGATCGCTCGAGCCACGTTCAGCTCCGGTGGTTCCATCAATCCATCCGTCTATCGGTTAGGTTGATGGTACGAACCATGATGCACGGAATTGGAGTTGTGGTGCCGAATTTCGAATCATGATGTGTCTGTCTGCCTGTCGATCAGTGTGTGCATTGGGTTTCATATCTCTTCATGCTTTGGTGGGTTTCACATGGCTTGACATGACTCGGAGAGTTTGCGCGGGAACTGACTCGGGGGCGGGCTGGCTGGCTGGCTGCGTGGCTTTCAGCTGGCTGTGTCATTATTCTCTGCTAAGCGATGTGGCAAGTTGGGAAATGAGTTGTGTATCTCTCTCTGTATGATTATCTCCGTGGAGAGGAGGATGGGGGTGAATATACTTTGAGGTTGTGTGGGAATGAATGCAATGGTGATTGCTCAATGATTGACCGACTGACATGTAAGTGAAGTTGTGTAGATGAATGAGGATGGGGATATTATTCATCGCTGATTGGGCTAGTAGTTAATGCACTCGCTTGGGTGCCTGGGGTATATAAAGCCCCTTCTTTCCCTTCTTTCCCTTCTTCTTTCGTTTCTACTTCCATTTCACTCACCTGGTATGATCTAATGTCATATTCGGTCAAGAGGCAGCCAACCAGCCATGTACATGATGCAATCTTTCACAGCGAAATATGACTTCGTTGCTTGGATGAATCACGTTGATACTCCTCGTACTTTTTTCATTAATGCCACGTCAGTAGCGCCATGATATATCCTTTGAAATAGACTAAAAGTCCACAGCTAACGATATGGCAGACACTGGCCGGATAGCCGTCAAAAAGGGGGTTGTATCAATGAACTGCAAATGAAAAACAACAATAAACACTAGAGGATAAAGAACCTCTCATAAAATGCGGTAGCTTTCAGCAGCAATAGCAACAGGAGCCACAACAACAGGTACAGCAGTGGCAGCCAAATTGCCCCGGCTCCAGAGCTTAAAACAGTGAACTCGGTTGTTTTGAGCTTCCTTGTTCCAAGACTTGTTGATGGACCATAAAAGTCATATAACTGCGATGTCTCCTGTGGAACTCTGCCTTCATTAAATTTTTAATCTTTACATAACAATAATTGGCAATTGCGCCTGTTGACACACTATATTCTGGAAGCAAGTACACGACGATTTCAACGTCTCGGAGTGAAAGGTCGTGGTCATGGCGGCCGTGGTGGCCGCGGGGCGAGAAGACATCGCAACAGATGTTTCTGTGGGCTTTTGCGTGGTTTGCGGGCATTTATCAAAGAATGCCGTTTCTTGCTCGGTATGGAGGCGTTGGCAAGTTTTAGTTATCAGATGCGTGGGTATATTGCATCTACACGATGCCTCTATAGCATGTTCAACCCGAGGTCATAATTGGAAACGTGACTTCAATAGAAAAGGATAAATGGGACCAGAATGTATACTAAGAGCGCCCACAGGCTGGTCGTAGTATATAATGGTGTCTATCATTCCCCTGTTTACCGCGATTATTATGTATGGGAATGCGAGGTCGCACATCTTAGCAGTTGCTGGCTCATTGACCACAGAAAGCTAACGATAGGGAAAGACCTTGTCTATGAAAGTGTTCTAGATATTAATGGAGCTAAAGGGAAGGCATCCGTAAATATCCAGAGAGGTTCGAAAGGACGCTGGCCTGACCTTACAAGTCTTAGTACTGTTTTGGGCCTACTTAAAAATAAGGGGATGCGTGACAATGTGCAGCTTTATACCTGAGAATTGGCCTTGTATTTGCTCATATCGAATGTATTATGGACTCGAATATAACTAGAAGCATACCAAATTATCCAACGTTCCTCCAATGTGCGACTTGAACGAATAAATCCAAGAAACTAGTAGCAACTATTTACGCGCTTCGAGGGCAGATTTGATAGCTGCAACACGTTAGCTTTGTCCTCATACATTAGCAGGGTAGCTCACCATCGCAAGAGGTCTTGGCATCTCCAAAAAGCATCCTCGTTCCAGGCATGTAGAACATCGGATTCGGGACGTCGGCTGTTTAATTAGCACTCGCTCACCCACCATGTGTCAAAACAACTCACCGTATCCGCTGGACATGCTGCGCTTCATCACAACAACCTCCTTGCTCTTCCACGCATGTAGCACGGGCATACCTGAGATCGGCGAGTCAGGCTCCAGGGCGATTGGATTGACCGTGTCATTTGCACCGATGACGAGGGTTACGTCAGTATCCGGAAAGTCATCGTTAATCTCATCCATTTCGAGAACGACTAATCTGATTAGCCTTGTCAAGATGCTCGGGCGTTGTACCTACTGTCATAAGGAACAGATGCCTCTGCCAAAAGGACGTTGCATTGACCCGGCATCCTGCCTGCAACAGGATGAATGGCAAATCGCACGGTGACACCTTTGGCACGCAGCATGCGCACAATCTCGGCCAATGCATACTGCGCCTTCGCCACAGCCATGCCATATCCAACGACCTATACCCGTTAGCCATGTCCATCACTTCGGAGCTCCTACGTACTATTATGACGCTTTCTGCATTTGACAATGCTTCCACCGTATCGTCGACAGTTGCCTGGACTACCTCGCCTTCGATCTTCTTTGCTTGTTGAGGAGCTGCAATGCCACCGAACAGGACGTTGGTAAGGGAGCGGTTCATAGCGACGCACTGACGTAATTAGAATTTTCCGAGCAAGCTTTGAATCAAGAACACCTACCATGATGTAGGACAGAATTGAACCGCTGACTCCAATCAAAGAGCCTACACTGGTGAGAAGGGGGTTATTGAGCATAAAACCTTCGGCAACCAGAGCAAATCCAGAGTATGCATTCAAAACGGTGATCACCACAGCTGTGCTGGTCAGCAAGGCACGGCATGGAGTGTCGAGCACTTACGCATATCAGCTCCACCAATGGCAGCGGTCGTAGTATAGCCTTTCAAAAAACTGAGCAGGGTATTTGCGCCTAAGCATGTCGCTGCAATTGCTGGGGATCCAGGTGCCATGGTGACAAAGGCTCCCATCGTGGCCACATTACTTCCAAGCAGACTTGTGTTGATCAAGTGTCTACCAGGTAGTAACATAGGCCGTGATGATATACGTCCTGCAAGCTTCAGGAAAGCCACAATAGAGCCAGTAAAGGTAACACCGCCTACTCTCGTTAGGAAGGTCCCAATCACGTAGGATACACGTACCAATTAGAACACCCAGATATGCCGTCACCATGTGCAATGTCGATACGTGAGAAATGTCAGCCACTACACTCCCTATGCTTGTAAGGACGGCCGCGAGCCCAACCACAGAATGGAGAGCAGCAACAGTCTGAGGGAGTCCAGTTGGTGTGATTCGTCGTCCTATCAGTGCTCCTATTGGCCTGTTAGGAGAGCCCACCAAATGATTTGTCTACATACCAGCGACAGAGCCTAAGCCAGCCACCGCGCCGAATTGGGTTAGGACTTCAGGCGAGAACCCTACAGCTGCCAGAGAAGCAATAATTCCAGCAGCGACTCCAAGTATTCCAAGAATATTTCCACGCCTAGCAGTTTGCTGGGAAGCAAGACCCGAGATCGAGGCTACGAACATTAGCAATGGAATTATCAGCACGAAAACACTTACCAATACAGAGGACACTGCTGACAAGATAACCTGCTTGTACAAGCCCCGCCATTCCAGTGCTGGCAGCAGCAAGGAAGCCCCCGCCAAACAGCACAGCTGGGATAGCATAAAGCCAAGGGTATTCAGGCGGATCAGTCGGACCTGGACATGGTATGAGCGAATATCCTTTGAAATTATGTGCACCAACACTAACGCTTGAACATGTCCAACATGCGTTTGGTGATCACAAATCCACCTGATACATTCATGAATGCTAGTAGAACTGAAGTAGCACCCAGGGCTTCGGGTATCGTGCTGGGTACGTAGCCTCCGCCCATTATGAAGAAACCGCCGATTCCGACCATACCTTTGACAGTCAGCATTGATTGAACAGTAAATTGATATATAACCTACTCACCAGAAATCGCATTGGTAACGCTCATTAAGGGGGAATGAAGAGCCGGCGCAACACCCCACACTGCACGATAGCCGACCAGGCCAGCAAGACCAAATGTCAACATGTTGCTCATGAAAACAGGTCCTGTAGCCTTTCCCAGAGCAAGAGCAGTCCCCATGCCAGCAGTAGTGGTCGCAACATCACGCGTAGCTTTTTTCCAAGGCGATAGTGCCAATTCTGCTTGTTCTTTGGCAGGCGTAGGGATCTCTTGCTTAGGTGCAGGAGGTGGTACTGGCCGTGGGGCTGGCGGGATTATCTTTCCATCGTGTGTAACAATAGAACCGCGAACGACTTCATCCATCAGATCAATGCCGAAGGATTTCTCTTGGGGAGACATAGATAGGAGGAATTTGATAATGTTGTTCGAATACAATGTAGATGATTGGGTGGGGAGGCGTGATGGTAAGTCAGTATATCCTAAAACTATCAGTCCTGTATCTGTGAGTATTTGGAAGCAGCATACCGATAACCGTCACGTCTTCAAACTTAGACAATTCGCCAGGAACAGTTGCTTCGCAGTTCCCACCTGCTTCCGCGGCAAGATCGACGATGACAGATCCGGGTTTCATGGCAGCAACCATCTAGAATGGTGAGTGGCTTTTGATGCATTTTGGGCTGTGGTTCTTGCCTACCTCTTTCGTTATGAGCTTAGGTGCAGGCCTTCCAGGAATGAGAGCAGTGGTGATAATGATATCCACTTCCCGACATTGTTCCATGAAAAGCTTCATCTCCGCTTCGATAAATTCCTTCGACATCTCTTTGGCATATCCGCCCTGGCCTGAGCCCTCCTCTTGGATGTCTACCTCTATAAACTCGGCACCTAGGGACTGAACTTGTTCACGAGCAGCAGAACGGGTATCAAAGCCTCTAACAGTAGCTCCCAAGCGACGAGCCTAGATGATGCACGTTAACGATATCCTCCAGTGTCGACGCGGTGACATAAGACCTACGGATGCGATTGCGCTCAAACCAGCCACGCCAGCTCCAATAACCAGAACTTTGCTAGGGGGGATCTAGAGCTTTTCAGTAACACAACCAATCATGTCAAAAAGAAAATCTAACCTTTCTAATTGGCATATTGTTAGTAGATCTGTATGAGACGTGTAAGAACTCACTTACCCAGCGGCAGTAACCTGGCCCGTCAGAAACCGGCCGAAGTGATTGGATGCTTCCAAAACAGCTTTATACCCAGCAATATTAGCCATAGAGCTATCGCGAGGTGGTCAGTATCGCGCGCTATCTATTACGAGTGGCGCATACCTAAGAGCATCGTATGTTTGTGCGCGAGATATTCTTGGTATCATGTCCATGGCAAAAGATGTGACGCCACGCGAAGCAAGTCTCTCGACCAATGGCTTGCTTTGGGCCGGGTACAGGAACGAAATGATCGTGCTTCCCTGGCGAAGTGCTCCGATTTCGTCGATGGAACCTTGCTGCTGAGGACTGCGGACCTTCAAGATGATGTTGCTCTGAGACCATATGGAATCCCGATCGACTAGTGTTGCTCCAGCTTGTTCGTACACTTGATCGTGTAACTTTGCTTCCTCTCCAGCACCGCGTTCAACCAGCACTCGCGAGAATCCTTTCTTGAGCAACAGGGAGACATTCTGAGGCGTCACGGCAACACGACGTTCGTTCGGGTACGTTTCACGAGGCACGCCAACGGTCAAGGCAGAATAAGGTACGACGGGGACGGGCGTTGATGCGGATGCAGCGGTAGCGTACCTTCTGCGTTTCTGAGACGACCTTGAAAGCGGCAGCTGTTCAACGCAGTTGTATCGGGTGGCTAACAATGGCGTTCCAACGCATCGCAGTTGCACCACTATTGAAGTGATGGCGGTTAGAAAGCTCTGGGACCCATTATCGATCAGGTCGGCAAACACTCACAAGTGGTCTCAACGATAGAGCGTGATTCCCGTGGATAGGCTCCAGGAACTGCTCGGCATGGCAACAGCGCCGAGCGCAGAAACAGCGGTACACCCATAATGGACCTCGGCAGCTAACGCAAGGCGGCTCTAATGATAGAAGCTATTTCCACAGAAGCCTTCATTCCACTTTCAATGCTGCAAAGGTCGCGGAAAGGGGCGTCTGGGCCACATGGGTGGTGTGACAGGAAGGGCAGGCTGGGGAAGGACAGCAGGAAGGCGGGCTGTCGTTTCGATCTGCAAACACATTCATTCAAGTACGTTAGTGAATTCAGATATCGGTTGAAGAGTGCAGGCGCGTACAGCTATATGGGGAAAGCTCCTGATTCATGATTCAATCAGGAGAGAGATTGATCGTTGCGGGGAGGTCACCGTCGCGCAAGGGATGGCGGGAACACTACAAGTCATTTCTCCACGAGTCTAAACTTGGCGTCAAGGAAGGATGACTCCGGTGACCGGAATTCACCTCCATAGGATTAAAGGACGAGATAATAGTAGTCGTAGCTGTGGGTGATGTGACCAAAGACTTGCAGGAAATGAGGGGAAGCCGCGCGGGGAAGACCCATTGACTGGCCATCGGCTTCGCGGAGCCTGAGCTGTCACTCCCGCTTGGCATCAGGCATCGTCCAGGATCCATCGCTTGTTCGGCTACCATCAAAGCACTTTTTTCCAATGGGTTTATGCTAACATCGACTGCATGAATAGCGTTTTAACCTGCCGCTTCTATAACCACGTATCCAGTACCTCCCAGGAGAGTTTTCATATCAACCTGATCCGGGTTACCCGTGCTGCAACGCACTCGTGAATGATGGGGATCTACATTAATGACTCTAACTTATCCCGACACAATTGGACTACTTACTATTTAACCGGGTCGGACAAGCTGTGCTCTCCTACTTCTACGATCCTGGCCCAACCGCAACCGGATGTAACGCCGTCTAGGCGCTGCATCGGAGATAATTGTACATATCATGCAGAGCACCCTTCTGGAATACATATCTCTGTCTCGTGTGACGAGCCATCCTTCGGAGATTGTGAATCAGAGCAACTGTCCAGCCATAACCCTGTCCGGTGGAGATCTCTGACCACTCATTGAGAAAGTGGCAGTGAATTTGGCTCATTGTTGCATGCGAGCTCTTGGATTGGCCAGGCAGGGTAACTGGCGATTAAATTTTTGCCGACTTCTTTGTTCGCGTAGAAACCTCCACCATCATATGCTTGTGGGTGTAAACTGCAGCTTGAAACATCGAAGAGTACGCGAACACTTATCCGTTCTTTATAGAAGACCTGAGCCACATTTCCCCGCTCAAGACTCAGTGACCTCAAATATCAATGCGGTAATAATCATTTTTCAGCACAGCAACCCATCAACCAAATTTTTTAACGAATGCAGAGGGACCATGTCTCCGCAAATCGGATGATTGACAGTCCACGTGAATGATAATTCCAGCGAGACTCGGGCTGCCGGGGCGGAGGATAGGACCGTGCTATGCAGCGTAACATACGATCCTTGCGGGTAATGCAAAATAGAACACACTGGTCCTAGCTGAGAAGTATTCCCGGCATTTATACTGATAGGATGAGATCTTTGATAAGTAGTCGATATGAAGTTGATCCATGCAGTCACGTGCATAGTCTTCCAGATGCGGCTGCCTGAGGCCATACATGACTTATCTCCTGCTAATCTGGAGGGAGGTTCTCGTTGATTACTGTCCAAGACTACTAGCCATCGCAAAATGACTATAGACTAGCAGTCATTGTTGGATTCACAATTGGTTGAATTGACCTCGAATCGATGGCGAGATCCAGGTCTTGGTGATGGCCGGCTCCTCGCACGGCTTTTTATCCCGCTCCACTCATGGTGGGGCATGGGAATAATCATGATGATGCGATTGACATTCTCTCAACCGGTTTAATGTAATCTCTGTCTTATGTGCCCCAGAAGGACGCCCAGGATATCTTGTGAATCGTTAATATCCACCGATTAGTTCGATCGATAACATGATGGACAATTTCATGCATGCATCCACGCGTTGACCCCAACAGGCGATGGAGCGCGTAAAGGATCCGTCCACGGCCGAACGGGCTCAAGCAAACGTGGAACGGCTCCGCTGCGGTGATGCTACCAGAGCTAAATTTTTGCTTGGCTCCTTAAGGTACACTCTCTTGACCCACGGCGGTCGCATCCTTCCACCCACAGGCTCTGATTGGAATTTGCGCGCTCTTCCGGCCTCGCTAGTGGAGCGCAAAAGTGAGCTTCAACAATTCTTCTTTCCCTCACCGTTGGCTCTTGCGGAGCAGACATCTCCGGTCAAATCCCAACTATCCCGTCACTAGATTGAAGAGAAGTCAAGGGAATTGGATAAGTGTATATCTTTGCTAAACTGGGGAGTGTTGGTGACATCTTGACTCATTAAACCGGGAGCACGAATGCTTTAGCTTATCCACTAGGCTATTTTGGTTCCTTTTTTTTTTTCCTTGCTGTCTTGCGCCTTACAGAGTGGGGTTAGCAGGTTCCTGATCATCTATCATCAATTTTCAGCTGACTTACGACAGAGGCATCTTCACTTAACTTCCTCACTTTCATCCTATTCTATCTGCACGCTCACTGGACGTGGACCTTTGAGCCTCTGATCACTGGCCTTGGTTTCCAGAACGGCAGTCATGGCTCCATCACCTCACCAACAACACTCGCAGCTCGTCGTCGACCCTGACACTGTTCCGGTTGGGGGAGAAGAGGTCAGGAGCCAGGCAGAGTCCCGAGAAGATGCAAAGCTATTGGTATGTTTATCAGTGGCAATCCTTTCAGCGATCAAGTGTCGGTATCGAATAAGTAATCGCTGATATACTACCAACAGAAATCGATGGGCTATAAGCCAGTGAGTCAGCCTCAGCAAACCTATTGCATGCAGGTTTGTCTAACCATACTTATAGGTCCTTCACAGGACATACACACTGCTTGAAAACTTCTCCACGACATTCGGTAAATGAAATGATTACGGTGGATTCTAGCTCCATGAACGTAGCTAACCTCACATGATTAGCTGCTCTTTACTTCGTTGGAGGTGTGCGCGTCACTTATAGTACCGGTATCGCAGCAGGTGGTAATCTGGCTTACTGGTAGGTCTTATCATCAACTATACGATGATAGATTCTCATTTTGTGTAGGACGAGTTATCTGGTCACGTTGGTTTTCACATACATCACCGCTGCCGTTATCGCGGAAGTATGCTCTGCCTCGCCCTCCGCGGGCTCTATCTACTTGTGGGCCGCGGAGTCTGGAGGCCCTCGCTTTGGAAGGCTACTCGGATTTGTTGTTGCTTGGTGGAGTACTACTGCCTGGACGACCTTCTGTGCTAGCAACACCCAATCTGCTGTCAATTACATGCTCTCCGTGAGTGTCCCTTCAAAGGATAATCAACATGGATTACTTATCTGGACTATAGGAATTGACGGTCTTCGACGTCGACTTCCCAAAAGACACATCCAGTGTCAAGTTCCGTGCTGTCCAATGGATTTGCACAGAGATTTTGCTAGCATTGGCCGCACTCCTCAACTACCTGCCGCGTATGTTCAGCCCCGAAACTGATTGCGCCTATCCTGTCTCTGTTCAGCTTTGCTTATAGTCCTCCAGCTAGGTTCTTCAGATGGGTGTTCTACTTCTCGTCCTTCATCGTCATGTTGGACTTCTTTCTCAATGTCATCTGGCTGCCGATTGGCGCTGCCAATACATGGGGTTTCCGTACGGCTGAGGAGGCTTTCATGTCCACCTACAACGCCACAGGTGCCCCTGCAGGCTGGAACTGGTGTCTTTCCTACCTCGCCACTGCGGGTATCCTGATCGGTTTTGACGCCTCCGGTCATGTTGCAGAAGAGACCAAGCATGCTTCGGTGACGGCAGCACGTGGTATCTTCTGGAGTACCGTCGTCAGTGGCATTGGTGGACTAGCAACTATCATTTTGTTCCTCTTCTGTGCAGTGAGTTCCGCACCTCCACATAACGATTACCCAACAATCAAATACTTACGTGACCAGCCCGACAACGACACTCTCATGTCCTTCGGCTCCCCCCAGCCTTTCGTGCCCCTCTATGCCGTCGTTCTCGGCAAAGGAGGTCATGTTTTCATGAACGTCATCTGCATAGTTGCATTATGGCTCGTAAGTTCACCTTCCAACAGCTCCTTCACCCATGTATACACAATACTAAACCACCTTACAGAACACAGCGATCGCCATCGTCGCCGCCTCCCGCCTAGTCTTCGCCGTCGCTCGCGACGGTGTCCTCCCATTCTCCAGCTGGGTCTCCAAAGTCCACAACGGCCAGCCCCGCAATGCCGTCATCGTAGTCTGGGGTGTCTCAGCACTCATCAGCTGCACGCTCCTACCCTCCGATGTTGCTTTCACATCTCTAGTCTCAGCCGCCGGTGTTCCTAGCGCCGCCGCATACGGTCTCATCTGTCTAGGCCGACTCCTCTGCACCCCGAAACGCTTCCCAAAGCCAGAGTGGAGTCTAGGACGCCTAAGCAAGCCGTTCCAATTCATCGGTGTCTTCTGGAACGGCTGGGTGGTAGCTGTGCTATTCTCACCCTACGAATTCCCCGTGACGGGTGCTAATCTAAACTGTAAGACCATTCCCCCTCCCCCACTTCCAACACGATATGTTCTAAAACTTCTGCTTACTTACTCTCCTCCTAACCAGACGCCCCGATCATCATGGCCGGTGTGACCATCTTCGCCCTAATCTCTTACTTCGTCACCCCCGAAAGCGCCTGGTTGCCTATTGACCGCATCTCGCATTTCATCGACAGTAAGGGTGCTGATGTGCACGAATCCGTTGAGGAAGTTGGTAGTGGTGATAATCATCGTCAGCCTGAGGCGACAACGTCTTCCTCAGGGAGGGAGGAGAACTGAGACTATCATCACGAGGCGTGCCTCGCAGTAATTTTTCTGTTGTATTTTACGGTTGGTGGTTGTCGTTGTGATGCTGCTTTTGCGGTTTGTTGATCGGTTGAGATGGTCGCTGACTGATGGATCGAGGGGAGGAAGGCAGGAAAGACTGAACTGCCTGCACCCTCCCTTCCTGATATGTATGGATGAAAAGTTTGCTTTGTATGTAGATATGATAGAACCTAGAAGGATTTGGTGGGGTTTAGGTATACCCAGAGACTTAATGTGATTTGCTTTCAGATGAATTGCATGTGCCTTGCACTATTACTCATAGGTTTAATACATGTGAAGTCATCGTGATATCAGATAGTAATTTTGTTCTATTTCAAGCAATGTGAAGAGCAGATAACTCTCACGGGTGTCAAGCCGTAGTTCTATATATGACTTTCAGTAAGCCCTTTCGGTATCTGTACAACAGTAATCCAACTCCCCCAGTAAGAGAAAAATAAATATAAACACAAATCGATCACCCATAACAGCAAGAATATTCAATCATTTGCAGGAGAAAGTCCCTCACGCTCCTCAAATTCAGATCTAAGGGTCCAGCCCAGCCGAACACCTTAGTTCCCCAATATAACGCCAGTATTACAACGACACTCGGACTCCGTGTTTTCCCCGTTCCGTGTAACTTATGCCCATAATAAATCGTCAGGTACCATATGAAGATGGCTCAGAGCGGCCGTGAATCGCAGTAAAGGTTGAAAGCGAGCCACGAAGTAGCTATGTTCAAGGGAGTAGGATAGAAGAGCGTATATCGTCCATGGTATCAATCCAGCCTTCTGGGAAAGCTCGCTGCTTAAACCACGCTTGTTCCAGTTCCTCGAGGGCCTTGTCAACGTTCTGCAAACCTGTTAGCATTCGTTCGATCATTGATGATATCCGTGTTTGACATACCTTGAACCCGAACCGCTGGAGATCAGTCATGGTCTGCCGCACAAATTTCTGCTCACTCAAGTTCCGTGATTCTCGGCCAGCTGTGAAGAGTGGCCATAGTACCGCCAATTGGCCCACGTCCTTGGCGAGCTTTCCGATCAACGCCAAAATTCGAGTAGCAAGCATGTCTAACAGCACCCTTTGAGGCTGTATATCAGGACGCCCCGCCGCTCCAACCCGATGTAGGAATATATTGGTGGCCTTCTCATATGCTTCGATACATCCGGCATACTCAAGGACATCGGGGTAGGGATATTGTTGCAAGCTCTCATCGTCTAGTTCGCCTAAAGTCTGCAGTGCCTGCGGTGCGTTCAGACGCCATTGCACCAGCCGCTGTAATAGCTCGTGATAAGCCAGGTCTTGTTGTTCGAAGGGCATCAGACCATCTTGTTTCGCTTTTCCAAAGGCACTGATGGCTGCTTGAATCTCCATCATAGCAGACCAACATTGGCGCAATTCCACGAGGTGGTGACTGTAAGCGGGTTGTTCGGCCGATAGGCTTGGTGTACCTAGATTGTATTCCCAGCCACCTCCGTGTGTTGTCCAGTAGCTGCCTTCCACCACGGTTCCCTCGCTGGTGGCACAGGCACCCGCAACGTCTAAGTATGAGAGCAGTGATACGAGGAAGGGTCGAAGTGGGTGATTGATTTCAGCGAGGCGCTTGGCTTCTTTGTCGGGGTCGTCATTGGGGGTGAAAAGTATTCGATAGATTTCTCGGGCACCCTTCAGATGGATAGCCCAATTGTGATGTTGAGAATCCATCATCTGATAAATTAGCAATGTGCTCTCTAGGCCCGAGTGAACAACAAGGGACTCACCTCAAACAGTGACAGTAGAAGGCAGGTGGCGAAATCAGTTAGCCGCACGGTGTGATTGGGGTCTGTATATCGGGTTCTGAATGACTTGACAACCTCGCCATAATTGCTCATGGCTTGTTGGAAGTGCTTGTTTCGCTGTTGTCCTCTGGATGTATTGGCAAGGTGCAACGCACCCATGGCTTGCATAGCGCTGGCCATTGACGTTGAGGATCGAGCGAGCTCAGGGAAGAATCTTCGGTAGGGGTTGATATTGTTCGAATTATCATAGATGAGGAGTAAAGTAGAGACCTGGTCAACGAAATGAGTGTAATACCGGCCTTCGACGCAGTCCAGAGACGACGACAAAAACTCGGCAGGAGAAATGGGTTCTTGGAAGCGATATTTGATAGGCTTCATGTCGGACACTGTCGTTGGAGACACAATTAAGGTTTCGAAGGACTCATTCTCGTCTCCTGCCGGTTCCTGCTTCACTTTATTGTCCCCTTCGATCTTGATCTTTTTGTCGCATTTCTTGGCAGTGGCGGGAGACGAATCCGCTTGCGGCGGTCCGTAGACTTTGAAGGTCATGCGACCTTGAGTGCCATCACACTCAAGACCCAGGCGTGTACAGTTTTTGCAGGATGGCGATGCTTCGTCGCAGCGGACGTGGCGTCGACGACATGTCGAACAGCCTGTAAATCCTCGGTGATGCCATCGACGGACCCGCTTTCTCTTCTCAGGCGCAGCGGCTGCGGAAAGCTGGGGTTGTGCGGGGGGAAGAGGCTTCCCCGGCGCACAAACCAACGTATGAACCTCCATGTGTAGGAGATAATGCTAGATACGAGTAGACGGTGTGGGGTAGCGACATGAAGGTGAGTGAGGGGCGGAGGTGTCCGACCAGATAAAATCGAGGTCAGACAGCGGATGTCGATATTATACCATCTAGCAGAAGCCAGTGGCGCAAGAAGAAAGAAGTCTCTGGAATCAGAATATCGATAGAGAAGATGAACGGGCGATGGAGCAAATCAATGGAAGCCGAAAGGGTGAGCGAGGAGTCGAAAAGGATGCCGAAGCACTGGCGATTAGTAGCCGTAGCAATAGGTAGTAATTAGTAGTTGAACGGAGAGCAGTGGTAGTGACCACTAGTTACTTAGTAAGTTAACTAGATGATGATCGGATTATTAAGTATGGGGGGGCAAATGAGGGAGAACCAAAAGAGCAGGCGGCGAGATACTGGAGCCAGTGGGGCTCCAGACGGTCGGGCATTTGGAAATTTGGGGGAAAAAGAGAGAGGATGGGAAGAAGGGGGGAGGAAAAGGCGAACTGAACTGAACACTTTCGCGGCTGATCGAAAGATAGTCCTGGCCTAGCCATCCCACTCCTCTTTTGCAGATCAGATCATCCACCACATCCTCCTGTTCGGTGTAGCTACAATCTACGCCACGAGAGAAGTTCCCTCGAGACAATACTACTTTTCTTGTCAAACAACCCATCAGTATCCCGGTGTAAAGGATATCCCCCTCGTCTGTTTCAATTACGGGTGAGCGCAATAAACGACGGGCGCTGCTGATCGACCCTAATGGTGGATCATATTTACTCTCTAGCCCTCCGTGCTGCGGTGCCTACTGCACTTCCTGTCTAATGATCTGATTTCCTTCGGTACCTCTCTAGCTAGCCTAACTGGTCTGGCGGCAGGATAACCTTTTTTCTGCACAAGAAAATCCCGCATCGACGGCCGTCCAATTGCGAAGAGCAACTGTATGGTACCTCGAAACCTTCCGAGCGATTCCTGCATCGAGTGGCCTTCCTCGTCTTCCAGATCCCCACTCGATCCACTCACGATGATTGCAGTAGAGTGGAAGAGCCACGATGCAGCATGCGGAGGGGCCTGCTACTGGGCGAATCCCGTAGCCAGAATTCTCCGCCTTCCCCCCTGACCAGTGGCATTGGCATCTGATAATTAGTAGCGAAAGGGAATCGCTAGAGTGACCCGGCCCAAAAGGATTCGCCCAGGAGCCACTAACTCCCGACTATCTCGGTTGCCAAGCACCTGAATGGAACCTTCTCGCCTGCCACTTTACCGGTTCCAGCGGCCTCCTCGTGCCTTTTCATTCGAGACCGTACATAAGTATGTAGCCTGGGGATACCATTTCAGTATCTTCCCCCCTGCCATAAGGATTCCGTGGTAAGCTCAATCAAGTTAATCCGGTTTGCAAAGGGGAAACATGATTGGGCGTGCTGCTGCTGGCCTGTCGAACCATGCAATGTCTCAGTTTGCTAGGCCTCTTCACTCGGTCAACAGGAAACGAACGCTCAACGCCCGTCGACTCCCGAGTGTACCTGCAAGTAGATGACCCCTTGAAAATCTCGTCTCCATGTGTGTGTGGAACGGGTGGTCCCGCACCCCATGAGCTACTGGCAGGCTGGCAGCGTCAAACGAAAATACGAAGAACAGTAGAGATGGCCCTGCACATCCGCTCACCAGTCAGCTCATTTTACACGCAGATCATTGGTGACGTTGCTAGAGGTCTGTGTGCCACTGGGAACCCAGATGATGGTCGATGAGAACCGGTCTGTCTGTGGAGTGGTTCTCCTGGGTCATGTTCCGTGGATCTGCCAAAATCGAGGAAACTGGATGGGATTTTCCCGACCATTCGCTTAGCTGTAACTTCCCACGTCTGCTGACGGTCTAGTCAATCAACTTGGCAGATAATTTTTCCTCGCTGAAATATTTGGAACGTGTCTTGGTATTGCGATATGGCGCGGAGAGCTACTCCTTCAGGATAAACGATGTGTTGGACGGTTTCAGTTTCATGTCGCGGCGGGATTCCGAGCTCAGTAAATTCAAAGCTACGACGAAAGCTAGGCAACATGGAGGCAATCGGGAGTAGATCACCTCTCAAGCCCAGACCATTAACGAGCACGCACTCTGACAAAATGCACGAAAGGCTGTGTATCTGTGGGAGGTACCAAGCACATGCACGGTTGACAGGCCAAAGTACCTACTGATTAAGCAACTATGCACACTCTAGTCAATCTGTTCCTGATTACACTGGTAGACATTGCAACTCTGTAATCACGCAACCTTGACAGTGACATGAAATTGATGGGCGAACAGCTGAGTGCGATTATCATGCGATGTTCGCATTGTCATGCCCAAACAGGTGGTCGGCCACTGCGCCATTATTTGGGCAATATGGGATGAATGTCCATTTGTTGATATGGAAATATGAGTGGGGTGCCTAGCATAAGCGTCGCATTACACCGATGCTTCGACGCATGTTCTTAAGCCAATTACTGCTCTCAGGTAGGCAGATCTCATGCTGGTCGGATGGCTGTATGAGAATACCAGGTTGACCGTTTACATCTCTCGGCCGATTTATGAATGACATTTCAATTCATCCTGTACAATTTACGGTGCATATCCTCTACTTAATTGTCTGCTAAGTAGAAATGGCTTATATGTACAACTCCGTACATGTGGTGTTTCATTCATACGTGCAGTGGTGGAAGCTGACCGGTAACTGCCTACTATGCTGGTCTACTGATGAATCCTTGCTCCGTGGTATGATCCTTTAATATGATCTTGTGGATATTTGCCTTTGCTTATCAGGCGAGATAGCTTTAGTTGTTGCCGCATCGTACGCAAACTAACTTCAGGGTTTCGAGTGTCCGTGTCTTTTCTGGTCGATTTGGGGCATAGTGCTGATACTATATATTATTCCCGCAACAAATGTACATCGAAGCGCCCCAACGCCGTGACTAACAATCACTATACAAAAGCAGTGCGTCAATAGTGCTCCCAACGGTATTCTCATGCATCAAACTTAATAGTGACCACCGTCTTCTTTCACATCCCGTCTCCTTTTCGTCATCCATAAATAGCCGCGTGGCAAAACACCCAACCTTATCATACCCATACCATTGCTTCAACTTAATTTAAAACCTAGGACACGCTGTACCTGCCCTACCTGTATACGAGACGCCAAAAGAATAATCCAGGTCATGAGTAGCCATGGGACATGATGAAGCCAAGTGATCAGCTTGCCACAATGCCTTGAAGTCGGGATGGGTCGTACCGGCTAGACAACATTGCAGGGCGGTTGCCAAATGTTAACCTACTGGAAAAAAGTGAAATAGTACGGTCTCAACCGCCTATCACTATTTCCTCTGGGCGGAGATCTTGCAGACCATCGGCTGGTTAAATTCGATGTCAAACCTAATGGATAATCAATCTTACGCCATGCATAAAGTAACTCCAAGGCATTCCCGTCCACCATGAGTCCATCAAGACAAGCCGATTACATAACAACAGCCCGGATGGTCTAGTGGTATGATTCCTGCTTCGGGATTTGAAATGCAGGAGGTCCCGCGTTCGAATCGCGGTTCGGGCCCGTAATTTTTTATCTCGTTTATTCGTCCATTGTCACATGACTTTCCCCATGTGACTTCCGCTTGCAATTGCCCGTTTTGTGTGTTGACCACTCCTAACGCGACGGACAGATCTCTGTGGTAACCAATCTACGTGCTGGCACTTGTGTCTGCCTATGATACATGCTCAGCAATATGTTTCATAAGTTAGCCCGGATGGTCTAGTGGTATGATTCCTGCTTCGGGTCTTGAAATGCAGGAGGCCCCGCGTTCGAATCGCGGTTCGGGCCCTACTTTTTGCCTTTTGTTTTGCCTTCTCTCTCATGCGACCTAGTTCGCCTACCCCTTTCCTTTGCCTACTCTCTCTCTCTCTCTCTCTTTCTCTCTGTCTCTCTCCCTTTTTTTTTTTTTTTGTCTTTTACAAGCTGATACCATTTCTTCAGTGCACTGCCACTCTGTGACAGATCCTCAATGAGAACATTATTAAGTAATCCAAACTTTATAACTAACTAACTATACTAGTTACCATCTTTGTATGATACTTGCATACAGGAGGCTAACCTACATTCGATTTACATGTACCTTGCTGGCCAACAATCATGCATGTAACCTTCATCTTGCTTACTTAGTAGATCTATATATGGTGTTTACGGTCATGATTCCCCCAAGAAAGCTCACATATTCGTCCTCACTTGCTGCTGTCTACCAATCCTACCATTTCGTGTACCAGAGCACCGTGGCATCACCATACCATGTCTTGCTTCCAGGTGCGTGAAAATAGTGTAAAGGAACCTAAATCGGAGTAGTATAAGCTTTTTACATGCAAGTAGTAGAAGGTGCCAAGATGATCAGAACACTAACTATTCTAGACTAGTCCCGAGTATGACCTTGGCCTGTCTAGAGAGAAGATGGCAACATATCTAAACTTTCCATGATCTACTAAGAGCTCCGCCACGATTATCTTCATGTAGGCCTACCCAGGTAAGCACTACGTTCGTGTTCGTGTTGCTTTAAAATTACCTCGAAGAGACGGGACGATCATGCAAAGGTTTAGACTTTAGATAGATAGACAGGTGAAGGAAGATGAGTGGGACCATGAGATTAGAAATGAGGAAAAAAAGAAAAACAAGTTGAGTGGGTATCTGCTGGCAAACCAGAAACTCAAATTGCCCGCCAGAAGTAGTAGGAAATCAACATCAACATGCATCAGTGATCGTGAGAAAATGGCAGCGCATCCCAGGTAAGAAAGGCAGGCAGGGAAGTAGGTAGAGGTAGCCTGTTGTTGCTTAGACCTGAGAAGTAACTGTCCTTGAGTAGATAGTAGTCATGTCCAAACCGGCAATAATTTACAAGTAAACCATGACGACGAAAAGTGCACCAGAGAATGATGGAACTGCAGGAGGTGGACAATCGATGACAGGAAATGAACAATACCCTCCAGACCGATCAGGCATCCACGGATACCGTCGGACCAGGAATGGGGAATGTGGCCGACTCCCTGGCCTCTGGCTCTGGTGACTCGGCTCCTGCAGCCTTCCCATTCATTCGATCGAATTCTAGTGTTTCAGCCAGCTCTGCGGCCATTGGATCTAGATCTTCCTCTTTGAGGCCGGTGGCAAGTGCTACCAACTTGCGATGGACATCGAATTTAGTGCTTACACCCGCATCGGCCGTCTGTTGGACAAGATCCTTCACGGCTGCGCGCCGAGCCTTCTGAGCAGAGCACAATTGACGGGCCATATGATATGTGCGAAGTTGTTGGTCCTGGTCAGATCCCGTATCTTCCTTCTCGGGCACTGGCGTTGATGCGATCCTCTCTCTGAGTCGAGCCTGGTGAATTTGCTCCAAGACGGATTCGTAGCTATGTCTTAATTGTTCGTAGCGGTCCAGCTGCGCGTCGATTGACTCTTCTTCGGCTTCTTTCGCCACCAGCATACTAACCTGTTTCTGAATCTTTTGCCGATCCGATTCAAGTTGCGCATAAAGTGCCTCCGGATTCGCAACATCGTCTGAATCTTGCTGGTTTGCCTTGGAGCTCCCGTAGCCTGCGGTGAGTTTCCTGTTCGCCTCGGCCATTATGACGGCAATCTTAGACATTAATGCCGAGGTAGCAGGGGAGGAATCCTGCGGAAGGCTGGGAGGCTGGTGATCTGATGTGACAGGTGCTGTGACGTCGGGATCTAATTGATCATTACCCATCGTGATAGACGAAGGGGGAAGAGGGACGTCGCGCTCATTAGGTGGTACCCGTCGGACGATAGTTGAGGCTGCCTCGCCTTTATTATTTATAAGCTCACCAGATCGCGGACACCGAGCGAGTAGTAGGTCAACCAAACGAAACGCGCCATTTCGAGCAGCAATCAGAGCAGCAGTGTCCCCATTCTGATCTTGACAAGACAGCAATAAATCAACTTCCTCAGCCGAGAACGTAACGCGTAGCTTGTCTAGCAATACTTCGCAGTAATATCGCGAGCTCTTCCATTTGCCTTTGCTCCGAGTAGTCTCTGCTATGTGGTGGAATAGAGTGGCGCCGAACCAGTCTCGGAATGAGACTGTGTCCAAGAGAAGATCTAATAGCGGTGGAAACGTCCTCTTCTCATAATTGTTCGTGAACAGCACGGCACGCACGAGGGGTGTCTCCTCCTGTTCAGATAGTGCTTTGATATTTGCCCCTCTCCGTAGTAGATCTCTCACAATCTCCAAGTCACCCATGGCGCATGCCCAATGGAGAGCAGTATTTCCAGATTCGTCAATCGCGCGATCGACCTGGAAGTTGGCAGGCGGTTGTGGGGGAGGAATGCGTGTCGCTTCCGGTGCATCCCCTACTGTCATGAAATAATCCAACAACTGATCACCATAGAGTATGTGTTCCTGTTCACTAATTGAGATTGCTGGGGCCTCGTTTATCCCACGCTTGCGCTTTCGTGAGTATGTACCATTTTGAGACATTGCCATAATCTCATCATCCGCGATCATAGACGATGACTCAAGCGTTGCCTGTTCTAAAGATTCATCCTCGTCGAATCCTTGGCTCATTTCATAGGGCTCATAGGGATGATAGGCGGGCGGTGCCATACTTCGGTGCGGTTTTACAGCAGGGACAACCTCTTCATTCGCGACTCTCTTGTTTGTATTCTTTGGGGCTCTTGGCTTCGACGAGGCTGCAGTGGTATGTTTCGGGGCAGGTGGTGGACTGCGATCTCCAGCAACGTAGTCGAATATCGGCCTTAGCTTGTCGATTATGTTGTTGCGCTCAGCGAGCATGCGGCCCTCAGGAAGCGGAATCCATGTCCCTGCACATAGTTGTAGCGCGGCAAAGCGATGCAATATTGGGAATGCTAATAAATCTCACCTTGATATTTCCCATAGCCACCTTGCACCTTTTCATGGACCCCTTTCTGCACCTCGCGTTCCAGGATGCGAGTCCTCGCAGGCTTGTCAAACCCGGCAACTTTCAGAATATGTGTAGCATTTATCCAGTCATCGGAACGCCTTCGCATGACACTGTCACCGTCGATTTTGAACTCATAAACCGGGACCTAGCCACCAGTGTTAGATTGCTGTCACAAGCCTGCGCACGGTGTTGTTCAACACGCCTCAAAGGACAAGGTCTTTGCAATACCAGAAAGGGCAAGATGAAGGAGTACTCACACTGCTATAAGTAGCAGAGTAAACTTTGGAGAAGTCCACGGCCGCCATGATGTGCCTCTTGTAAGCCGATTTGATTTTGCGAGGTCCGTACAACAATAGGATGTTTCCGAGCGGCGTCGCGACTCTGACACTAGGACTTAGGAGCCTAAACTTGGCTACCGCAAGGCATCAATTTCAGATATTATATGTTGTCTCAGTCAATCACATGAATCTCAGTAGAAAGCGAGCCGGGTTGGTCGTAGCCCAGCAACATCTATCTCAACACGCGACGGATGGCAGGGCTGGACAAGACGCGCTCCGGATACGTTGACCGCGTAAAGTGGATTTGGATGCGCTAATCCCGTTGTGGAATCAATAACACGTGATATCACATGACTTATCGTCCGGAAGGAACGACGACTGCGGATAGCTGCAAACCTCACAGCCCAGTCGCCTATCCTTGGAATAACCTTCAATTGAGTCACCCCCTCGTGCCAAGATGACCGCCGCCGAGTCTGTGAAGAGTGCCGTTGGGCTTGCGGACAACACCGGTATGTAACTGTTGCCATTGGTGTCTATTATGACGGAAGGCAGTGGTGTGAAAGTTGGCACCCGATGATCAACGACTAACGCTTGTATTTAGCTGCCTCCCGTCAGGAAATGTCGGATGCCCGTCTTCCCCTCCAGTACCGCGACTCTTGCGCTGGCCTTCTGATCCCATTGAACCGCTGCCGACAGCAAGAGTACTACCTTCCCTGGAAGTGCGAGGTGCGTTGCTTCCACACGAGTTTATCCATGAATTGCTGTTCCTCTTGTCGTGTATGTAACTAATGTCATGCCTATTTCCACCCAATAGGACGAGAGACACAGCTACGAGAAGTGCCAATACGAGGAGTTCAAGAAGCGCGTTGCTAAGATGGAAGAGCTCCGCGCCGCTAAGGGTGGTGCCCGGAGCAACTAATGATACCACAAATATCGGCACGGCATTCGAGACGAGCGAAGGAGCGGGTTATGTACATAGAGATTCTGAGATTGTTTGTCCATGCACCGACATTGGCGTTGGGAATCATCCAAGTCTAGGCTTGCCATCACCACACCTGCGAGAACCAGAACGGTCGATTGGCTAACCAGTAGCACCAACCGTACTTTTGGGGGTTATTCGGATCTGACCCTGCTTATGAGGTCAGGGTGTCCAAATCATTAGCCACCCTCCATCGGAGAAACAGCACAGGTTTCTTGAGGCCGGAGAGGACTTAGATTTACCCCACCTTCCAACTTTGCAACATGATGAGAGTGACGCATTGTCAAGTGGGATTACCATCAAATATTTGAGACTTTGTCCACGAGTGTCATAAGGTCACAGCTCAATGGCAGCCAGATACAAATCCAGCCATAGCGCAACTCCCTGGAGACAATGATAGATGTGTAAAGAGCTTCCAGTATGCTTTCAATTGGTCATGATGTTCTCCGTGCCTCCTTTCACGGACTATATTGAGACAGATGACCATCTATACTTATCTGCCTGCCCTCCATACACATCGGCGGCCGCGGAGCAACTGATAGCAGATATCACATGACCTGTAATCCTCCACGCTGCTTAGAAATCGGCGGCATTGATAATCGCCGAACACTGCTTACTGCCCCGCCCGGCCTACCAGAAATGGGGGGAATAAGTTTCCCGGCCACCAATAGGCGGTTGAGCCTTTGAACCCGAAGGTTCGACAGAATTTCTTAAAGTCGGCAGGGTCAGCATTTTGTTCATATTTCCTTTAAACGTTATCTGCTGCTGTTGTTGTCCGTGTAAAGCCGCTCCGAGCGTGTCTTGAAGTCACGACATTGCGTGCCACTGACGTTGGCTTATTCTGCCGTGGTTCGGAGATACTGCCGGGAAAGTTCCCCTCATCTCCGCGGGGTTTCTGGATGGCCTGATCTTCAAATCTTTACTTCACCCAAAGCCACAGAAATTCTTGGAACCTCAGACTGGGATTCGCAATTAAAAGTTCCAACTGTCTGGTGTTGACAACATGGGCTTGCTGTAGGTGGAGTGTGCTGGGTCAAAGCCGGGTTTCATTGATGCGCAAAAACTAACATTGGCCGTTCCTTCAGAGCGCTTGGGACGGCTTTGGACTGGCCAGAAGCCAAAAAGAGGGCAGATCAGGTTCGCAAATGGGGAATTGAGGTAAGACTTGAATTCGTGTTGATTTACTCGCAATCATGCACTCTAGCCAAGGTTCTTTTCTGACCGAGTTAGCAATTACTTGCCAATTGGCATAGAGCCAAGGGAAAGGAACGGAATGCCCTTCTCTGGGGTGACGAGGTAAGTCGCAAGGACTCTATAAAACTTATCTACAATGGTCGCTAATTGTCCATTCTTCGTTAGGTCGAGTATCTCGTCGTAGCAGTCGATGATGAGATTAAAAAGGCCCGCCTATCTCTCGCTCAGGCTGATATCCTCAAGTCGCTCGCCGAGGATGAAGCATCATGGAAGGAAGGAAATTCTCCTCTGTCTCAGAATAAGGAACAGTGAGTTCGGACTGGTTATTTTGGACAACGCGAGAAGAGGGTCTCTGACGGATCTTAGTGAGGGTGAGGAGCCACCTCATTTTCACCCTGAATTTGGCCGTTTCATGCTGGAAGCCACTCCGGGTAAGCCCTGGGGCATCGACTTCAAGGACCTATTGAAAGTAGAGTCCAATATGAAGTGGCGGTAAGTTCGTGGTTTCGCGGGTATGTAATAATGTCTCTAATGAACGTATAACAGACGCGAGGTTGCAAAAGCTCACATGGCACCGAATGAGAGCCCTATCACACTCACCACATTCCCTCGCCTGGGGACAAAGGATGATTATATTCAACCTTATTATCCCCCATCAGGTCCTGCATTGCGGTCTCAATTCGTTCCCGACGAGATTGCTAACCCCCATATTCGATTTCCAACCTTGGCGGCCAATATAAGATCAAGGAGGGGCCGGAAAATCGAGCTGAATGTGCCAGTGTTTAAGGACAAAAACACCCCTGATCCCTTTTTGGACCCAACAGTGGACTACAACCTTCATAACTGGCCCGAGGATGATGATGTCCGAAATGGCGCGGCTAAGGAGGGTCATGTTTACATGGACGCCATGGCATTCGGCATGGGGAGTTGCTGTCTCCAGATAACTTTTCAAGCAAAGAACATAACAGAAGGAAGAAAGTTGTACGATCAGTTGAGTCCGTTGGGGCCTATTCTTTTGGCTCTCACTGCTGCCACTCCGATATACAAGGGTTTCCTCGTCGACACAGATGTCCGTTGGAATCAGATCAGCGGAGCCGTTGATGACCGGACGCGGGAGGAACTTGGTGAAATTGTAAGATTCCAATATTCTGACTTGTTTGTTCCTCCGTCCCAAGAACTCTATTGACATCATGCAGCCCCTGAAAAATGATAGATGGAGGATCCCGAAATCCCGTTATGCTTCGAACTCGACTTATATCTCACAAGATCCTAGATTGAGAAAAGAATATCTGGATCCCGATCTTATCGTTGACCAAGATATCAAGAAGCGATTGATGGATGATGGCATGGATGATCTTCTAGCGACACATTTCGCGCACCTTTTTATTCGTGATCCACTGGTTATATTCTCGGAAGATCTCGAAGAGCTGGACTTGAACAAAGCAGATCACTTCGAGAACCTGCAGTCGACAAATTGGCAGCATATGCGTTTCAAGCCACCCCCACCTGACAAGGATGATATCGGCTGGCGAGTTGAATTCCGATCCATGGAAATCCAGATGACCGACTTCGAGAACGCCGCCTTCAGTATCTTCATCGTGCTTGTGACCCGTGCGATCTTGAGTTTCGATCTCAATTTCTACATCCCGATTCAGCGCACGACTGAGAACATGGAAACTGCGCACCTTCGAAATGCAGTGTTGGAGCAAAAGTTCTACTTCCGCAAAGACCCTTTCTCTCGTCGCAGGCCGACCCAGCAATCGCCAAGTGGTAGCAATGTCTCCTCTACGACATCATCTGCTCATAACACGCCACCGCCATCACCGCCACTACACCCAGTGGAGTCTGAGTATGATCTAATGACGATTTCTGATATTATCAACGGTTCCCCTGACGGATCATTCCCTGGCTTGATCCCGCTCGTCGAATCTTACTTGAACAGTGTTAATGTGGATGTTGAGACACGTTGTTCTCTAGCCAGCTACCTTGACCTTATACGTAAGCGTGCCAACGGTACCCTTTGGACTGGAGCCAAATGGATCCGTGAGTTTGTTGCGTCACATCCTGGGTATAAGCATGACAGCACCGTTTCCGAAGAGATTTGCTACGACTTGGTCAAGGCTGTGGATGAGATGACTGTCAAAGAAGGTAAACACGGTACAGTTGGGTGGGAGCTCCTCAGAGGCAAGAAGAATTAGATGGTTGAGAGATATTTTCGCAAATAGATGTAGATAGCGTGCTCTCCATAGTCTTCTACAGTGAAGTGAACATAATTAGATTTTTTTTTGTCAGCTGACTGAATTGGTAGGTCCCCGAGGACATCCAAGGATACTCAAAGGACACAGTAGATACAACTCTCGTTTCTCTTAGTGCTTCTTCGATGGTATTCCTTCGCGTTCCCCAACGTGCTCCGCAAAAGGACGGCGGCTGACGACCATGTGATCCATCAATCAACTATAGAGTTAACTTTCCTTTCTTGGTCTTCATTCAAACACAGCCCCGTTCCTCCAAAGGTCCAAACTCCTCAATACGTCATACAGGCATCTCTTGCTTCTGGCCACTATGGCAACAACAGCTTTTCTTCCTCTGTTGGCTGCCGACATGAATCAGCTAGCCCTGTCACTTTCCACACACCGTTGACTTTGTGAAGAATAAAAAGCTCAACGCCTACATGATGCACGACTCCATTGACCTTTGCCCGAAAAGGTGCCCATACTGCAGCCATGTTTCCGGGAGAGTATACCTTCACCTCTGGATCCCAGATGCGCTCGTCGATTTCGTCCTGAATACGTGTCACTTGCTCCACGAAAGCCCCAATGGTACAGAAGCGAGGAAGGGTGGGAGATGGTGGCCAAACAGACATTCCTCCTGCTCGAACACAGTATTTCTCGAAGTCGACGGGGTTTTTGGTCCTCAGTGCGGCCAAGAATCCTTGAATGACAGCCATGACAGAGTCAACTTCATCGGAAGGTTCGGGCAAGCTTGCCAGGGCGACCGCTTGGCTTGGTATTATCCAATGCATACTTGATGCCTTTGAAGAGAATTTGTGAGGAGTTGTGTCGACTGATGTGCAAACTCTGCTTCCATCGTCAGGACAATCAAATTTTGGTGAAAAGAGCCTCGTCTTCAGTTACGCACCTGGAGGAATTCAGAAGGAGTCCACAGTTCAGTATATTCCTTTCCTTTGCCCCAGTCTACTGGCATGATATGCAGTTTACTGTTCTGGCAAACATCCAGGCTAAGAGTCATTGAAAGGTCTTCTAGGTATTAGGCAGAGAGAGAGAGCATATATTTGCAATCAGGCCATGGCCAACTGTTCAAGACACTGCATCATTCAAGCAGCTTTCATAACAAAGCCTTAGATGAAAAATGCCTGTAGTGGCAGTACTTTGATATAAGGACAACAAGCCAGCTGAACGTGTTACCGTTACAATGCCAATGATGGGTCTGTTCCACGAATATACCGCTCGCTCCCGTCAGTGCGTGAGAGGGCCATGGGAAGCTTTCACATCCTCCTGAGAGTACCTAATGAACTTTTGGACTGCAAGTCAACGGAACAGCATTATATTTCCTTTTCTGACCACCTTCTGCTTTGCACCATCGGTGTTGGATGGGCCTCTCGGAGTCGGGCCCATTCAGGATAGAGCCAGCCCAGCTCATATGCTTGTCCGACAGGACACCATAATTCATCACGCCCTTCTCAACATGACCTCTCGTGCGACTCTAGCCTTGGTGGAGAAGTTCTCGCCCGGGTCCCTTTCTGTCCGTGTGCAACAAGAAGAGGGTCTTGCACCCGGACGAGCTAACCTCTACAAGCAAAGGATTGCTCGTCTGTCATGATTACAAAGCTAGCCTGTGTCAATGACCATAGTCTAGTGGAGTCACTTATACTGCGGATAGAAGAAAAGGAGAATTTTGCCTAATAACGGCCACACAAGTAATTGGGTGAGATCAGAAGCACAACTCTCTGAGCCTAAATATGCATTATGCACCTGCCAATTTTGGGCACTAGCGGTGAAGCGATCCGCATGTCTCTTTTCTCTCTGGTGTTTCGCCTGCTATTCCCATCTTTCACAACACCTCTCTGTATAGCGTCTGCAATTCTCTCGAGTCTGCTTCAAGGTGTCAACTCGAACTAAATCTATTCATTTACCTTATATACGGATGTGCCTCAACTGGGCTCTTTGCGAGCACTAGCAAATATATTGCGCTGGCATGGTGTCAGTCCACGTTGCCACAAGCACACCGTGAATTGTGCTCATCCAGCCGTCGCGTGAAATTACCTTCCGGAAGGCCCCATACAACTCACGCTCCGGCAAAACAATCGGCATGTCTACAAATCAAGACTCGGCATTTGGGCGTCCTCGATCTGCCATGTTTACCATGAGGTCATTGTGCCAGCTGTGTCCTATGACTCTATAGCTCCACACTTCGGCCGACAATCCTATCAGGAGCGTGTTATCATATGGCGGTTGAGCCTTCAGAACCGTTGTTCCCCGCATTCCTCATCCCATGCTCTCCCGGCAGAACCCCGGAGACAACCCACACTAATGCACCCAAAGCAAAATGACATGGATTGAATTATCCGGGGTGCATCCATCTTGTTCCCCCACACATTGGACCCTTTCCTTATAATGGCTGCCCCGGCAAACCCCCAATTGCTGTTTAGGCCAGCGCAGATAGCAAATCTCTCGTCTGATTAACGATGCTAAAGCTCGCTGTTGCTCTTTTTTCGTTACTTGCCGTGGGCAATGCAGCGCCAACCAAAGTGGCCCGTTCCACGGCCAGTCCTACGGCCAAGGTTCGCAACGGTACATATGTCGGAGTGACAAATGCGCATTACCAGCAAGATTTCTTTTTGGGAATGCCGTATGCCCAGCAGCCTTTAGGTGACTTGCGCTTCACGGTGCCTCAGTCCCTGAACGAAAGCTGGAGTGGCGAGCGCGACGCGAAGGAATATTCCAATATCTGTGTAGGATACGGTGTGAGTGCGCAAATCTTCTTCGAGAGCCAGGCCCTACTAGCTGCATCCTGGCACTATGAATATAATCTAATGGGTAGATCTGTTAGACCGACTCGATTTGGTACCCACAGTCCGAAGCTTGTCTAACCTTGAATGTCATCCGCGATTCTTCTGCAAATGAGAACTCGAAGCTCCCCGTGGGCGTCTGGATACATGGAGGTGGCTTCTTTGAGGGATCTAGTGCTGACCAGCGCTACAACATGTCCGCGATTGTTGCCAACTCCTATAAGATCGGTATGTCGACGTATGCGGTTGTAGAATTAGACTGACTCGGCTTGCTCGCATTGTAGGAAAGCCGTTCATTGCTGTCAGCTTAAACTATCGCCTTTCGGCATGGGGCTTCTTGAGTTCCAGTCAAGTCTGGGGCACTGGCAATACCAATCTAGGTATCAGGGATCAAAGGTTAGCACTCCATTGGATCAAGGAGAATATCGCGGCATTCGGAGGAGACCCAGATAAGATCACTATCTGGGGCGAATCTGCCGGAGCGATGTCCGTGGGTTATCACCTTGCAGCATACGGCGGTAGGGACGATGGACTCTTCCGTGGAGGAATTATGGAGTCAGGAGGGACTATTGCAGCTAGTCCAGCCAACTATACCGGGTACCAAGCGCACTATGATGAGCTCGCGGGTCAAGTCGGTTGCTCCGACGTAGTAGATTCGTTGCAGTGCCTGCGCGAAGTTCCGTTCGAGAAATTGAACGCTGCTCTCAACACCACCAGTGGTAACTCGGATTTCAATTTCGGGCCCGTCATTGATGGAGATATAATCAGGGACTGGGGCAGCCTCCAGCTAGACAAGCATGAATTCGTCAAAGTCCCTATTCTTGCAGGTACCAATACCGACGAAGGGACAGCCTTTGGGCCCACAGGTATCAACACGACAGAGGAGTTCTATGCATATCTCACAGGTATGTGTGATAATGAGTTAACATCCTGAAAGAACCCCAGAGCAGCAAAACGGGCTAATCTCACTGGCAGATGGCGAATCTGGATTCCAGCTACCCCCCACGATCGCCCAGGAAATCCTGCAGCTCTACCCTGATGATCCAGCACTGGGCATCCCCGAATTTCTCGGTGACACTAGAGTCCCGTCCAAAGGCTACCAATGGCGGCGCACCTGTGCATACGCAGGGGACTATGTAATGCATGCCAACCGTCGCCGACAATGTGAGGCGTGGACAGAGACCTCGACGACGGCGTACTGTTATCGATTCAATATGCGTGCGGCCGATGTCCCCATCCTGTCTGGCGCCACCCATTTTGAAGAAGTTGCTTTTGTATTCAACAACATTGCAGGACTCGGGTACCATTACGGAAAGCCGTTCGCAGGGATGCCCGAGTCCTACGTACAGCTAAGCAACTTGATGACCAGCATGTGGGCATCCTTCATCCACGATTTAGACCCTAATTCGGGCATCAAGGACTCAGCTGTACAGTGGCAACCGTACGGGAAGGATCAGCCGGTTGATCTAGTGTTTGATGCGAATGTCACGAGCTACAGCTACATGGAGCCAGACACGTGGCGGAAGGAGGGGATCGACTATATCAATTCCGTGGCCAACGCGTACTGGCGATAAGCTTCATGCTATCGAAAACACATGTGATGAGCGTGAGAGTTTTTGCCTTCCGCTTGATGTTGCCTGCGAGAGGAAAAGGTTAAGGCAAACAAGGATGGTAGGGGGTGCGAGCGCATCTAAGTCGGCCACGGTAGTTGATTGATGGTTCCCTCGTTAGAAGCAAATACAGATGCCATACTTCCTGCAACAAACCCAGAACTTGTTGTAATCAAGTTTTTTCAAACGGATGGTAGATCGGTTCCGATTTGTAAAAAGCAAGATCCTAGCGTTACGAGGGAACCAAGACACCCACACAGAGGAGCATTACGAATTCCAAATTACCAAAGCCTGTATAACAAAAACCAGCAGAGACCGCCTAATTAGTCAACTACAGCATTGGTTCAATGTACCTGCAAGGACCTTTACACGCGTGGTCACCCATGTACCAAGCCAAGCCAACGGCCAAGACACGGAAATAACCAAGAGGAAACCACTCCCTCCAAGAATCAAGAACCCAGGGGGTCAAGAGAATCTGGAAGCGATAAAGGGGTCTTCTTTTTTTTCTTTGCTTACCTAGAGAGGGAGGAGTCGGCGTTCATCGTCAATCAGTAGAGTGTTCTCCGCCCTGAGTGGTGTAGTCTATATCCGGACCATCGGGGACATGATTATCATACGATCCATAACCAAGTCCCCGATTGTACTACGGCTACCAAAACTAGAATGATGAAAATATTGGAGTACGAAAGGAACTAAACCAATACTAAGAAAAAAAAAAAAGAGTAAAGAAAAAAGAGTAAAAAACCAAGCTCGGAAAGTAAAAATTTCCCCTGGTCTTGTTGTCATTCCCCTACCTATTGAGAACCGGGTTCACCAATGACAGCGGATCCCCGATTTGACATCGATGGGGACCCTCTCCCCTCTCTCCCCGTGGCTGTCATGGAGGGGAGAAGAGGGGGGTTGTTGTGTGTGGAAGAGGGAAGCTGTCATATCCTTTCCCATTGTGGATAGGCCAGCCAGGGGTCCCCCTCGGGGTCTATTCTCCCTTTCGCTTTTCTGTCTCCAACCTCCGGTATCCGTCAACCGGCACGATCGGGGAAGTCAGGAGTGGGCGAAGATGATTCATCTGAGGATGTTGGTTCCAGATGAAGAAGGTAACTAGGAAAGAGGGTGTGGGAATCTTATCCAGAAATTCCAACCATCGGGTCCCATCCGTCGATTAGTTCGACTAGTTGATCTAAACGAGGAAGGAATGCGTGTTCCAGAACACACCCACTGACTTCGAGATTTTTGTTGCAAAGTCGGTAAAAATTACCTGATTGCAGAATCCTAACCATGGAACGAACGTCCAGTTCCGAGCCATTCACCCAAGGGAGAGAGCGGCTGTGATGGGGAACTTTGAACATTCCAGAACATGGGCTTTAGCTGGAGAATACTCAGTAGAGTTATTGCTTAGGGACCCTCCTTCCCTATCTAACCAGGTAACTGAAAGTAATAAGGGAAGTGGGTACAAGTCAGATAAAATTTGGTATAGATAGACTTATTCGACTAACAACTAGACAGCTAAGTAACTGGGTCACAAGAATAGATTTTCTACGCGGACGACCAGAGAGGAACAGAGAAGGGTTGGAAGGAAAAAGGGAATTGACGGGGGAGGATGGAGGGGGGAGGGAAACCAATCTAACACGGTTGCTTTGATTGAAGGTTGCCGATCGCGATCGTTGTAATCAAATCAACCAAGTTGTCATGGACCAGAGAGAGAGAGAGCCACACCCACTGACACCCACACCCACTCATTCAGAGAGAGGGTGAGCTGCCATCCATCAATTCATCCGGTGGCGTAGCGATGGGTTCCCTTCCCTTATTCTTCTCCCTCTGTTCTATTCTTTTTCTATTAATTAAAATTGCCCGTATCCTCTCTACTACTAGTATTCTTCGTTCCTTCTTGACAATCAATCCACACATCCACACCTTTCGCCCCATCCATCTCGGGGACCTCGTTTGCGGGATCTTACTTAAATTTGCTTAGTAGATAGATACGTAGATGAAATTGGAGTTATCTCATTTCCCTGGCCCTGCTTTTAGTAAAGTGTCATCATCATCATCACCATCATCATTCATTTCCCGGCCCCTCTCCTCTGCAGATTTGATCCTGGTTAGACTACTACTCCTACTAGTTAAGTCTACTTACTTAGATAGTTAGTCCCGTCCTCGGGTGGCCGTTCTATTGACATTTCCAAAAATAAATTTTTGTTCCCACTCACCGAGCGAAGATAATGATAGTAACTACTAAGTATCTACTACTACACGTACTACGAAGTATTACTTACCTACCCACCTATCTAGTATAGTCCTACGTGCTGTCATATTGCTACTACAACTAGTATTCCCACAACAGCGATGGCAATGAGTATCTCGAACCCCGAACGATGTGGATATACCGAGGGAATTTAATTAAACAATAATAAAGGAGACAGATTAAAACTTAGAACTACCAAGAAAAGTAAAAGAAGAATCGATCCGATCGGTAGTAGCGAATGTCCGTCTCTAGTATTACTTGCTTACTGACATACTAAGTACCAAGATCTACATCTGCCTGTCAGTGGTTGTCAGCTTCGTCAGTTAATGTACTAAAGTTTCCAGTTCTAGATCCCATAAGCCGGGTGTATCCGTGGTTTCCTATCCACGTGTTATTCGGGTCCAGGCTAAGCAAAGTAACTTCAGTAGGTGAGATTGAAATTTGACAGGATTTAGTTCACTTTGTGGAAAGTTTGGTACCGAAATTGATGGTGTATGGCGTTATTGCAAATTTCAAGTGAGTTAGTATTGTAGACAAACAAGTTTTCTTCAATGATGAGTTGTCGTTTTGCTTGGTTTTTGATGTTCCTTTCTCGAATCGTTTCGTTGTGGTGAGAAGCAATGGTCGCTTTGTGTGGTGATGGAAAATATATGTCGCACCTCGAATCAATATATATAGTACACACATGAGGACACAAATCAAAATAGGTTAGCAAAACACCCACTTCCTGAGAAGTATCATGCTACCAGTATATTGATACTTCTCAGATAGTACCAGTAACACACATAAATATCTCGTACTAAATCGACAATACACCTACTGCACACTACGTACTGTCCAACCTGCAGGTCATCGCAAGCTGTGCGGTATGGGCGGGGTGCGAGGTACTAAGTTACTGGTAACACGCGACTAACACTGAGCGCATTTGGACCATACATATACATACATACATACATACAACAGCAGCATATAGACATCTAGCTTCGCTAGATCGGTCAGGCAGATGCAGCACTGTAGTATCTACTAGTGACTTATGTGATGCTCATGCATCTACTACTATGGCTTCTTCATGCGGTTTCAAACTCTATGCGTCCGCGGGCATAAATAGGGACCAATAGCTAGTATGTATCTAACCGCCTGGTTCATTGACCACAATCAAAGCAATGCAAAAGTGAAGCATAACCGACTACCTGAGAAGCTACATCTGCAAAATAGATACGTGAGACTCGATTGGTACAGGCAAGTAATAACCTTACTAGAACACGGACGTAAATTATAATACATGGTAAAGGCATTATGTGGTAACAATCACGTTGTTGATTTACGTGGACCCAAAAAGAAAAGAGAAAAGGAAAAAAAAGAAAAGCCGTCGAGTCAGGAAATTCAATAGAATCTATAAAGAAAACTACTATAGTCTGACGCGATCGGGAGGTATATCTCATAGCCATATGGCTGCTGGCATGATCGATCGGGATCAGGTTACATCGTGTCTTAGTGTGTAGTGGGGAGGGGGGAAAAGGAAGGAAGGGAGGGGGTGGGCAAAAGTTAGGTTCTCTATCTACCGTATGGGTTAGCATCGGAGGCCCGATCAGAATGAAGTAAGAGTAACTAGGTAAATTAATTTATGCTTACTTGTTCACATGATGGGACCCGATCGATAGTTTAGATGGTATGAATTATTAATATTCGCATTGGCCTGACTAGTTACTTTGGTTGTCGTATATTGCTGCTGTGGCGCAGTGCTGGATGAGTAGATAGTGGTAGGTAATGGTGGTTTGTGTGTTGGCTATGGAGACCCATGTTGAATAGTTCACCTGCATGTACCTTTTGGTGTTCTCTAGCCCCTTAGGAAATCGTCCACCTGCTCATGATGCAATCCCATCCGATCGTAATCATTTGCCTTGATAACTTCCTTGTCATGGTCATCTAGATAGACAGATAGTAGTGAATGGTAGGCAGACAGGCAGGCGCGCAGCCCCTTTTGCGGATTGATTTGTAAGCTCCATGACTCGCAATTAATATATCATGTGGTAAATATAGCTGCCTTCAGCGGTGGCCATCCGAGCCCGCAAGCTCAACACGCTCGTTGTCCAGGATCAACAACAATAATGCCTTCATTATAGGGTCCCAGAGGGACCATACTGAATAGTCAGTTAGTAGGGCAACGGGATGACTTCGAGAGGAGAGAGGGGTGGGTGGGTGGGTGGCAGAGCGGCCCCAGGCGCAACGTGCTGACTCTTCAGAGCCAGGCTATGACGCTGCTTCACTATAAAATGGAGACTGAGGGCCAACGGCGATTCATTAAACAGTTAGATACTAGCACCATTCCGGTTGTCATCTCCGTGGGCTGTTCGTTAGTCCCATTGATAGACCTCCGGACCTCATATATCTTAGCCCCAACCACCCAAGATCCGCGCGCAGATTAACCCGCCGATGGGCGACGGTCGATAGGCGACGCTAACCAAACCCAAGTCTAGGCGATAGATAGACATTCCCACTGCCCAAAGTTGGCAGAATTCGGGACGAGGATTACTGCCATTGTATTTCCGTCCTGTTTGTTGTAGGCTACAACCCACGGCGGGTTGATGATCAACGGCCGTTATCAAGTCAGGAGCCACAACTTGACTGGATCCATCCTGTGAAGGCGCAGAATCTTCGACTAGGATGGATCTTCTCCCCCTATTTTTTTTTGTATTTACTTAATTTATTTATTTTCTTTCTTCTCTCTTTCCTCTTCTCTCCGACTCTCCATCCAGCTTCCTAATCTTCTCTTCTGGAGAAGCGGCCAGAGACGCTGGGTCCACTGACTGTACCCACTTGACATTCTTATTTTGCCGGGTAAATTCGACGGGATTCCAATAACGGGGTTTTTGGGCGGCTTCCAGACGGACGGAACGGGGGATTTGGAAAGTGAAAGTCGAAGCTACCACTAGGAGCTAAGTCAAGTGATGAACTCGAACCCGTCAATCAGATCCGTTCTACCGGGAACCGCGCTACTCAGCCTGTATTATGTTGTGTTGAAAAATGTACTCTAGCGAGCGGGGACTTCCAGTTCGCAGCTCTCTCTCAAATTTTGGTTCATTTAATTTGTCCCTTTTCGGAGGACAACTCATTTAGAGGGCTAGATGGCCTTGGCTAATAAGCAAAATTCGAGATCCGCCACCTCATCTTTTCATAATGAGATTTCACGTACTTTAGTTGATATCCTCCACATGTCATCGAGATAATCTCATGTACCTATCCCTCACTAGGATCGCGTACTTTTTGCCACCATGCATAGTTAACCTTCCGGATTTGCGCTGATGCGTCCCCCATGATCCGTCAGGCCTGACCACCAGAGAGGTGGATCACACCACAGCCGGGTCCGTAGATATGGTGGGGAAAGTCAACGTTCAACGGCTTGGAAATGGGAGCGTATCTGGCAGTTTCCGTGCCGCGGCCTCCGAATACGCCAAGTCCTTCACTCGAGCTGCTGAGAAAGGAAGGCAGGATTGGGCTTGCCGGGCGTTTTGACACCACACCGATCTTGTGGCAGTGGCTCCCAAACGGCTCTATTGTAGTCTACTGGGCCGCGCCACTACATGATTCATGGGATGGCAGCCTTTTTTTTCCTGCGTCCATGTTATTTTCTATTATTTTCTTATTTCTTATCCACTTCCTCTGCTCCCTTTAGGGAGCCGTGTCTGGTGGATCGTCCAACCGCCTCGTTGGTGCCAATATTGGAGTGTAGATGCTCGATAGGTAATAATTATAGATCTCAGTCTCAATCGATGACTCGGGATTTGCTTACGACTCAGTTCGGGGTATGCACGAGAGCCGAAGTAGATCCGTCTTGCGGCCGGCGCAAGATGAGGCGACAAGGGCCGAAAAAAAAGTGTGGAAAAAATTTGAAGACGGCGGGACACCCTACCCAAGACCGTTAGACTTATGGCACACAATAATGCGGTCTTGCTTTCTTCTGCTTTTTTTTTTACATTTATTATTTTTTTTCTTAAATATTATTATTTAATTACATATTTATTCTTTTGTTTTTGCGCGTGGATTTTTCCATTCTCTTATTTCTTTTTTACTTGCCTAATTCTTGGCCCCTTTGTAGACAAGAAATTGGACGCTATTATGTTTATCTATAAAACTTGTTCGTGTCGAGTCGACCCTGGAACCTGTATGCAAAACCTGAAGTGGCGATCGTCACTGTGGCTCAGAGGTCTTAAACGCCCACTTGTTCGTTCGTAGTTTTCTGTCAGCCATGCAGATAGCCACACATGGGTGGGACATACACCTTAGTTGTAAAGGATTTCGATGATTGACAGGGCCATCTGTCGAATTCGTCACCCAAGGCAAGGGTTTCTCCAGGCGAATCTTGGTACACAATACGCCAAAGGCGGGAGAATGAATGGAGCCGATAAAGAATGGTCCACTTCACGTGTCTTCCAGGGGGTGCTGAAGGAATGGTGAATGAGGAATGGACATTAAGTGGGCCGGCCCTCCGTCTGATCCCCTGGACTCCTTAAATGGAAGGAGGAGACCGAGGCTATCCTCGGCAACTGTACTCACAATACCATACATACCTGACGGTAATGGCACTCTATATCGAAGTATTTTGATACACAGTAGGATACTTCTGAGATAGTCTGTTTCCGACTCGATGAACAAGCATGACCAGCCAAAGGGACAGTGTTGGGGTTTTAATTTTGTATATGGTGAGTGTTGTGGTCGTTTGAAAGGGAGGCCCTTCCGCATTCTACTGCGGTCGATGGCTCGTATCTTCCTTTCTCTCTTGCACACATGGTAATTGAATCTATCATGGGAGTATTCCACTAGACAGTGTTACTTACCCTTCAAGGAACCTCTGGGTACTAGACAGTGCTTAGAAACTTACTGATATTATATGTACTGTGCCTGTTTCCTATGAGAGTTCAGAATTTCCCTCAAATGGGCTTGGATCATTGGTTAGTTACTCAACAGAGACCATACTGGGTGGTTGGCGGAGACAATTAGCGTCATTGAACGCGCTCCCAATCGGTCGGCCTGCAGGAAACTCAAGTCTTGGTAGTCCAAGGACGAAGCAGGACAGAGGTGAGAAACATCGGGTTTAGCCGTTTTTGACGAAACCCCAGCTGTCAACTTTCTGGTTTGGGATAAGTCGTCGGAGAGTTTACCGGGATGGATCCACTACCGTTTGACACTGGAGCTCTCCCTACCCCCCTTCTGCTTTTTTTTCCGAGCCCATAGAGCTGTGCCAGCCTTTTAGCCCATGAGCAATCGGCCCGTCTTATGCAAACAACAAGGGCCATGTCAGGTCAAAGGACTGTGCAGAAATAGCTCGTAGCTAGCAGATCGAGATACTGGGCGCATTAGTACATCTGGCATGACACAGAGAGGCGTCTATACACTATACCGAGGCATCTGGTCGTGAAAACAGCTGATATTTCCTGATTGATGGCCCTTTGGTCAGACACCAAGGATAACGAGTCAGTATGAAAAGTATCAGGAGGAGTCCCCTCACTAATTCCGACGTATTTGGAGCTGTAATGGCTGTTGGGACGTCAGTGACCAGCCCCAGATGGCGAAATGGATGGCAGGCAATAGTGAGAGGAGTATCAAATTCTGAATGGACTCATGACACAATGTCTGCACCAATGAGCAGGTAACTGTTGAGGAGGATACGATCCCTCGCATCCTGGGCTCTTGCCATAATGGTCGAAGCGCTGTCGCTCACTTCCTTCCCGGACTGGGTGATAAATTTTTGACCATCATTGAGCGATCGTAGGACCCGGTCCCACCTCATCCCCCATTGCCGGTATCCATTAGCTGTACTTATCCTAATTTTGATAGAGCGCAGTCAGCGAAAACGTTAGCGAGGTGCGACGGCGAGCCAACGGTCGCAACGGCCCTTGAACCATCTCCTTTGGCGCTGTCGATCCCATTATCCGCTTTTCGGCCCACCATTCTCCAACTCCATAATGACACAGTAGAGCTGTTTTGGCTGCCTATGTCTTATTGATAGGATTCTTCCGATACTGACGGTGTGCCCTGAGTACTCCTTATGCTTTCGACCCGGAAAAGCCTGTTTGCTGGTTGGGACTGTTTACAATACCCCACATTGTCCATCTGGCTCCATAGTAGTCGTATTTCCGACTCTTTTGTGAAAATGGCCGTCTGGGAGGGAGAATAATTATAGAGGCTAGCAGAGTACTGGATACCATGACCCTTACCATGCCTCTGCGGCGTCGTGTGAGAGAGCCATTCAGCGGTATTTTTTAAAAAATCCGTAGGTGAAGTCCCACCTAGATGGCCCCCAAAGTGCCAATACAACATGTAAAGCACCTTCCCCATCTCCCGGTACAGCATGACGATTGGATATTATAAGCAGGATAGCTCTAGTGGGTCATATATGTGTCTATGCCACTAGTGACGGTATTAAGTAGGTAGATCGAGTATCTCCGTTTCCAGGGAAAACATAGGTTCAAAGTTGAAGCATTGGCGAACAATGGGTTACCAACCATTTTCCTAGTCATCGATAGCCTGGAAAGCGTGCGCCGGATGATTCTTTCCCGTAATAGTGGCCATTGTCTATCACAAGGCTTTGTATGAGACCTGGCAATTTTCAGATGCTATACAGGCGCGTGACATGTCTCCCACGCGTTTCGAGCTTGCGGATAGATCAAGTTCGCGGGCCTCTGCTGTAACTTCCTAGTGTCGGCAGATGCCCGGGAAGTACTTAGGTTAACGTACGCTAAAAGCAACTTGCCACCCATGGACCGCTTTGTCCTGGCGGCTTTCCCTACTGTTGGGTTAAACCCGTTAACGTTAAGAGGCTTCCTGGGGCTGCGGGCAAAGCCCAAGCTTCATGTTCTAGAATTATCACCGAGTGCACTGAGTTATTGCTATTCGGCCTTCCAAAGGCAATATAGTCACAATGCCTGGAAGTTCTCAAGAACGTTATCATCTTTTCCATATAGAGGATCAGTTATACAGAACGAACAATGCATATGAGGGCGTTGCAACAGGGGCTCAAACGACACCATAGGCAGATAGTGAAGAGGGGTTGAACATGTGTCTTAGCCATAGTCAATACGTAGGCTGTCACTTTCGTCAAGCCGGTCAATGTGATGGTATTGCCAGTACCTACTGTGTATGACCATACTGGCCAGTGCATCCGCCTCACCCAATCAGAGTCGGTCAAAAGCTTGGGACATCGCGCCAGGCAAAGATTTCCCGAACATGCTAATCCGGTTTAGGAATTTAGCGAGCGCTCCGGCCACAGCGTTCCTCATAGTATTCAGATTTCAGAGATCTAATCCAGAGACCACTGCGTTCCCAGGTGCTTTTTGTTACATGGAAGACAGACGGCTGATACACTCGGAACTCAACGTGGCTCCGCAATAGTACAGGAGCCGCAGTAACATTGCTTGACTCTTGCGATGGAATAGAGCTAAAGATACAAAAGAGGGAAACTTACATGGCTGACTATCAATATCCATTCACTACCTCGCACTACAAGCATACCTTGATGGTTCAAAGGAAAATGCACCCAGAATCGACATAGTTAGCTAGTCAACTAGGTCCGCCTGATGAAGTCGGTCATCATCTGGGGCGGCCGCTGGCAGATCCATTTCCGCTGCCGCCGCTTAGTCTGTGCACCGATAGATATGACCAAAAGTACCGAATGAGTAAAGGCCTGTCGTCATAGCTTTGGTGTTCCTGGTTTGTTGGATCCGGACAGAACTATTGCGGGAAGTATATCTCGAGAGGGATGGAATGAGAAGGAGAATTAAGTCTGTCAGATGAGGTCATGGCCTTGGCCCCCTCCCGACATCACATGTGAACGATCGAAAGAACAGGATAATCAGGAAAAACGTCCAATCCTTTCCTTTCAGGGATCTCCGACACCATACGCTGGACCTGGCGGAAGTGATTACCGTAGCCTTGCTTATTTGGGTAAAGATCGGACACTTTCAGTTGATCCCTCAGGGAACATTTTTAGCGCCATCTGCTGGAAGTCAGTTCAGCTTCCCCTAGCCTGGCCGTGCAGTGCAGTTCGCAAAAGGCATTCGCCTTCCTCAATACTAGAGTGGGAAAGCCAAGTTCAACGGTGGTGAACCCATGCGTATTACGTACCCGGGACCGGTCGCAAGATCGAGCAGCTCCACGGCAATGGTCATGAACCGGCAATAGTTTCCAGTAGACATATCTAAATTCGAAGGGGCATGCCAGAAGTTGCACTAGCAAGCAAGCCACTGGAACCTATTGTATTGGTACTCATCACTCTTTAATTTAGATTGAGGGGCTATGATCCTCTTGAGTCAGATCTCTCCACGGAGTACCGGTGGATAAGCGTGGTTGCTTCCTTCCAGGGGCCGACTCCTGGGTCTGAAGCGTCATAGGATAATGGATGGTAGTGTGAGTCAGGGGGGTTTTCCGCAGTACATATTAATATTTTGGTCGTTGTCTGACTCGTAGCTGCATATAGCTTGCCCACTTTCTCGTCCAACTGTCTACAATACGTATGCGACATGCATTACTAGGGAAATACGCACCCACGATAAAGAGGGAGGGGGGAAAGGAAAAGAAAGGGAAAATATAAAAACACAAATGTAAAAACTGATTTTCACGGAATGTTAACTCTGTATTCGATAAATCCGATGGGCAGAAGTCTCGTAAGCTTATAATCGGCATACTACTTCGATCTCCTTCGATCTCGAGCCCTTGGAACGAAGGATTGCATCAATCAACTTCGATTCATGGTTCTGAGCGAAACGCAACCGCAGAAATGATCCCGTCATATGAAGCGATCCTATAAGACGGCTTTGCTTGCTGTTGGGACCAGAGTCTGCTAATAACACATTTGCAGGAAGTGAGGTTCAAAGTCAAGATCAGTCTGAGCCAAAGCTTGTTTTCTGCAGTAATTCCGTATCGTATGCATTCAACATCCACTATTTCAATATTCTTCCTGGACGTTCCGTTTGGTAAAAGTGAGAAGGTCAAGAGCAAGAGGGTATCATCTCGCGTACATTAGGAGAGGCTTCAAATACGTAATATTATTCTTGAAGTAAATGAAGAGAAGAAAAATTAATTTGAAAATGAGAACGACTGTATAGAATGCGGGCTTGCCTAATTAATCTATAGATGCGCAAATCTACGATTCAGATTTTGGGGCCACCATAAAATAGCTGGTTACGTCAATATTCTGACCAGCAGACTCATGCATAGACATCCGTTACACTAGATGATACTGGCGATTGGCGTCGATCTGAGGCCTATACGATAAATAACGCGCCCGTTCGTTGGCCATTGCCAATCATGTGGCCTAGATCTCGGCTCGGAGATGGATCGCCCCCCAAAGGCCTGCAACGTGCGTGCCACGGTTAAACAAGTAACAACGGTAAAATACTGCCTATGCTATCCCTTTGGTTAGTAAAACATATAACCGTGTCTTCGAACAAATCTACAATGGAAAATAAAAGCCACCGACATAGTCAACAGAAATTTCGTTGACCCGTCTTCTGCTTGGGTCTTCGCTGAGGGGAACATCCTACTCCGGTGGGGGAGGTCTACTGTGTATGATACGACCGTGAATACGGCACGATTTCCTTTCGGGGAAATAGTCCGATCCTGGAGGGCCACTGATAACAGCACAGAATATGTAGTGCACTGTATTTATTTCTAATGGTGTGGCCTAAATATTTGCTAGTGCCTATCCTTCCCGACTAAGTAGCGCGCTTGTTGCAGCTACCTAACACCGATCGATCGATCGGAAAGTTATGTGCATCGGTACTCCATAGAGTAAGTGACTTCGAAGGCCAAGTGTCGGCTTGGCACTTTCCAAGTTCCAGCACACCGTTGTACAGATTTACCCCAACCACTGACGCACTAAAAGATGTTCTCCGGTTCCACCATATTCAATAGTTTACTGCTATTACTAACATTCTCACACTAGTCTGACTTTAGACCCATTGATGACCGGAAAAGTAAGACCAGATGCAGGAGCACGACGAAAGTTCATGGTGAATGCACTCGCAGGGGTCCCGACCATCATTGAAGCCGACGGCAGAAACAAAGAGTGAACAAAATGATACTAATGGTCTTTGTACTTGTTTTGATATAAACAAGAAGTGCACAGAATGATCAGAGAACCAGAGGACATGGAGAGGAGATACTCCCAGTATTTCAAGAGGGGGGAAAGAAAGGGGATGATGACGATGGTGCCACCCACGAACGGCTACGCCCGAGATCTCGAGCAAGGGAAAGCGGGGAGCGTCGTACCGTACCATGGAACAAGCAACGCAGGCACGGGTAAAATACCGATATGCTGCTTACCAGCCTTTCCTTAAGAGTCTCACATCCTGTTTCCCTTTATCCATTCTGCCAATGAGTTTGCTATTTGATCCTCCAATCCTACAGGTTATGTGCCCCGGCTTTTCTGACTGATCATCACGTTCCCTACAAAATCTGTAATCTACGGGCGGGGAATTTTCCCATATCACGAGCGTAGGAGATGGAGGGTCAGGGGTAGCAGATGTTAATTCCCTGGGGCAGGAAAATCTGGCCACAGCTGCAGCTAAGTTTTGGGCGGTTGTGCTGCCCTGCAATGTGAATGGACAGATCTCCGCCACTTGCGATCCAACGATGCATTTTCTTTTGGGCTAGCTGCAGCCAGGGATGGACAGATATATATTATGAGTGAATGTGTTAATGTATTTTGCTGATATGCGACACCGTTTCCCCACTGTGATTGCTCTCAGATCTCTACCGACTAGAGCAGTAGTAAACAGGAACCACATAAGCATAGCTACTAGTAGTAGCTAGTTATGGAATCTTACTTACAGCTGCTTAAGGACGGACTGTAACACAACAACTCATCACACTCTGTCGTAAAAGATTCATAGGTGCTCAGGTAGAAACTGTGCTATGAAATATCCAACGAAGACAGTTGATGGAAAGCTGTGGGACGACCTGTCTTTTGAGCATTACCAGCATAGTACATGGAGTATCACGAACCGTTAGACTACAAGAGAATGGCCACCGCGTCCCAGCCTTATATTTTGGGATCGAATTAGATCTTATCAACGATCATAAACTTGAGACAATGCTAATGCGGGGAGCCTTACTTGGCGGTTCGCCATGGATCGCAATTTGGGGAGGTTTGTGGGAAAAAGAAAAGAAAGGGCCAAAAGACAAGAAAAAAAGATACATCATCCCAAATTTTAGCGAAGAATCAAGTGTGTTGCACTTGATCTTTTTGTCAGCATATGATCAGTGCTTGTAAAACTACTCTCAATTCTATTTAGTAGTTTGATGAAATCCAATTTTCAAACCCTTTCCCTATTGAGCGGCATGAAGCCCAATACCGAGTGAGTATTGCCTGCCTGTTCCGATATGTATCTGCGTGTCTGCGAAATGCCGATCAACCCTTCCTGAGGGTATACCTGAGAATCCCGATGGTAGTCAGCGAAACGCTTAGCACATCAAGATTCATTGAGATTGTAGAGAGGAGTCAAATGGCAAGACTTATAAGAACGAAGGATGAATTCCATCATAGGAGGGGAAGATGATGGTGTATCCATCCACAGAGAGACAAGCGCCTTCACAAATGAACACTGAATGGGTGGTGTCTTCGTTAGCAAAGTCGAGGTTGATCTGGAACTCATTCTCTTCGCCCATAACATCGCCTGAATGCTAATAATAGTGCTTAATCTACTTGTGATAGATAAAATTGTTAGCATCTAGTCGGCGTTCCTGTTAATGTGACAAGCTTGCTAGATTCCAAGGCCATTCATTCTCGATATGGTCCTCTAAAAGTACCTTAATGACTTAAGAATGGAAGGAAATCATTCCATATTATACCGCCTCTTTTACTTCTCACCTAATCCCCTGTTCTCATTCTCTAGCTCGTAAAATGGTGTCTGTTGGCAGCCCTCCTGCACGGTGTGCGATTTACTTCAATGGAGACGGATCGATGTCTCCTATCTCGGACCGGTACTACATTGATACGATCAGGGTGGAATTTATTCTTCGCCAATTTAAATATGGTATGCCCCTAGAAGAGGTCTGATTTCCGTCACTCGAACAGGTTGTATACTAACTTCTTTCCAATGTACCCTTATCGTTGAATTTAGTTCCAATTTAGCCTTCAAGAGAGGTTTTCTCGCCTAATGAAGTTTCGAGAATCTTAGCCAGTATTTAATCCGCTCAGAAACACCATGGCTGCCACCGTCGAAGGACCCCCTCAGTCTCATTCTTATGGTCTATCTCCGCGGTGGTAAAGGTCTGTTTAAGCCTAAAGCGACAGAGAGATGGCAAGGGAGAATACCTCGCCTGTATAACTCGAAATAGAGAATGTGAGCTGTGGGAGCAGCGGCAGTTTCTGCGCAGTAAGCAGTTTGAAATACGTAACGTGTATGAAATTTCAGTAATATATGTGTATAGGTACTTACGCGGTAAGGAAAAGTGGAAACTTGGTATTGAGGGGGCGGTTATGTAATTGACGCGGTTTTATTTTTCTGATTTAATATTAATTTTATACTTTCTATCCTCCGTCAGCCAAAAGGGAAAATGGAAAAAAAGAAATTCTCGGGGCCAGGGACACCCCCCTGGTAAGGCTCCATCACTCTCCACCCAGATATCCGCACATCGCCAATATGATCCCAACCCACTCCACACTTCGTCGAAGATCCGCAGTTCGCAGCCGTAAAGCTTCTGTAATTCGCCGTAACTTTAAAGTGGTCACAACCTCCGGTATGATTCGACGATCTCATAGTCCGTTCTGGCTCCTCCGCCTGCCTGTCTCTCTAATTTTCCAGGTCTGAGCTCATCTGTCCTAGGCCGACGTAGTTTTAGTAGCTCCTGTTTGGATCCTCCCATATCTCGCGTGTGTGCGGGCCTGAGTGTTGGACTTAAGTGGGCTAAGTATAATTATAATTGTCTTTTATATTTGTACGCATTATAACTATTATAATCTTCTGCTGGTGCTGCTCCTTCCCATTGTTATTCTTCCTCTTATGGTCCCGCCCACCCTGCTGGCTCAACCAACTACCCACCACTCCTACTAAGGTATTTACCTGCCCTTTTCCTCTGCATCTCTTCCCCTCTGAATTCTTGCATTCCAATCAAAAGGAAAGAGAGAAGAAAAAGATTCTCTCCTCCCCCTGCCCGAGACATCTTCGATCCCATTGTCGTTTTCCTTTTCCCGAACCCACTTTTTCACCCCTTGACATTTCACTTCCATCTCCCCCAAAACTTCCCTTCCCTCTTTATTGTCTGGAGATCGTGTTCTTTCATAATCTACCATTACCACCATCTCTTCCTACCACCCCCGTCCAACTACTGCCGACATCTTGCGTCCTTGCATTTTCTCTCTTTCCCTCCGTGTTTTCTCTCCCTCCCCTTTCCAACCAGTGATCACCTGTCGTCCTTATTTTCCATTATTTTTCTTGATCGTTCCGATCTTGTATTTGTTTATTTTCTTTTCTTTGCCGCTCTTTGTTGGGGGTCGCTAAGGAAGAAAAATAAAAGGCTCTACAGAGAGACGGAAAGGAAGAGAAGAGGACCAACCAACGTCTCCCTTCCCACGCGACGCATTCATCTTCACTATCCCTTGCGTTCACTGCGCCTCCGCCGCTCCCGCGAACTCAAACATTGTCAAATCTACCTCTTGAGGGAACTCGGCACGAAATTTCGACTGCTAATCCAGCTATTCGGGCTTCCTGTGCAAGGTTTGACCTAGGGACAGATGGTTATTCAAAGAGCTGGAAGGGCCGTTCCGATTTGACCTGTTCGCTGCGCGTTGCGGGTGCGTGCCGTACTCTCTTGGTCGCCCTCTACAAGAACTCACCCCAACAATTGCGGGCACTTTCATCGCGATCGCATCTACTTTAATCTACCTGATCTTCTTACGCCACCATAACCCCCGGAGCACTTACCAAATATTGATTTTGAATCGTGTTGCCGCCTTCCGCCGCTTATTGTTTTCTTGGCCGATCCAGCCGAATCTCTCGCTCGAATCTCGCCCGATATCGTCGCTACCACCCCCACAACCGCCACCACCCCCAGACAATCTTGGGTGACGAAAGACGTGGCAGTGATTCACGTTCCAAGATTTTATAATCGCTAGAATACTATATAAAGTCAGGTCATTGGACAAAACAAATCGAGGCGAGCATTCGGCAGCGAAGTCACCAAGTCAGTACTCCGCAGCCAATACGTTTTTCTTTTCCGCCTTCGAGTTTCTGAGAGCTCAGTCGCAATCACTGTGAAAGCTCTCGCGCCTTGCTATTGCCGTGCATTCTCACCGATATATCGGGGCAGCACAGACAGCACCAATTCTACCATTGGACGGTGGCGATAGGTATTGAATGAGATTTGGAGTATTTGCCCTGCAAATTATTGGAACAAGCCGTTGGCGTGATGGGGTCGTTAGAGGCTGAGCACAGGCACAGGTATGTTTACCCTATGGTAGCTTATCGCAAATAGCCATGCGGGTGTTCTCCGACAGCAAAGGTGCTAATGATTGTTTGCTTCTTAGGGAACATCTACCAGCGCTGGGTTATCTTGGTAAAGACGGACCCAGCTACGCTCCGAAGCACCCTGGTATAGCAACAGCACATACGTCCTCGCCAACACCACTGTTAAGTCCAACCACCATGTATCCAGGCCAACCCTTACCTGTCTCCTACACTACATCGACTGGTTCTGGTCATTTGCAAGCTGGATACATATCACCCCCGGATTCGCGCCGCGCGCTTGAGGAGGAGAAGGACAAACAGCAGCAACAGCCTCAGAGGCAATCGCTTCCGTCAATCCATGAGGCTCTAGGGAATGACAACCATTTACCATACCCTGCGCCGACTCCGGCTCCACAGCAAGCTCATCACGCGCCACCTCATTCCTTACCTCCTAACATTGTCGGGCGGCCAGCCACTGAGGGACCTCCAGGGCCGCCGAATCCCTTTTCGAGCGGAGCAGCAACTGGCCCTTTCGTGCGGGAACCTGCTTTTCAGCACCAACTGCAAGCAGAAGCCTCAAGGTCGAGCTTGACATCGATCAACACCCAAGATTCGAGAAACGCGTCCTTGCAATCACTTAATTCCGGAAAATCACCTACTCAAAGTGCGAAGACCGGCATTACTTCGATTTCCGGATCCCAAGTTGGCTCTGGTTATGAGTACAGCGCGCCTCCTTCTGCTGGCAGTGTGGCCTCGCCTAATGGTTATGGTGCGTTTTCACAATCATTCTCATTTCAGCCGCAGCCCCCATCAAATGCACCAGCGTATCCCTCAGCTTCTTATGATGCTCGAACCTATGGGGGGACATCTTGGAAACCTGGTGTACCAGAAACTGCTCGCGTGGACGATGTAAAACCGGGTCTAGCGACCCGTCCAGCCATTGCGGGGCAACCACAAAGCGATTCTGTCAAACGTCACCTGGATATTTACGATGTGGAGACATCCCTGAATGAGGTATGTGATTTTCTACTATGGGACCAAGTGGACCGAAAATGAATCGCCAATTGGTTCTTTGATATGTGGTGCCAAATCGCTAATTATACTAGATTGCCGAGATGAGCACAAGAACCTTGGATTTTTCCAGGCACTATGCGGCAAGGGCACACCACACTCAGCGGTCTGGCCCTGTATTGGGTTCCCTGCCCTCGATCCACGAAGTTGAGGAGATGCTCAATATACAGCGTCGTAATCAGGATGCTTTGATTCGCATACGGACAGCAATTTTGAACCAGGAACATGCCATGGCAGAACAGATGGCTCAAAGAAAGGCTTTCAAAGCCGGTGGGGTACATGAACGATGTCCACCACATGGCAATGTACCAGGAGGAATACAAGGGCAGTGGCGGGTTCGCTGGCCCCGATTCCAAAAAACGACGAGGGGTATGTCTACTCTGGATATTTTCTCTTTCCGTTGTTTCTCATTCACCGTACCCATTTCCCCCTTGCCCCTCAATCCCGTTTACTAAGGGATTGCCCCTCGCCTCTCACTTCTTCACAAGTATACCCACTTCTACTTTTGCCATCGCTAACAGCGGCGCTCCTGCAGAAAGCTGCCCCTCCCGGTCGTTGCCACAGTTGCAACCGAGCCGAAACGCCGGAATGGCGCCGTGGACCCGACGGTGCCCGGACCTTGTGTAATGCGTGCGGCCTGCACTATGCAAAATTAACTCGGAAGATGGGCGCGAACAAGGCATCCTCGTTGGGTTCAAATCTGAAACCCAAAACTGCCTTGGACTCCGCATCACCGAGTAGCCATTAACTTATTAGCCTGTTCATTTATGTGGCGTTGGAAACGGTATGGGACTAGAAGTGTCAGGCGTTTTGAGTCCTGTTTTCACTTTTGATCATTACCTAGTGTTGGCTTCGTTTTGGTCCTCGTTTGATCTGCTTCTGGGTCAAGGTTTTCCTTTCGAATGGTTTGGATGATCACGAAAACTCCGGGCATGCGGACTTGATTTGGTTTGGTCCCATTGGTCCCTTGAATTACCTTCTAATACCCTTGCACGTTGTGGGAAAAGGTATTCCGATAGACTTTTTGCTGTTTTCCCCATCTCTTTTATTTTTCTTCCGTTTCCCCTACCTATTCCATTTTCCCCTCAGCCCCTGCTTCATCATATTTTGGTGGCTTTAATCTTTACTCCGTTCTATCATCGCTGTGCAACTGGCTTGTGTGCACTCCAACCTCTTGTTGAATTTTTCTTACGCACCGCTTGTCTTTGGTATTATGCTACTTGTTGCCTTTGCTCTGGTTTACAATTATACCCCCCCGTTTCCTACCAATGTCCTGCTGCTTGCTTGGGAATTGCAATCACCTCCAGATGTGCCTATATGATGTTCATGCACTCATGTCTGTCGTTGAAAAATGAAGAGGGTCTACTGCCTCCGTGTTATGACTAAAGTGTAAAGATAGTTTATCTCTTCATCCTTGAAAAATTCTACTATACATTTCACTATAATGGCCGATTTGCCATAAAGAGAGGATCCACGAATTTGTCTGCTATGAGGAAAGGTGAGACCTCATTCGGTAAGCCGGGTTTGAAGGCGAGAAAGGTATGCAGTTCTCCGACCCTCGGAGTTCCAATTCAATAATACAGTCATAGCAGTAGCTATCCACGGATCCTTAGCCTACACTATTGAGGCGCAAGCGACGAAGAGGCAATAGCGCCTGATTACTTGGCTTTCCCACACCCCGGGATCTAGACGCCGGTACTTTTTTGGCCACCACTGTCCACGGAGTTGTGGCAATTGTTGGAGTCAGGGGCTAGGCAAGTTAAACTCGGAAGTTGATTCTTTGGCCCTTTCTGTGACTCTGTAGCGTACCAACGTGTCGATTCAGGGCGTCCTATACTAGTTTAACCGGCATGACCCCGATTGGTGATGATCCTGCGCTAGCCACGAATTACACTCCTTATGATGCGGTTAAGTGGCGTCTCCAGGCTTCCATACCTTTCGCGTCCCGTAAATCATATACACACAATCCCTTGGATCGGTCAATCGAGTAAAGATCCCTTGGGGTCAAACCTCGGGGTATCCGGCTCTACAGTGGGATACAGTGGAAGGCGGAATCAGTGAACCGAAACTGACTACCAAATTGGGCCTAAACATTGATTACTTAATGTTGCTTTCGGCCGATCCACCTGTAATCAATGAGCAGCACGGTCGGGGTGAACCCGCTAAGGACTGGAAGCAACCAGAAGGTCCTCCAGGTTCGTACCATGTTTGACTTGGTGGCTCATGACACACGAGTCACGGAGTAGCCTATGCCGAAATATTTCCTTATTCGCCCGACACTCTCTGAATAACTTCAACTTCCTAGCACAATTTTCCTGGCAATATCAGTTCAGCGAACGTAAAGAATGACCCCAAAGTTCTGTTTGGATCGATTGCTGTCACTTAATGTGGTACTTGCGCTACCCCGAACGATCGAACCGATCCGATCTCACCTTGTCTCATCTTGCAGGGGTTCTCGAAAACCAACTACTGAGTCAATTGTTCCTGCAACTGTTTAGTAGTAGCAGAACATTGGCTACCTTCCAGACCTCGGAATGACGCACCTCATGTAGATACCTAGACTAGATGTAGTGAGTGCATACAGAAGGCGGTGGCTAATGGTAGCTAAGATCTTATCCTGTACCATAGTACAAACCCCTCTCACCGCCGATTCATCCCCGGCATCCTACTTACCGCCTCGAACGCCTCTCGCTCACCTCCTTGTGAGGTCAGGTGCAACAATTTCCGCGGACTGGCTTAGACAGGTCTTCCTATACTAACCGGAGATTGTTTTGGTATCCGCATACTTTTATCGATAGGCTAAATTAGATAGTGTTCAATAGTCTGCATATGGAAGAGTTCACAGAATCTGTCATTAATCCGAGAAACCCTCCACCTCCAAAGGAGCACTACTAGTCATTACGCTCTCCTTTTGGTAGTGACCCTGTAAGTAGCACTTAGTAGATCGCACCTGCAGGTAACGTAATCAACGGTCGGACGGGCCACACGGTCAGGCGGGCCATCTGGTAATACTATACAAAAGATATCTTTTTAAACATAATATATCTCTACCATCCAGGTCTAGAAGAATTAGATTTCTTCTATATAGATTTTAAATAATATAAATAATATCTATATACCTTCTAAAAATGAATATACTTTTACTTATGGACTTATCATATTACAATATCTGTATTTATATGTATTATATAAGAATCTGGTTTCATTATCAAAGTAAAAATTCTAAAAATCTGAAAAATTCATGGAATACTTATTCTTATATATATAAACTATCTACAAAGTTAGAGCTTCATAGAAGTAGTACTGGTTGATATATAATAGAATCAAAAAGACATCTTTTATATGGGATTTCAGGATGGCCCGCCTGACCGTGTGGCCCGTTCGACCGTTGATTACGTTAATAACCATGATGTCTGTTTAATTACGGACAGATGGTTAGTCTAGTAGAGAAACCTTCAACTCTCCCTTCTGACCGTCTTCGCCGTGTGACATGGTAATCTGTCAACTGCGCACTATTACTATTTCCCCATAATATTACCGAATATAACCAGACGAGTTTGGCCAAAGTTGCATATGGAAAATCATACCATGTAAAAGAATAAGCCCGTAGGTTGATTTGGAATTAATCTACATGCCGTGTCTCCACGTCCGGTGCGTCTTTCCCATTGGCTAGTTCTCGATCACGATCATGCCACACATCTAGCAAATCTGAGATTAAAGCGGCCCAGCCTCCATACCGTTTTAAAAATGCTTCCTCGGCCGTCGCCGCCAGTGCCCGATAAAGTAAGCCCAATATATTAATCAATTAGTCGCCACAACACAATTCAACAGAACCCTTCTTCAATGTCTCACGGACGGGATCTCGGGCGCCAAATTCCACTGCATCTGTGCCCCCGAGATCCGACCGATCGGACGAATCGGGGTTACGTCATGGGAGGCTGAGGGAAATCTACTACTCAATATAATTTAATCTAAATCGAGTCAGGGAAAGAACATTCTCGATTAATCGATGTTCTTTGGGGGTTCCGAGGTAACTAACTAAGTAGACTAGGCAAAATTGATAACTACTCGATGTCATTTTGGGAATGATTCTCGTATAGAGTCTTGCGTCATGTGCTCCCGCTGCTTCCGAGAGGATCATGCATAGCGCCGCCCTTGATTTGCACAACGTATGTATAGTATGTAAAGTCAAGGTATGTACTAATAACCCACTCGTATATACTCCGTAAGTCCTTCTATACATAGACAGTCTATTAGGTTCAGTATCATAGTGTCTCACTACCGACCCACTGTATCCAGTCTGTCGGTACTGCTGGCCGTGAAGGCATCGACAGACTGACATTTCAGTTCTGTCTCTTTCTGTGTCTGCATGATGCAATCCTCAGGCACACTACCTACGGATCCTGCCCGTGCATACAAGCTCACTTCTTGACACAAGGCTTGGTTGCTGTGGTAGCCTCATGGATTACCTTACAAGTCAGTGTGTCTCAATGGGCCATCTTTGCAGAGCTATAATCTGACCCCAAAAAGAACTTTTTTTTAATAGTCGCTGAAAGCTCTCTGCCTCAGACAGAGAGAGAGAGAGAAAATAGAGGAAAGTGGTCTTTTGCTTACTGCCTCACAAATCGTTTGTGCTCCGACTTGAGCAGCAATGGTGCAGTGAGAAGAACGTCTGTATTTCTTTAATCCAAACCGTCAGCTGCTTGTGGAGTTGGCCGTGATGAGTCTCATACCAAGCGGGTCTGAAGGGCATTCTCATAGTAACACGTTGTCCTTGGGCAGTAGCTAACTGGGTCCCAAGCCAACACACTTGGCTTTCTTCACCCAACAGCATCGATATTTTGACTTCTCCGATTGACACCGAAGCCAATCTTGAAGCGGACCTACTTGAGACCTAAGATCGTCTGTTCGAAAGAAAAAAGAAAGGGAAAAAAAAAAAAAAATGCAATGGCACACATTCCCTCTTTCCATTGATCGGCGATGAGGGCCGATGTCTGGGTCGATCGGGAGATGTCCCTTATCGAGCCCACAGTTCGCGGACTCCCACCCCTTGCCCACTCACTCTGGATCTTTGGGCCAGATCGACACATTCGCAGTTGTGCCTGTTCCTGATTGTCACCCAAGATTTTCATCAACTTCCGCCATGTCCCGGTGTGGTCAAGGCTACAGCCAGCTATTTTGACTTATTCTACGCCACGAACCACTTCACTTGCTAGAACATTCGCATCCACGATCGGAATACGTCCCCCAGTGGATCGATGGTTTTGAAGCATCGGAATCTGATAGGTGACAGCACTACAAGGCGCAAGTAAAGTCCGGGAGGTTTCGTTGGTTGTATCCGGAGTAACAAATCTTGGGACTGCAGCTTCTCGAACTCCTTTCCTACCCCATACAGCCACCAAGAATACCCACCATGAGCAAGAGCGTCGTATGCTATTTCGGTGGGCGTTGTGGGCCTGTACTCTGTTGGTCGCGTGTGCCCCCCAATTCTTCGCAAGCTCTTAAGCCTCACCGATACTCGGTACAACTGATTTGGCTATTACTAGGTATTGGTAGTAGGTAATAGTCGGTACATCGAAGCATACGCCTCCGTATGCGAATACCTGCTCACATACCCCATACATCCATACATGACCCTTGTCCTACGTATTACATACGCCAGTCTTGTCTGATTAGGAGGCTCGATGTTATTAATGCTGTGGAACATGGCGTCCCCATAACTAATGTGTAGGTATGCCCCTACATGGCAAGTATAGGCAGTAGGTCTTCGATAAAGGACATTGACACTTCATGATCGGGCATATATCAGAACATGATTCCGCTGTTACACGACAGCAATAGTCAAACTTGACATACGCGGCTCCTTTTTGGATTATACCACGGTGGAGTGTTGAAAAAAAAACTGGTTTTTTTGGCAGCGCTATAGTCTGCATGAGGCTTCACTTGAGCTGATGTATCCCAGGGAGGACAGCCAGATTAACTAACTATTTACATTCCTGCTCCGTGCATGCATGCATGCATACTGTATGCCCATATGTACATTTGCCATGCAGCAGCGTAACCCTGCGTTAGGTAAATCATGTATGCTGTATGTACAAGAAAACAAAGTATGTATTGAAGCGTAGAGGAGGCTGTATGTAACTTACTTTACATGCATCCATCGTTACATACAAGACCTACATACGTACTTGTATCTGCAGGTTTGCGTGTGTCTAGTAGTCTCACGCCTCGTGTCAAGCGAGGCATTGGAATGCGATTGGTGGGACGAGGCTTTAGTTTAAGGTATCTAGTGGTGCGACTCCTGCGACCCAAGAACGGAACTCGCTAATCGGGCCCCAGCCTACTAAATTACCAAGTTACCAAGTTATCCTATCCTATCATGATCCAAGGGACAGCAAGCTTATAGGTAGACTAAATCTCACAGAGTTCCTGAATTGGATAAGTGCCAACTCAGCCAGCACCGCGCCCCTCTCCTGAGACAACAAGCCATGACTTGTGAACACGAGGGGGAGCCAAAGAAAAAAAAAAGCAGACGGAGAGGGAGGCCGGAATGCACGGCTGCCTAAGTCAAGCTGCTAGGATGCCTTAGGAAAAGCCTCCTGCAAGTATGCACGTAAGAAGTGCAGACTGAGCGGGTGTGAGTGGATAACACCTAGTAGCTAACTAACTAGGTTTCTCCTCCCATCTCATGATTTGAAATTTCAGATGTCTCACTCTTTTCTCCTGAATGATTCTTTTGCTTGTGGTCCTATAGTTCCCCAGTTGCGTGAGTCCCCGTAGGTCCCATACTACGGATGTTGCTTATTCTAGTAAGAGCTTCGCAAGGATTTCCTNATTTCCTCCCCCCAATGATATCCACACTCGTTATCTGGAGGTTGTATTACCTAAGGGTAGGTCCCGTCCTATCCTTTCCTCTTCCATCGCATTGTAACCCGCCCCGTTTCTCTCCTCCCCCCAACAATCGACAATCGAACTAGACTTTTACGCTTTGTTTGGTTTTCCACATCGTCCATCCGGGCAGTGCTACGATCTATCGGTCAGCAGCATGGAGCTTTTACCAAATAAAGGTTAGAACAAGCGATCCCACGGGATAAGAGGTAACTCTCATCTTGGGTTCCCGACTAGCGTGCGATGGTGGCTCGATGGACAAGACATCAGATCTCAACCAAATGGGTTTTCTGCACACAGCCCCACCGCGGATAACCCCGCTGACTGGATGGAACAAAGAACCGTAATGGAAGGCGCTTGGCTATCTTAAATTTTAGATGGGGTACTCAAGCATGAAGAATTTGCAAGCATCAACCGCTAGAAGGGAAATGGAAGGAGGTGATAATTGGAGAGGAGAAGAAAGAGAAAAAAAATTTTTTTCTTACTTGCCCCTCTTATCTTGGTGAAATGTTTGTTTATCCCCCTAATTTTTGGACTAATCTTCTTCCAAACAAGGGAATTTGAATTTGGAATTGGCTTCGCGATCTCATGGTATGTTGTGCTACGGTGCACAAGGGCGCGATGAACCTATTGCCCCACTTCACCCGGGAACAGGACAGATTAGGGAAAGTTTTTAAGATCGCGCTGATCGAGATCGCTGCGATGTCTCGGCAGAAGCGGCGAGGTGTAGTTACCGCGCTCTTGCAGCGAAGAACACCTATCTTCTCTGCACTACGGAGTACTAACTCACTGTAACTGCCTCTTCCTAGAGGTTTTTATTTTATTTTTATTTTTGTCGGTAAGTTCATCCGTCGCTCCTTACTTTGCTTGGTTCTAGTATTCCTTCAATCAATTTTCAAAGATTTTTAACGTTGTTGAACTTTTAGCCTACTTTCGCAGTAATTTACACTCAATGTGGGCGGTTTTATAATTGAACGTAATACCATCCAGTATGGCCTGTCTTGTTCTGGGCCCTGCTCATCTGAGTAATAATGAACTATACGTAACATGTTATGGTCGCGTTTTCTATGAGCCTGAACAACTGCCTAAATGATTTCGTGAGTCTATCATGTAAGGCAATCATGACAACTGTCATGAAGAAGCACCATGTCCTTGTTTTCATTTTTTTTCACTTTGCTTTCCCGCCAAAGATAGAGAGGGAAAAATAAAATAAAATAAAAAGTAAAAATTAAAAAAGGCAACGGGGAAGGCAACTGAATACATAATGTACATGACTTCTAAACAGCGTACTATGCACAGGGTTCCCGGCTAGCCAAGTCTCGCTTATGCTTATAAAACAGAGGATAAAGAGCAACAAGCAGGGTTGATGCAGCTCGACCGACACCGGCGGTATGTACCTAGGATGTGGACTGCTGTAGAAGATCGGATGGCAGTCCCGATCTGTTTCATCCAAACGATAACCAGATTAAGAGTTTTTCATGCAAAAATGATATGCATGAAATGCAGTGGCCGGGATAAAGAATCGAGGCGCTGGGACTATCCGGTGGTCATACCAGCAGCTGTATTGTGACCAGGTATCTACTTGGCTTAGTTTTATGAGGTGAACAATATGAAATTTGACCAAAGTGGGCAATAACTACTACTGGCGCTCATGTCATCTTTTGGTTGACCTTGATCTCTGATCGATGGAACATCGTCGCGTGCCGCCAGTCGGCGCGCGCCCTTGCATTAGCTCGCCTCGCTCATGGCTGGTCCAATCAGAGCATGAAATTGTAAGATTGTGGCTTCTATCTGGGAGTTATTGCACATAGATGATTGCATATATGCTGTGTGCGCTGTATACTCTACAAGTCACATTGGTTAAGATAGGTAAGATATTGGGGTAAGAAGCTCAGGTGTGGTGGCGCAAGGGTGCTCGGACCGAGTCATGAATTAACATCCTTATGTATGGGGTAAGTAGTGCGATAGTGTCAGGTTGGTTGACATCATGACAGCTCCGATCATACCGATGTACATTATTATCTATCATTCTGATATGTTGACATTGTTATCATGTCATGTATTGAGGTAAGATACCCTCCGCCTTTCCTTATCATGGTCATTGNCAGGCAATTCTTATGTTGCACAAGAGGCTCCTTGCTGCTGGCCCTTGGGCAATTATTGGCCTCGATTAGAATATGAGGATGTCAATTGATTGAGATCGTGCCATCGCAGATATATTTGATTATTACTTTGATGTGTCTGTTGGTACAGGATAGTACTAGGTACATTCTGACCTTTACGCGATTTTCAAAATAGCACTTGTTGCTTGCAGCGTGAATGTCAGGTATGAACGGAAGACTTGTGGAAGGCAGCTAGAAGGCGGTTGAAACAAGTTCGCTTATGCTCATAGATATACCATTGAGTGATATTTTCAAATGCCAAAAGATTGGAATAAAACACTACCAGGGGTTCTTAGCTTTTGCTCTTTAGGATAGAAGTAAGCATTTTCCCATCGGTAGCTAACGACACACTGCTGTGACCTCTTTGGTGGTAATGTTGGGTCACTGAGCATACTACTTTAGTGTGCGCCTCCATTGGCAAAGACCAGAATTCAAAAGATTTCTGGTCAAGGACATGCTCTCATGATCAGTTGTAGGACTTCACTCAATGTTATACTGGGAATTAGTTATCTATTGATCACATGCGGGCATTACCGTTTTCAGAACACCCCCGATAAGATAACGGTATCGCAGCGCCATCACGTGCAGTTGAGCTCCCCTCCTTGACAACAACTACTAAGACATAAAGTCCTAGTCTATCACCATCACCATCGTTATCATCTTTGTCACATCACAGATTAATGCCAGCTACGAGATTTCTCGTGAATTGAAATCCACGATACGACCAGCAAATCTAATTAACTCAGAGGACATCCTGTGGCGAGCGTTCGGTTTAGTCAATCAACCTGTCATCATCTGCTCAACTTACTCACACTGCTGGGTTTGATTCATCTAGCCAGCTATCTGCCTAAAAATGGCTCCTTCACTCGTACCTCTCGCTGAAATACCGACCGTTTCCCTTCTATACAAACTGAAGCGCTTGGTCCCAGTCTCCTCCCCGCTCGCGCAGCCCTCCAAGGCCTTGAACGACACCATCTCTCTGATCCGCAACGACATCACCAAATTGGATGGAGTCGACTGCATTGTGAATGCAGCCAACAAGTCTCTACTTGGAGGAGGTGGGGTAGATGGTGTCATTCACCGCGGTGCCGGACCTGGTTTGCTGGAGGAATGCCGCACCCTCGACGGCTGTGACACCGGTGATGCCAAAATAACCTCTGCGTACGAGCTTCCATGCAGACGAGTCATTCATACCGTTGGGCCAATCTATGATCTTGAATTGCAGAGAGGGAGGGAGCGCCCGGAGACTTTGCTGCGCAGCTGCTATCGTCGCAGTCTGGAGGTTGCCGTGGAGAACAACATGAAAAGCATTGCCTTTTCAGCAATCAGCACAGGCGTGTACGGCTATCCAAGTGAATTGGCTGCCCGCGCTGTTCTGGACGAGACACGGAAGTTCATGGAGAGTCCGAGCAACATCGGGAAACTTGAACGGATCATTTTCTGCAACTTTGAGCGCAAGGATGAGATAGCCTACGAGAAGTTTACTCCGTGAGTAACAATCTACCTCTGACTATACTGGTGCCGTTGGTTTGACTAACAATATCAGCTTGTTCTTCCCTCCAGAAGATCAGGGTGCCCCTAGCGCCAACAGCGACCGCGAATCTCAACTCGAATCTGACGGTGAGTCTTCGAAATCGGCGGAGATGCTCGCAGCCAAGCTTCCCGACCCACCGACCGTTGATCCTGCCTTGAACGGAGAACCGGAGACTAAGAAGCAAAAGGTTAACGCGGACCAGACCGAACGTAGCGGTAGAAGTTACATGGAGGATTTCTCTATCAGATCTGACGATGACTGGGAGGAGGTTGACAAATCGGAAGATGGCCGCACAGAGAAGCTGGATGACGAGCCGGTTGAAGTTGATAGACCTCCCTCTGCGACTGATGTGCAGAGCGTCCAGTCCAGTGGGATCATTGAGATGGACGGTTCCAACGCTTCGGACAGTGTGCTGGCAAAGGACTGGTAGTCGCCTTGCTCCAGCTGACCTTGAAATAGTTATGCATTTGAGTGATGCAACGTTTGCTTCAAGTTTGGCGTTGAATGGATTCATTCATGGGTAGCGCTTATCGACATGCAGCGCGGTTTTAATGAGTTTTCATCCTGGTATGTAGCACGTTTCTACGACTGGGCTTTCACTTCTCGGCAGCATTATTTTTGTCTCTTAAGTAGTACTTCCCCCTTAATGGTGACATGATTTATGTGGTATTCGACCGTTTGTGCAAGGAGATCATCATGTAGCCTGTTTAATACGGGTCCACGATATCAGGGCAGTAAATTGACCATCGTAATAACAGCTTATCCGTTGACCTTGCGGCATCCCTCGCAACCGTCACGTAGTATACGATCTCAGAGCTAAACCTTAACACTAGTCAGGTTGAGATGCAAAATATATACCGGTGGCCATGTTGTCGCTGACGTGCTGATTTTTGAGGATGAACTTTCTAGGTAACTAAGTCATATAGGCAAGGGTATACAAACGAGGCCAAAGGCACAACAGACACGATGACGTCGCTGCCCATCCCGTGACGGCGAAGAGGGAGTTTGTACTGTTTGTGCCGTGTCTTACCTAAGGATAGATTGATCAGGGGCAATGGACCCGCTGATTGGCCTCACCGCTTGCGTGTCCCTCTTCCGGCGGTGTGGGAGAGTGTGACAGGCCGCCCGTCGTTGTTGTTAAACTGCCGCCTTCCCCTCCACGTTGCCTTTTCCTTCCCCTGGACCCCTGATTGTATTTATTTAACTCGCTCACATCCTCTTCACATATTTGTTCTCTGTCTTTCTTAGATTCTACTTTCCTCGCTAGTCATCATGTCTGCCACCTGGTTCGAGCAACAGAAGCGGTCCTTCGCGGACGTCAAGATCGATGCTGCCAACGACAACGGCATCTCGACCACCGAGTTCCTTGAAGCTGCTGAGTCCCTCACCACTCTGTTCGGTATGCCATTGGCCATGATTGTTGATAATGAAGGAGACAGTGCTGATAATATTTACCCTAGATGTTCTCGGCTCCAAGGCTTTCACCCCTGTGAAGAGTGATTTGACCAACAACATCAAGGTTCGAACATACATAGTACCCCGCAGTCAGATGCTATCGGAAGCTTACCCTTTATCACAGAAAGTCAGGGAGAGGCAGCTGGCTGCCCCCGCCGAGTCCGAGACTCTCCAGGCTCTCGTCGTTAACGAGCTGAAGACTAAGAAGCACGTCGCCTCTGAAGGTCTGCTCTGGCTTGTCAGGTATGTCTACCTACCCACACCTGCCCAACTCAATGTGCTTCAGCGGCTATTGAGTGGTGGTATACGAGCCACTTGAGTTACACATGCTAATATACAACCTTTGCTGTGCTACAGAGGTCTTGACTTCACCGCCCAGGCCCTCCGCCACAACCTGAACAACGGCAGCACCGAGCTCTCCGATTCCTTCCGTGAAGCCTACGGCAACACCCTCAAGCCCCACCACTCCTTCGTTATCAAGCCCATCTTCTCTGCTGCTATGTCGGCTACCCCCTACCGCAAGGACTTCTACGCCAAGCTTGGTGAGGACCAGGCCAAGGTCAACGCGTCCTTGGACGCCGAGGTGGTGGCTCTTGAGAAGAACGTCGCCATCCTGAAGGAGTTCCAGGGCCGCAAGGAGGCGAAGTGGTAGATATCGGGAACATTTGCTTATAATGTGAGGAATATCTGGCATATTTACTGGGCGCTTTTTAAAGATGTATATATTTTCTAAAGAGTCTGAGACTCCTTGCATGATAACTAGATTTTTGAATCGCGCGGAACTGGTTGCTGAGACCCGGTCGTTCGTTCTATCTACTCTTTGTGATGGACGCTGGAACTGGTAATTGTCTTTTTTTGTGTCATCCTTGGACATGGCATCGTGACTATACTATTAGCATGCAAGCATAGACAACAAGTGTTCACTTTTGAAAGCTGAAACCGAACCCCAGTAGTAGTCGGAATGGTATCTGTCGGGGGACGTTTCAACTTATCCCCGCCCACACTATAAATCCCACTAGTATACTGCCATCCCTTAATCAATAGCCCGTTAGCGCTACTTTGGCGACGCCATAACTGTGGGCCCATTCCACTTCTTATGTCCTCGAACAAACCAGTCAATCACCGCAAATAACAGAGCGACACCAAACACCGGAGCACCATAATTCATGCCGCTCGCCGTGACGGGCTGAGTCTCAGGCCAGGGAAGGAAGATCGTAATATAAGTACCGTACGCCATGGCGAAAGCATTAATCGGAATGCCGTACCTTCCCAAGTTAAACGGACCATAACGGATCTCACTCGAGAAGCGAACCCGCTTGATCAGCATGAAAAGGACAGGGACCAGATAGGAAATGTAAAGGGCGAGAGTGTCCAGAGACAAGACGGCATTGAACGCAGCCGAGGAACCAATGTTGATCAGGGCAATCAAAACGGTAATTGTTGTCACTAGGAAAAGAGATCGCAGGGGGATCTTGTACCGAGGTGATACATGCGCGAAAAACGATGAGAAGGGGAAACCCTCGTCGCGCGCAAACGCCCATGTGAGTCGACTGACTGACGCTAGGACGTTGAAGGAGGAATAGCAGCCAGAGAGGAGGATCGGTAGCATCATTGCGCTGGATGCTGCTTTTGATCCGGTCTGGGCATAGAATATTTCAATGATGGGGTATCCTGTAGGTGAGTCGAGGGCTTTCTGGAAGTCGCCCATAGTGTATAGTAGGGCTATGGCGAAGCCGAATGCAAGGACGGCGTTCACGCATAAGCCCCAGACCATTGATCGGGGAACGGCCCTAGGTGCGTCGTTGACTTCTTCTGACATGTGAATGACACCGTCGAAACCTGTTTGGAGGGTTTCGAAGATTAGCATTTTGGTGAGATGCTGGATAGGCAAGGGAGACTTACTACTTAGGGTGAATGCCGCTGTTAGCAATCCAATTGAATAGATCACCCCTTTGTCATGCCATCCACTCTGGTCAGTGACGAATTCAGTCCATACAAAATCATTTGTGTGCCGTTGCCCTAAAACGATCATGACGACCATGATGGCCGGGTATGATAGGATGTGAATAACACCTGATAACACGTCGACTGGTGCTAGGAGGCGGCGCGCGAAGATATTGACCAGCAAGGGCAGGAAGAGGACTGCAAACACTAGAAGAGTTCCGTGCCATCCTTCCGGGTTGTAGGAAGGGTAGTTCTGCACCAGTAGTCCCTGGATCTCAGTGCCAACTAAGTATGGCCCAACTGCGACATTGGCCCACCATGCTATGACCTAGTTATAAGTTTGTACCTGATGAGAGTTTGTACAATGCAAATGCCGAAATCGAATTACTAGAGGCTTACAGTGATCCAGCCTGTTGGAATAGAATCACAAATCAGCCACACAAATCGAGATTTTGATTAGACCAAAAGGCGCCCACCTTGAACGAAGCTTAAAAATCGAGGAGCAAATGGCGCGAGCTCATATGTCCAGTGATATTGAGCACCGGCAACAGGGTTTCTGTGTTTAGCGATTAGGGACACGAACTGTGACACATGATATTCGCATCGTAGGAATCCACTCGTACATCGATGCCATTTCTGCCATAGATAAAGTTAAGCACAGAGAGCCGGCAAATGACAGTAGCATGCCATAAACAATTGCTACCGGGCCGCCATTCAACAGCCCTGCTTGAAGACTGGATCCTAAGGATTCCCAGGATGCTTGTAGGGTTGCGGCAAATGCTAGCATAGGTAGGAAACCTAGATATCTCTGAAAAACGTTAGTGCTCAGTGAGAGCATTAGGACATTATTGATACAGATACTATCCGCTTACCTCAAGTCGTGGCTTCCCTCGATACTGATAGGAAGATGGGGGTGGGGGATCTTCTATGCTCATAGCATGAGGCCCTTTTGCGGGGCTAGGCGGGCCGGTTTGGTTATCATGGTATTCCATAGCTTGCGATTGCCAAAGTCAAAATACAAAACAAAGCAGGTATATTCTCCAAGACCCTTAAGCCAGTAAGAAAAGCAAAAGAACAGAATGTCGAAGACAAAAAGAAAAAAAAGGAAGACAGAATCAAGCGGGATAGCTTTGCATATAGGACAACCAGTGGGCGAAGCTAACTGCTCTATGCAATGTAACTAAGCATTGGCGATATATTAACGCTTAAATGTAACCGGCCCGTGGCTTTGTTTTGTATGTAGGTGGTAGCCACCGTCCCAACTTAGTGCCAGACTTGTATATGAACTAAACAGGGATTCCATCCTTTTGTGTGTCTCATCCCTACGCTACCCGACACTAATTGCGCGTTCACACGCATCCGGATATCGGCTTGATGTATCTATGGTCTGAGAACGCATAGTGTGGAGTGATCTAGACCGGTGCCCCAGAGCTGCCCTTGTCGTTGCTTTATTAGATAGCAATTAATATACTAGGCTTGTGAAACCAACAAGACCTTGCAGTCATGGAAAACTCTTACCAGTTGGACATGAATCATATCCCTGTCAGCCTCAGCGCTAATGTAACATGGAGCATTTATATATGGAAGTAGCACAAGCTCCTGCTGGCTCACAATTTGTCTGTTCATCTGCAACCATCGATGTTGAGAGTGCCTTTTCTGGGCATGTTATCACAACATGCCATCATTATCATCATCATCTGAGCTTTTACCACCCTTGGAAACAATAACACCATATGACAGAGGCCCAGCAATCACAATTGTGGCCTTTGTCTTTTTCTTCGTGACTTTAATCATCGTTGCCGTCAAACTTGGAACTGCCTTGTACTCGAAGACTGTGCTCTTAAGCACAGATGCACCTCTTTGGATCGCCTTAGTACAGAACCTGTTTGCCCCTCTGAGAGCACGACTAATAGGATTAACTGCCAGATTGTTGCCTTTATTCAAAGTCTCCTTACCCAGTTTGCAGTAGACCATGGGCTTGGAAAGCATTCATCTTCTCTTTCCACTGCTGACTTCTCCAAGTACAACAAGGTTAGTCATCTCTCTCCTAATGACTCGTATAAATCACGGATCTTACTTATTTGGCTGCTGCTTATATAGCTCACCTATGCTGCTCAATTACTCCTGATTCCAGTTCTTTCACTCTCAAAAGTGTCCACCTGTCGACTGATTCACAGGCTGACACCCGGTCAGCGCATCAGACGAGCCAACCTGATTACCATGATAGCTGTCGGTCTATGGACTGTGTTTGCACTTTTTGCTACGGCTCTTCAGTGCCGACCGCACTGGGAGTATCTACCAAGCCATTGCGTCGGGAAGGTAAGGTCAGTGGTCATATAAAGTATCCCTACCTAATCATCAGCAGGGCGCCGTCAACTATCCAATAATTCTTATCAACATAGTCACAGACTTGGCACTGGTGGTAATTCCACTGATTATGATTTGGAGCGTGCAAATGACATTGCAGAAGCGTCTTCAAATAATTGCTTCATTTTCCTCAAGACTTGTGTAAGAGATCTTTGTTCACTCAAATATCTTTGGCTGAATGCACACTAACGATCCTGGAGCGTGGTGGCAGTCAGTATCACTGAACTTGTGTATCTCCCGATATATTTGCAATCATCTGATCCGACATGTAAGAGTCTCCGGGCGCTCAAAGCTATAAAGGCATAGGCAACTAATGCATTAACAATATTTTGCAGGGACAATTGTTGACGTAGACCTTTGCAATGAGTGAGAGCAGGATTCTATCGTACTCTATTCTGTCGCAGCTAATGTTGAATATCGCAGGCTTACGACGTATCTCAGCATCATAGCAGCTTGCATGCCTTCGGTCTATCGCATCTTGAGCAATTTAAGATCAGGGTTAAATGGCGTCCATCTGTCAGAGATCGAACTTAGCACCACTCAAGGAGCCACAGGATCCAGAACCGAATCTGGGAATCAGGGTGGTTCCAGCTCCCGGGCAAAAAGACGCTCTGCTTTCTTTCCAGGCTTTCGAGCTACCGAGTTGTTCTCTAGATATGATACGACGCAAAGCGGGTTGTGTACCATACAAGATGATGCAACTCGCAGAAACAGGGATGAAACAGAGAGCACGGAAAGCACTAGAGGGCTAACAGAGGATCAGCCACCGGTTGGTGGGGTCAGAAAGACGGTGGACATATATATAGAAGTCAATGACATTCAATCATAATGGATGTGCATGTTGGCAAGGAAAGAGAAATGCTAGCAAATACCAATGGGCGAGTGAGCATCGGTTTGAAGCTTATGTGCACTACGAGCACACAATGAGCACATCTTTTGCCTCTTACTTTGATCACAGCTCGCTTGGAAGTAGGTGTTTTTTTTTTTTTTTTTTTTTTTTCTCTTCACAGACTAAATTACGTGGGCTTAGCTCAAGCTAAAGCGCCCGCTGGACAGAGGTAACGAGGATCCCCTGCTTAGCTCTACATAGCCTATAATGGTGAGATTCTAATCTCCACTTTCCCCTCCGCATCACGATGAAGCCATTCGAAAGCAACATATTGAGGATAGAAGACAGGCTTTGAAAAATATGATCAAATAGAATTGGCTAAAAAGTTGATCTATCGTAGTAAAACCACCAGACAATATCAAGTTTACACCATTACATAGAGAACCAATTCTTGGGAAAACTCATCAGCAGGGATCCCTGTCAGGCCTCCACAAAGTATCACTGGATTGTCCACTAGTGGCTGGTTACATCCGTGAGCGAATTAATACTTGATATTATACTCTGTATTCCATTTTTGTCTTTCCTTCAGGGTATCATTCTCTTGAGGCATAAGCTGCCACCTCCCCCGGGGCAATGTAGTGAAGTCCTCCGAAAGTCCTTGGAGAAACACCCTTCGTCCAGGCTGTTATCATTCCTTCCATAGCGTAAGATACAATGTAGACACATAATGAGAAGCTGTCATTTATGCTCGCCAACTGGGTTATGGTGCCGACTACTGAGCCCATTGGTAGGAAAACTACTCATTAAATTAGTGTTGATAAGATCGTCCTCTGATTTGCCGATTCGGTCGTCTCAGATGTAACTAATGGCAATTAATATTGCACGAAAGAGGCTGTAGTGGCGAGCATCACTTGTGCTCTCGAAAGAGCCTTAAACTTTGTAGCTAGGCTTTCGTAATGAAATGACCCTTCTTGTATCCTTTAATAATTAGCAATTCTATCATGTCGTCTTATAGGCCATATTAATATACGCGCCTCACTATATCAATAATTTAAGAGCTTATATGCTGCCGCCAGCGTCTAAAAAATCTTCTACTTCCTCGAGGCTACAAATCAATGCAACGTCACCTGGTCCTAGATAAATATGGGTACTTTACGCTATCAGATGTGCATATCATTGCTTTCATCGGAGAGGACCTCATATTGCGATTGGACGATAATTTGAACAGTCTCATAGTTTCGCCTTCTACTTCCTTTGAGCCTTGTTTTCAGAGCATAGCGACCCAGCCAAAAGCGAATTAATTATCGGCACTACTCTTCCTCGTGGCATGCTCAAGATGTCATTTCTTTTTCTGCATAATTACTGGGAAATTGACTTGAATATCTGGCGATATTTTCTTTATGAACCCATATTCCATGGACATGCCACAATTCCGGCTTGACCGCAGGACAGTCGGCCATGAATATTCATGCCCTGTTCAGCCCACAAGAATCATAACCATCAACTTTCCCCAGCCACTTGATTCATGATGCATTTGATATGCTCTCGAGTTTCTCAGAAATGATGCCCTTCTGCTCACATCGCTGTTTAGTGGAAAAATTGTAACCAAGAGGCTGCTTCCCCTATTCCGTGGCCCGATCTTTACTTCCTGTTGTTTGTTTTGTTGCTCATTTTGCATCAATGCATTGAAACAGGTTTCCAGGCTTAGAAGCCTATATTCGGCTGTTTATATTCCATTTGGCCTCCTTGATGCTACTCGAGATAACAATTTAGTTTGCAACACATCAATGGTAGCGGTACTGGTACAAGCAGGCGTTGCTCTATTCTTAAGCTGCCAGTGTGCTTGCAAACACTTGGCCAGACTTACCACATGATTTATGTACACATAAAGCTGGCCTAGGATTCATAGCTTGTGATAATAGTGTTGGACGCCACTGATGACTTGCTGACAATTAGCCTCCCCAGTGGACTTCCCAGATGGAAGAGCTACATTGCTCTCTCCCTTGCAGTCATTGGCTTCCAATTAACAAGATATGATGGGCTTCGGGGGAAATGATTCTCCACATGAGTACGTATAAAAAATGTAGTTAGGGGTTTTAGGAGGCACGACTTTGACGTGACGGTTGCTCGTGGAGGCATGTCGGGATAACACAAGATCCCAAGACTGCCGATATCGTTACTAGAACAGGAAACCATGCGGGAGCAATGGCATACCATGATTTATATTTGCTCAGTATAGGACGCACGATAACTTGGCCTGCTCAGAAAGCTTGTAGCACATGAGGAAGGTATATGGGATGATTAGTGCCAGCCTCTCATCAGCATTTTGTGCTCGTTGTTTCCATAAATGGACCAAACTACTGTGGAATAGCGTTTTGTCTAGTGGATACGGTCCTGTTCGGAGGAGCACATGAACCCTGTTTCTTTGCATTGCCCTGTCGATAGAGAGTGCTTGGCGCCTTTATTTCTCCGGGGAACTAAGCTCATCATTGAAGACATATTGAGATATTCCTAATATGTCCGTCTCTATAGTATCTACAAATTAGTTGTTCACAGAGGGGGTTATCCTTGCAGTCGAAGAGTGTCGCATTTACTCCCTATCAAACAGCCAAATCTACAACCATTGATAACAAACAGGCTCCACTCCCCTGAATTTATAAATAGATTGACACCAAAGCCATATGTGACGGTTAACGGGTTGGTGGGATGCTACCCCTCAATGAGATGAAACAACATGCTGACAGCCAGCGTTTCAGGCATTGGATGTCGGACTGAGATAACGTCTGTAAGTGATAATGGATGGCTGGTGCCAACGCTCAGGCATCGGGGTTGCACGTAACGGGATAGATTCCCGGCACCAGTGCAAGGAACACGATGATCGAGAGATCTTTGAGCAAGGAACGAACTCTCGGGTATCCACGAGCTCGGTAGTGCCGGCCTGATGTATGTAGGTCCTAATAGATTGTTGAGAATTAACAAGATCGACCAAAAATAGCTTAAAAAGCTGGATAATTATTTTGATCGACGTGTGTGATATTATTTCTCGCATGTCAGATCAGCTCAACCCATGGTTAATTGCGATTATTCTTGCTGCCACGGTGCCTCTGAACCATGGACGGACCCGAACCATGTTCCTGGAATAAAAATATCCACAGTGTAACTCCATAATCAGGTGCTAAGGTAGGATGACAGCAAACGCTGAAAAGGGTATCACCACCGACACTTTGTCAAGATCTACGCGAAGCATTCCCGAAATAGATATAGTACACATGATGGTAGGGGCAGATTTTCTTAGGCAGACTGGGCAATGGAACTGTGCGGGTTCAGCTGGTCAGGTCGGCACCACAAAAACAGTTGGCGAACTACAGCACGATCGGGAGCCTCTAGCTGGGTTTGGCAAGGCGTCTGAAATCTGAAGCCTTGAGTGGACAGTAGCCTTTGGGGCTAGAAATGTTAGCGTGAACTCCTGAGCTAAGGTCCTAAGCGAAATGAAATTTGATGTTCTAATCCGTCGAGTATTCCACACGAAAGATCATGCCAGCTAGAGAATTGATGGAGAGGTGTATGTTGGTTTGGGCCAATGATAGTAATTAGACATTGGTCCAAAGGGAATAAAGAGGCTTGAGTGAAGCTAAACATATTGCTGTATATGATTCGGCCTAGCAGAAAAGTGACATTCTTCCTTGTTACTATTGGATCGGCAACATCTCATGCCTGGATAGGTGTGGGGATACTGGGGCTGGGTTGCCGAACGATGAAAGGACAAAAGAGGGGGAATCTCGGCACGCACGGGTCGTTCCCTCAACACTTCGACTTCCGTGCCGTGTCCAGCGGGAGTATCCATCCTGGCAATGCTACGCTCTACAGGGCATGCTTGTTAAAGACGTGCACTGTCAACACAATGCTTGATATGGGTGCGGCAAATCTATAGTTCCCTGCTGCTACGGACATCCTGGGTAAGGAAGAGGGAGAAAATCAACATGCTTTGTGCTGAATTTGTAAGTACTAAGTAGCCTACCGCAACCAACATTTGCTTTTTCCCGTAGACTTGATCTTCGGGGAGGACGGATCTAGAATTTCTAGCGCCCAGAACAAACTCATTCTGTTCCCAGGAAGGCAAGTTGAAAAGCAAACGGACTGCGCTGATCACCATGAGAACAATGAGAACCCGGTCAATCATTACTCCTTCGAAATTAGGACAAAGCCCTGATTCTTCGAATCGCGCCTTTGTTGCGTCAGATACGCCCCTATCTTGATTCTATCTTGATTAGCATCTTGCTCATCGGGAGTGGAATGGAGATCCTTTATCCGTTAATGTAAAGTGCAGCCATGGGAGATATTTCTACATCGCTTCGAATTTGGTAGGGTGACATTATGGACTTGGTTGTGGTGATCAACGCCCAACTCACACGCTATGATTAATAGTCAAAGCAGGATGACAGGGATGTCCTGAGGAGACCATTCACCTGATGAGTGACAGGGAACCCTCTCCCAGCAGGGGTGTTGAGGTAATCTAATTCTTCTGCAGAGTCAGGGTCCCGGCTTCCCTTTGTCTTCGCAGGCTCAATGAAGTCCAATTGGCAGAGTTACCATAATGAAGAATTGTTGTTCAACGCCTATCGTTTCTGTGCAAAACCCATTGCAATTGCTAAATGTTATCATGTAATCTTGTCTTGGTATTCATAGCGCCCAGGCCCCTTGAGGCAAACGTTCCTGCGGCCGTGTGGAGCCCAGGTGGGTTAAATCCCAAAGGGCCAAAACATGCCAGGCAGTCCACCTGCTGCTATCTTGTGCAGTGGGCACGGCATGCAGCCGGCTATTCCTTTCACCATAAGTTCATTTTCAATCGGAGTAGTAACTGACTGTCTCCGAATATCCACCCAGGGGACCAAGCACCCGCTCTGTCCCTACGAGCTCCGCTATGGTCCAAGTACATTTGCCGTTACTGGCAAAGGCACAAGAAACCGCTGCCTCAAGCCGCCCATGGATCGATCCGATGGATCTTGATTCCTATCCTATAGGATCCAGCGTTAAGGACTCCATACAAAGATATCCAGAAAGACTTCTGCGGAACATGATGAGCAAAAGAGCCAGACAATCAGCCCTGTCCAGTATTCAGCGTCCGCCACTATAGACCTCGGTACCAGATCACAGGCGGCTACTTCCCCGACAGCCGATACCTCTGTCCCTCTTCGCTCTTACATAAGAATCTAACCAACGTAGCACCAGAACATATGCCGTACATCTGGAGTGATCCTCAATGGCAAGCAGGGAATACAGTCCTCTCCACATGGCAGCATTAAGACCTGGACCCGGGCTCCATCGGCAGTTCGGACACCATCAGCTTTCTCGTCATTGGGCGGTTGTACTCAGTAGACGGTACTTTGTTAAGAATCTTATGCGTGGACCAGTCTTTTAGCGTCGAACCTTTTCCCCCTTCTAGGCTACCCCTAAAACTATTGCCACTTAGGTTATATATCCACTTAAATGACAGTTACCCCGGCCTAGGTTGCCTCACACTTCCTTCCTCCCACACTTGGGGAGACAATGTCACCCGATTCTAGCTTGCGACCTTCGTTGATTGTAGCACTCGCGCCGCTGTGTGCTCCACCATGATCGAGTTCAAGGGCCGCAGCGAGTCAATCTTTATAGTTACTGTGGTTTTCTTGGGGATATCTTTCATTGCCGTATGCCTACGATGCTTCGTTCGGCTGCGGCTGGTGCGGGCATTTGGGTGGGATGATGCGCTGATGGTTTTCGCTATGGTATGTCCTATCGCCGCTTTTATCAAGTGAATCTGTCAATGTTAACTCCAATCCACTACAAAGGGCTTGGAAATTCTGTTTGCGTTATGTGGAATTACTGGCTCATTGTACGGCATGGGCCAGAAACTCGAGCAACTGGAAGATGGCTATCTTGAAACCGCCCTTTTTGTAAGTACACTGGCTATCACTTCGGATGATCTTGCTTACACGGAGAAGTGGTGGTGGCTAGGTCAAACGAGCTACGTCGTGACAGTTGTTGTCGCCAGGATCTCCATTGCGTTGGCCCTCCTCCGTCTTACTGTTTCCAAGGTACACACAATTCTACTGTGGTGTGTAGTAGGCGTGTCGATCATCGTGGGCCTTGTTTTCTGGTTTATGTTGACCTTCGAGTGCAAACCGGTGGCACACTTCTGGCAGCGCACCAAGCCTGGACACTGCATGTCTATCGATAAACTCCTCGACATTGCGTACGTATACAGTGTCACTGCGATGATCTGCGATTTCACGCTTGGCCTGCTACCTATCTTCTTGGTGTGGAAACTACAGATGAGTCGACAAACTAAGGCAGCGTTGGCGGGTATCCTGAGCTTAGGCTGCATGTAAGACGAACTGGACAATGCTACCCATTTACGATCGCATGCTAACACTCGCAATAGTGCCAGCGCAGGTGTCATCGTCCGTATCCCTTTCCTTCCCACTTACAAAGACACTGAGTTCCTCTGTAAGTCTGACAGTCAGCCACTCTTACCAGAATCCGTATCGCTAATGGGAGCAAAGACGCAACGACTCAGATATCTATATGGTCTAATGTCGAAGCGGGCCTCGGAATTACAGCCGGCTGCCTCGTCACCCTTCGCCCTCTCTTCCGCTGGTTGGGCGGAACTAGCTACTCTCCCACACGCAGCAAGAGGAATACCGGGAGTATGCCGCTGTCGAGTATGAACGGCGCCGGTAAACATCCCTCGCGAAGCGAACATACCACAAACTCGACCAAATTCTGGCGCCCGGATCTGAACCCTGACGACACTAGGGCTATTGTTACGACCGTGCAGACAGCCCAGGGAAGCCCGAACAGCAGTCAGGAAAACCTCAATCCGAAGCCAGGCGCATGGGACGGGGTCAATGTACATAAATCATTTGTTGTCACGACGGATGAGGCCTAGAAGTTGATCTTCTATGCTATTCATCTTATAATCATGATATGAAAGATAGTATATTCATTGCCCATATCGGACAGGGTATTCGGATCATCAGACAGCTAATTAACAAAGACCATGCGACGTGATCCATCCACCGCTCCCGCACAAACCATCTTGAATGCTTCGCATCACGATGTCGACGAAAGTAGTCTATCACATGCCATGATACGAAACCGGGTTATGAATACAGCAGCTTAAAGCGCGGCTTACTGGGTTGAGGACCAAACGTCAAGAGATCTTCATTTGCAGTGTAGAGCGCCTACGAGGAACCCGTGCAGATCTTGGCGTCTTTGAATCTATCACGAGTATTAGCAGGGCCTAAAGTCCGAGGCTGAAGCTTCGGTGACTTTCTACGTAGCACCTCAATGCCAACTCGCTAAACCAAGACGGCGAAGTCAAGTAGCGTAAACTTATCTTAAAAAGTGAACAAAGAGTTAAGCCTTCACCTTCTGAATGGATCGATCGCTCTTATCAGCATACGGAGTGAGACTCCGTAATCATAGTTATTTGCTATCAGGATTGCCTGCTTATCGGAACCAGCGAAAGTCGGGAAAATCCAAGCTCCGTCCCGGCACGTGGCGGCGACCAATCGCGAGCAACGGGGCCTTCCGTACGTTCAATCCTCGGCGGCGAATCCCAAAATTATACTGTCGAGGTGGCTTCTTCGCGCTTTCCTCTTCGACCTGCAGTCCGGAGATATACTGGTGGCTTCAAGATTTTGGGCTCTTCATTTCCTATGGTCTATTGAAGCTTTCTTGGTCTCTCAAGTTCGCGTCGTCTGGCCCGCGTCGTGGCCACTCGAGTGTCACCATGTGAGTTGAGACACCTTCGCTGTATCGCGTGCATTGACCGGCCGCTTACTGACAAGTTGATGATGCACAGGGCAGGACTCGTCGAAGATCCCCAGATCAAATATTCCTCCCTCCATAATCCCCTTCCCACTCAGTTACACACCTATGCGTGGCCATTCCTGATCATCTGGCCTGCATTTTTGGCCTTCTATCTCTCTCCTGAACGCTACGATACATACATTCAAGGTCAAGAATGGACCTTTGTGTATGTTGGATCCATTATCACGGTCCAGTCGCTTTTGTGGCTGATGACAAAATGGAACATCGATATCCAAACATTGTTCACTACTACTAAGGCTAAATCGATTGACTCCGCTCGGCTTATCAAGGTGATTCCAGCAGCTAATGCTGGTTCGGCTGAGGTTTGTCCCTTGCTCTTCGACACTAGGGGTGGAAAGAAGACGGTCTCGTTCTTGTTTCAGAAGCGCCGCTTCCTTTACTATCCTGAACGCCGATGCTTCGCTCCCTTGTCCTACGTCCTCGACGCTGAGCCTAAGCCTGCCCTCAAGACCTTTCAGAAGACTCAAGGCTTGACCACCAAGGAAGAGGTCGAACGTATTCAGCACCACTATGGCGATAACACGTTTGATATTCCCGTGCCGGGCTTTGTGGAACTTTGGAAGGAGCACGCAGTTGCGCCTTTCTTCGTTTTCCAGATTTTCTGCGTTGGACTGTGGATGTTGGACGAATACTGGTACTATTCTCTGTTCACCCTCTTCATGCTCGTCATGTTTGAGAGCACGGTGGTATGGCAGCGCCAGCGGACGCTCAACGAGTTTCGGGGAATGAGTATCAAGCCGTATGAAGTCTGGGTCTTCCGCGAGAAACAATGGCAGAAGACTACCAGTGACAAGCTCTTGCCCGGTGACTTGATGTCGGTTAACCGAACCAAGGAAGACAGTGGTGTGGCGTGTGATATCCTTTTGATCGAAGGAAGCGTCATTGTTAACGAGGCCATGCTCTCGGGTGAGAGTACACCACTTCTGAAAGAGTCCGTCCAACTGAGACCTGGCGACGACCTGATCGAACCGGATGGATTGGACAAGAACGCATTTGTACACGGAGGAACCAAGGTTTTGCAGATTACTCATGCGAACACCACATCAGACGACATTGCCAAATCTCACGATGGTTCCGGTATTCTTCCCACGCCCGATTCTGGTGCGCTTGGTGTTGTTGTGAAAACCGGTTTCGAAACAAGTCAGGGCAGTCTCGTGCGTACCATGATCTACTCAACTGAGCGGGTGTCTGCCAACAATGTGGAAGCGTTGCTTTTTATCTTATTCCTGCTCATATTCGCCATTGCTGCCTCATGGTATGTTTGGCAGGAGGGTGTGGCAAAGGATCGCAAGAGGTCGAAATTGCTCCTGGATTGTGTCCTCATCATCACTAGCGTCGTTCCCCCTGAACTTCCTATGGAGCTCAGCCTTGCTGTCAACACTAGTCTGGCCGCTTTGAGCAAGTTTGCTATCTTCTGCACTGAGCCTTTCCGAATCCCTTTC